AAATAACTATACAAGGGATATCTTAATCGGTATAAACGCGGTTTAGTCGTCGTATTATATCGTAATATCGATAGCTTATTAGCGTTATAAGTATTAAGGGCTAGGTATTATCCTAGTAGTAGTAGTATCGTTATAAAAGTTCCCGGGCTTATACGTACCTTCCCATAGTAGATAAATAACTATAAGGCGGGATACTTTATTTAACGTAAAACGTAAACTACTTCGCAGGTTAAATAGCGGCGCTAACGGCGATCGGTATCCTTTAAATCTTAATAGCGTAATAGAAACTCCGTAGACTAAAGGTTAAGGGGTCGAAAAAGTTATAGGGTAGTCGTTATTAAGGAAGTATAAAACGTATGCGATATTAAAAACCCGGATAGATTTACTCGAAAGTATATTCTATCGAAAACTATAGTACGTACGATAGTCTAAGACGGATAAAACTAATATCGCTATATTAATCGAAAGATAAGGAATCTAATGTAGTTATCGTATCTTAGCTATGTCCCTAGGTCGTAGAGATATAGTAATCGCTAGCCCGAAGGTATAAGAGGTAAGGAAAGAAAAGGAATAAAACGTAAAAGTTACTTATCCGGCTATAACGGTACGACGAAGTAACTTAAGCGCTAATAATTAAAATAAATATATTAATCGGAAAACGACGAATCTAATAATAAAAACGAATCTTTAATTAAGGTAAAAATAGTAAAGATAATAATCTAGTTAGGTAATAAACTAAATAATAAATATGGCATATCCCGTACTTACGGAAGCTATGGTTACTCTATATAGGCATAAGGCCTATCGTAGCGTATTACGTAATGCATTAAGAGGGTATGTCTTACCGTACTACTACAGTATATAAATACCGGCCTCGTAATCGGCGAAGAGTAATAGATTACGATATTCCTTAGCTATACGTAGGATAAGGTAGTTAATTAAGTTAAGATCGTAAATATTATAACTAGAACGAGACTTATGAATTTATTAAACGTACTTAATAACTTCCGCGGAAAGTTCCGTAATAAGATTAATAAGTATAAAGATAATAAGAATAGCGGCGGTAATAATAACTAGGCTAATAACGCTTAAGGCAAGGAAAAGGATAAGAAAAAGAAGCCCTCGTAGAACTAATAAGAAAAGCCCCTTTACTTTAACTATAAGGAATATAGGCATAAGGCTAAGGACTATCCGAAACCGCTAAAGGAACGAAAGGGTAAGGGTAACGGCGGCGGTAATAATAACGGCGATAGCGCTTCCGGCGGATTAAGGAACGGTTCGAAATAACCGTCGACGTAATATACTACGTACGTACCGTATACGCTACCTTAATTCGGTTATTACGATAACGGAGGCGGAATATATCGAACGAGAATAAATACGGTAAAGCTCTCTAGGTTAGTAAGCGCTTATAACGAATTACGCCGTAAAAAGGACCTTAAATAAAAGCCTATTCCTATTAATCCCGATAATAACCTAACTATAGCTAACCCGCTAGAAGGCGAACGGCCCGTAAAGCCTTTAAGAATTAACTACGGAGCGGGGATTAACGCTTATAAGGATTACTTATTCTTCGATATAAAAACTAACGTTTACGTTACGAACGATTTAAAAGATCTAGACCCGAAAACGGTAGTAACGTTACTATTAGGTTACGTTATTAATACGGAAGGAGGCCTTATAAACGTTACGAAAATAAGTAAGGCTACTTATTACCTTACCGGCGACGACGGAGGATATAACCGAGCGTAGTTAAATTATACGTTATTTATTAGCTTCTTCTTAGTTAAGATCTTCTTGGAAGAATTATTTTATCGTAGCGGAGGCTAGCTAAATAAGAATAATATTATAAACCTTAACGGGACCGTCCTAACGACCTTAAACCCTAAAAAACGAGGTTTCCTATTATAGGAATATAAGAAAGAAAAGCCGAAACTCCTTTTCTTTAAACGGTATTAGGAAAGCGCGCTAAGGTATTAATTCGGTAAGCTTAGCGAGATACTATAAGCGATATTAATATAATTAAACGATAATATTATAAAGTAATTAATACTATAGCATCGCCGCCTTTATTACCTTAGTATAGAAAAACTTATATGGATCATTAAAAGATCGATAAGGATCGACTTAGACCTAGTACTTATAAAGACGGTACCTTATTACGCGTATAATCGGATAAAGATTACTAGGATACCCTCGAAGGACCCTTAAGAGCGTACCTAGATTCCTAAGGAGATTACTTAGTACGACCTCGGAAAGTTATAGCTTCTATCGATCGAAAACTACCGTTATTTTATATTAATCGTAAATAACGATAGCCGAAATAAAGAGTTTACTTAGTATAAGTCTAAGGAAAAGGCTTAATAAGTATTAATAACTTACCTTACCCGAGTTTATTAGTTACTCGAGGTATTACCGAGCGCCCCGGATAAGAGCCGGCGACGGATAAGAATATTACGCTTTAACGATAGCCGAAAGTTCGGTATAAGCGCTATCGAGTAGTTTTATAACGAAAGAGGTATTACGTTAAATACCTTTACGTTAGATAACTAATATTAAAACGACGTAGCGGAAAGGAACATACGCTTCTTATAGGACGATACTAAAGTAGTTTACGTTTAGATAAAGATCCTTACTTACTTTTAGGATTACGTCTTCGTAATAACGACGTATACGATTAATAGGACTAACGTTTTATCCGTAAAGGAGCTTACGTTATACGAGAGATTTATAAACGGCATAGAACTAAAAAAGAACTATAAACCTAATAACGCATATCTACGTATCGTCGGTAGCCGTTACGTAGCTTATATCGATAAAAGTTATCGGGTCGTTTCCGAGAAAATAAAACTACGTAAAGCCCGCGCCGTTTTTATAGGTTACGAAGGAAAGTATAACTATTTAATTTAACTTATAAAAGGAGGTCGTTTCTTAAAAACGCCTTACGTTATTTTTTACGAAGAACTAGGAGACTCCGAAGGGGCCCCCGACCTAAGGAACGTCGTTAGGTCCCTACCTAAGTACGTTTAGAAACGGCTACGGTATCGGAAGAAGATCGCGGCGACTAGCGTTCGTAATAAGGATAATAATATCGTCGACGAGGACGTTATAAACGAAGATAAGGATAGGATACGCCCCCGGAGAGGACGCCCGAAGAAAAAACTACCCTAGATTTATATATTAAAGGTACTACTTAAGTTAAATAAAGTACGCTCCGCCTTAGCGTTAAACGGCTCGTAAGAAAGCGAGTTAAAGGAAGTATTTAAAGGCAAATAAAATACGCCTAAAATCGCGTTTAAAAACGCGTCCCGAGAGGAGCTATGTTATATTAATACGCTTATTACCGTACCGTAAGAATAAAGCTACGGGTAAATAATATTAATAACGGCGGGCTTATTTAAGATAAACGAGAACGAACCGCTCTTTAAGGAAGTAATAAAGGAATTAAAGCGTAATCTTTAGACCTAGGCCGTCTTTAGGAAGATCCGAGAGAACCTAGAACGTAGTACGTTTAAATTTATATAGCCGAGCGAGGTAGTTAATAGTTATTTTATCGACGCTAAATAAGTCTTGAAGAAAAAGTTCCTATCTAACGGAAATTTCGATAAACTAAAGGTACGGATCTACGCCCGAGGATTTATATAAAGAAAAGGCATCGATTATAACGAAACTAAGGCGATAACGACGAAGGTAGTATCGTAAAAAATACTAATAACGTTAGCCGCTATTTATTAATAATATATCCTTTAGATCGACTTTATTACCGCCTACTTTAACGGGAAGTTAAACGAAAGGATCTTTATAAAGTAATTCCCTATATTAAAGAAGTATTTCGAGGCTTATGAGAAAGAGAAATAAACCTATAATTATAACGAGTCGAAAATTATCGAGCTAATTAATCCGTTATATGGCCTAAAATAAGCTAGAGCCGCGTAGTAATAACGTATAAAAGATATCTTAAAGAAATACGGCTACGTTTTATTAACCTTAAACGACGTTATTTATATAAAACCCGGAATAGAAAACGTAATCGCTTCGTATATAAACGATTTTCTATTATTCGGACTTAAAGAGGAACGATTTTATAAGCTCGCGAATATAATTAAGGAGAAGGTTAAGGTAATTAACTTAGGAAACGTTAATTAGTTTCTCGGGGTCCGGATAAAACGATCGTTTCCTACGGGGGACGTCCGGTTCGATTAATAGTAATATACGGAAAAGGCTTTAAAGAAGCTTAATTACGGCGATACGAAGCTATATCCGTTACTGTATAACCCGAAGAATCGGGACGCGGTCGTACCGAGAAAGGCTAACGATAAAGCTAACCTACGAAAGGTTTAAAAGTATATTTCGTTAGTAGGAAAAGCGAACTTTCCGGTATATATTACGAGGCCTAATATTAGTTACGTAGCTTCGACCTAAGCGCGTTTTATAAATAACCCCTTATAGGAGTATTAAACGGAAATTAAACGTATAATACGATATCTTAAAGAAATAGTAAGCCGAGGGATCCGGTATCGGTAATTAAACGAGAATTACCCTTATAGAAAGTATAACGAAATAAGTCTCTACGGTTACGTAAATTCGAATTACGCGAGAGATATTTCTATAGCTAAGTTAACGAATAATTACGTATTCTTTATAGTAGGAATCCCGATCGTATAAATATCGAAGCTTTAGTCGGTAGTCGCGCGAAGCTCGGAAGAGGCTAAGTATATAGCCTTATCGACGGCGGTAGTAAATGCCGCGTAAATACGTAATTTCCTTACGGAATTAAGCGTAATATCCGTAGGCCTTATTACCTTGCGATGCGATAGTACGACGGCGAATACGTAAATAAAGGAAACCGCGATAAATAAATAAAAGCGATATATCCGAAAGGACTATTACTACGTAAGGCAAGAGGTAAAAGAAGGATACGTTAAGTTAAAATACGTACCATTAGTTAAGAACGCGGCTAATAGACTTATGAAGCCCTTAGAAGCGAAGGAATATTAGAGGTTTATTAAGTTATTATATCTAAAGAACCCGTAATAGCTTTAAACGAAATAGATATATAAATAAAGCGATAAGGGAGGAAAATACTACGGAATTAGGGCCTTACGCTATTTAAGAGCCTAACGATAGCCTTACCTAGGCTAAGAAGGCGTATAGGCGCGTAAGTACGTAATCGGTTACGTATAGCTACAGAATAAGCCTTATCCTAGCGAGGGCTAATCGGAATATAAAAGGCACGTAAAACGGCTCCAAAAGGCCACGTAGACAACTATAATTCAATTAACTATTCACCCGTTCCTTAGATGGCCACAGTAATCGATTATTCGGTGGTTGGGTATACTCCGATAAGGGCTGACTCTATCTTCCACCTTCTCCAGCAGCGCATTTCTTCTCGAACCACCGAGCGAAATTCGTCGAGGGAATATCGACTCCTCTCCAGAATATGTCGGAGGCCCAGAGGACAATTGGGAAATACAGCGTCGTAGAGACGATGAAGCTCGTGGTATACGGCCAAAATCCTTCCTTCCCGATGTAATTCCAGCAGCCGTTGAGCAGCAGCTTGCCGACTGTTCTGTTGCCGAGGCCGTGTACGAGGTAGAGAGCGAAGCTGATCCGCCCGAGATATCGAACCGGCCGAGTCAGGAAGACAGACTGGACGGATGGCAGGAATGCCATGGGGCCAACGACCAACATGGCCCCGAAGGATAACCAGAATCGGCGGCGGTAGGCGCTGAAGGGCCAGACGTATTTCGACCACTGGTAGCCGGGTGTCTGGGTGTTGTGGTCTCGAGGATAGCCGCAGAGGAAAAGGCCGAGGACCATGGCCAGGACAAGTAGGACGTTGATTATCCTCCTCGGGTTCGGATTCTTCGGCTTTCGTAGGAGCACCTCCAGCTCGGCGACGGCCATGCCGGCGATGAAGAGAGCGACGTCCCAGCGTTTGTGGGTGAAGCAGTGCGTTATCAGCAGAGTCTCGACCGCCAGCCGCACGGAGGTCCGCGTCTTAGCCAGCCCGAGGACAAGGAGAAAGACAACCATCGAACCCCGGAACTCCACGGCAATGGACCACAGCTGGGGATTGTAGAAGCCAGAGAAGTTGGTGGACCAGTCCCACGGGTTGGACTCGAGGTCAAGGTACTCGAGGTACGAGGCGACGCCGTGCTCGAAGGGCCGGCCGTTGACCTTCCTCGGCACGTTGACGATGCCGAGGTAGGCGCAGACGAAGGCCAGCGTGCTCGACGCGAAGGCCGGGAGGAAGAGGCGGATGGCGCGACGGAAGGTCAACGAGGTCAGGCTGGCGAACAGCTCCGTGTATTCCTGGCGGTGCATGCGCTGGATGAAGCGGTGCGAGAGCACGAAGCCCGACACGACGAAGAAAATTGACACCATGGCGGCCCCCGAGTACACGATCCGCACGAACGGCAGCAGCCAGAAGGACGTGTTGTCCTTGTACCCCCACCCCGAGTTGACGGCCGGGTAGGGGATGTGAGACCAGTGGAGGATGAACACGATCAGGGAGGCGACGCCGCGGACGCCGTCGAGATATTCCGTCGAATGAGGCTTCCGCGACGCCTCACCGTACTTCTCCGAACCCGACGCCGGCGATTGCTTCCGCAGAAAGCTTGGTCTCGTAAATGCGAGACACCGCCATAGCACTACGCGAAGCGCAGCCAAGGTAAACCTGCTTCGCCAAGTACAGGAACACTTTGTCCTAGCCGCCCCCTCCAATATCGGAGAGAGCAGGGCCTCTTCACCCTCTCTCATCGGCCGGCTCTGTTGCGCATACATTTTTTTTTTAACAAAACCTCCCTCTTCTGGTTTCAAGCGGCGACACACAACCGACCACTTCGCTGTCCCTCGTAGAGCGATGGCTTTAGGGTGATGTATGTAAGAAGCAACGGCATCTATTACCGAGGGCCTTTCGGGCAACCGACCGACCACCTCCCCCCGACGCGATCCCCGACGTAATAATTATTTAAATCCTGATATGCTCGCTGATCCTGGAGTATGGAAATCTCAAAGCCTTGCTGATACAGGGGCGCTGAAATGACTCCGAGCATGTAGCCGGGGCTATCTTACGATCCTGTTAAAGTAGCGGCAGAAGAATTTCGAATTTTGATTGCTCATATGTAGAGGTATAGCGGTTTTACGATGACAAGGGAATACCTGATAAAAGAGGATCTATGGCATAGAGCGGGCGAGATTACTACTATTACAGCATGTCTTGCCAGGGGGTACCGAGACGACTAAACGACCAGGAGTATGAGTAGGTATGTAATACGACCTAAAGATGCAAGTGAAATGGGGGTCAATAGTCGATCTAGAGCCTGTCGACGGTGGGACAGAACATCAAATACATACATAGGGGTAGGAGGCGTGCTTACAGGCAACCCCTTCGTCAGACTTATAGGAAGTCTTTTCTGTTGCTGTACCCATACGGAGGCATATGTAGGGTCGAAAACATCGTCAAAATGAGGGAGCCACCAAACTGGTAGGGAGATAAGCCGATCGTCACAGATTTCAACAGCTTGGCAGCCAGAAAACTCCAATCACCAGCGCCGGGCAGCCCGGATCGGCAATTCCAAGCTGTTGAAGGGCCCAGCCCCCGCTGCCGCCAAGACTCGCGCAGGGTCCGTGGGAGCGAAGAGTATTGCCGCCAAGGAGTCGACGTGGTGTCGGCGTGCCGCAGGGTGAACGGTGCTCGAGCCTGTTTTCCTCGACGGGCGCTCAGCTGCATTTCCTGTGCGTGGTCGACCGGCATGATGGGGAGCAGATCACTTCTAGAAACGAAAAGACCAGCCGCTCCCCGAGACAGGATACCGTAGACCTATGCGGCTAGCCGTGTTGATGTCAGTCCACTACTACGTTGAACCCACCCCTTTCTGGCTGAGGTTGCGGGCGACAGGTCTTGTCCCGCCGCCGCCCAGCCTCAGCTCCGAAGTGGCACGTGTGCAATTCCCAGAAGGAGAAGCTGAAGAAGAAGAGAGAGAGGACAGAGGCAAACAATGTTTCTTGTAAACACGGAGGGTGGGTTAGGTAGAGTGAGACCACCAGGGTCCAGCGATATCGGGTTGACCCCAGGAGGAGATCCCGTGCCACACAGCACCGTTCCCATGTATTCGTAGAAGCGCTGGTATTCGCGGGTAACGCCGTGGTCGATAGCCAACTATACCTCAACTTCCGGCTGTACACCGGGACCACTCTCGACCCTCCCGAGCGCTGGCCTGGCCTGGCTCGGCCCACTCGTGGAGGTGAAAACTGCGTTGCGCCGGGTCCGTTCGAGACGGGGGCACGTCCACGACACCGCTTTCTTGGTACAGAGAAGTCTAGCTACATAACCTAATCTCCTTTTTGATCTTGTATACCGGGACAGGACATATCCATGTGCAAATGTTATTATTTACGCCCATCTGCATACGTACGCAACTCCCCTTATCGTCACCCTATGACTAAGTGAGAAGGAGAGGGAGCGAGACGTTGCGGCCTCTCAACGTTAGGAACGGCTTGGCAGACCTGAAATCTTGGATGGACATAGCTCTTTTCGACCTAGAAGTTGAGATCTTCGTCATGCAACTTTCCACTCCGGTGGACCTTGCAAAATACATGGCCCCCCCGGACTCGCTCCTATGAGTAAGCTGATTTACCCTCTTGGTGAAATTGAGGAGCGGCAGGGCGTTGGCTTCCCCGGGACGGTAGGTGATCGTGTGCGGGCATGCCGTGTGCGCGTGTGTTCTATATTGTCCTTCCTCTGCCGAATTTTCCGCGGATGCGAGAAGTATGAGGACGTATGTATTTCTACCATCACGTACGACTGTCGTAATACCCTCTCTTCTAAGTCTGAATGATTGTGGTGCTTCCGACGTCAACGTTGGCTTTATTGAGGCGACGCCTCTGCAAATACCTGGGTAAAATAGGTGGGAGGGAGACCACACGGCACGCAGTTCACGATCGTTACGTTAGGACAGCTTCGTTGTCCCACTCTTTGCTTACTGGCTTTCCGTGCATATACGAGTTGCAACTCTGCTAACTCCCCGGAAGTCGTTCGGGATACTGGAGAGGGACGGCGGAGAGAGAGAGCGGTGGCCGTACAACGGAACTTCGGACACAACCTATTAGCAGACCAACGAAGACACGGCAGCTACGACCTAGCTAGGAGAGGGGGGCCAAAATCGCCTCGATCAGAATGGTGTGGAAGGGTGAAAATCTAACAATCCCCCATCCGAGCCAGACGCGCACCGAATATTTCAGGGCGACAATGTTATCACCGAGGGTACCGCGGCTCCTCATCAAGATCCCGAACACCCCCATAGAACAAAGCACGTTGACGTCGCGGCCTATACGGAGGATACTATGTCTGCTCGGCTTCCTGACAGTATCATGGCTGTTGATCGATAGGAAGTGGGAGTCGGTCCGGTCAGGGGGCCAGAGTTACACCACCTTACAGCTGATGCGGAATGCCGCGTTGGAGGGCGCACCGTCGCAATGGGTCGGCGGTGGCGCCGTCATGATGTCCCAGAGCACTGCTGCGGATGACACCGAGCAGGCGTCGCTCGCGGCGAAGGAGGGGAGCGCTCTCGAGAATATCCTGCCCGACGTCATCAGGATACCGTTCGAGGAGGCGGTCCAGGACGTCAAGCTGGAAGGGTGGGAGGACGAGTGGTTCTCGACCGGGCACTACAACGTCGAGAAGTACGGCCCGCTGGCTGAGCCTAAGATCGACTTCGTCTACAACTGGGTCAACGGGTCCGAGGACGAGTTCAAGGCGATCCGGCACGGCTACGAGCTCGACTCGCCCCTCAACGACAAGGACGGCAAGTGGATCTCGCGGCACAGCATCAACCGCTACCGCGACTGGGACGAGCTCCGGTACTCGCTCCGCAGCCTTGACGTCTACGCCAAGGGCTTCGTCAACAAGATCCAGCTCCTTGTCAACTCGGTCGGCGGGGCGTCGTACCAGCGCGACGGCAAGAACATGCGGCCGCAGCGGCCCGCGTGGCTCAAGGACGACGACGCCGCCCGCGAGCACGTCGAGGTGCTCAGCCACGAATCCTTCTTCGGCAAGCGCGAGCGCGAGTGCCTCCCCACCTTCAACTCGCTCTCGATCGAGTCGCAGATCTTCCGCACGCCGTCGTCGACGGACCAGCTCGTCGCCCTCTCCGACGACATGTTCCTCGGCGCGCCCCACGCCGCCTCCGACTTCTACTCGCCGCTCTTCGGCCCCGCCGTCGCCTTCAAGCCTGACCGCTACAACGTCCGCCGCCTCGCCGGCCCCGACCAGGCCCCCTCCTTCGGCGAGAAGCCCTTCGTCTACTACACCTCCTACCTGCTCAACCACCGCTTCGGCGAGCGCAACCGCCACGTCCAGGCCCACTTCGGCCACTCCGTCTCGCGCAGCGTCATGCGCGAGGTCATGGACTCCTTCCCGCTGCCGTCCGCCCGCGGCGCCTGCGAGCGCTTCCGCGGCGAGTCCCGCTTCCAGCTGTACCCCTGGTTCGCCGGCGTCCACTACGCCATCGAGCGCTTCCGCGAGGTCCTGCTCTGGTCCTTTATCCTCTCGCGCTCCGACGGCGACGGCGACGGCTACCTCGACTGGGCCGAGCGCCAGGCCATCCTCGCGGCGGTCGAGGCCGGCCGGCGCGAGCTCGACGGCGGCAGCCCCAGCCCCAGCACCGACCCCTCCGGCCCAGCCACCGCGCAGGGCAGCTCCGGACGCGACCGCATGTACTACAAGTTGGCGGAGGAGCTGCGGCGCGCGGGCCTGCAGCCGCCGCAGGCGAACGTCAACGTGCTGTGGACGTCGCTCGACGGGCCGGAGACTCTGCGTAACGCCAAGTGCGGCGGGGACGCGTTCGCGGTGGATAAGTGCCTGGGGGACGGGTTCGGGTCGGGGTTGTCGGACGCGGGGGGCGCGGCGAACCCGGACTTCGCGGCGGCGACGGTGTTCGCACGGCTGGCGCGCGAGCACCCGCAGTGCGGCGACTGTCTGCTGAAGCTGGTGCTGGAGGGGGGCGGGGGTGCGCGCGGGCTGGAGGCGCTGCTGCCGCCGCGGGCGGCGGCGACGGCAGCGAAGCGCCGCGACCGCGACGTCGTCGTGCGCGCGCTCAAGAAGTACCAGCATACGGTGGTTGACACGGACGCGATGAAGTTCGTCATGGTGCGCGACGCCGAGCAGGCTGAGGCCGAGCTGCTCGAGCGCGCGGTGCGCCGCGGCCGTGTCTTCGGCCAGTGGTGCCTCAACGACGACGTCATGACCGAGAGCGCCGAGCAGGTCGGTCGCGTCCGCGACGTCATGGCCCAGGTCTTCGAGACCCTATGGCCTGCCCGCGGCCGCTGGGAGAAAGAGGGTTCGTGAGATGTTGGCGTTTGTAGCAGAGTGGGAGGGAGAAGGGGAGGGGGCAAATTAGGGGTTGCCGTTACGTACATACATGCATAGATACCACATCGTACGGACGAGGGAGTAAGGAAAGGGGGCATATACTCACCTTATTTGCATGCCTTTGTATGCGTTGGCTCATATCAGCACCTTGGAGATACCATGTTATTCATTTCAATAATTGGAAGTTATAAGTTCCCACGAATTGAAGTCGTCTGCGGTCCCAATCGGACTCTATCACGAATTCCTTATGCTCATTCGGTTTGTAGATCAAGCAGTCGTGCGAGGCCTATTGCCCTGGAGACCTTGGCTCCGACGTCAACAGCTGAACGACTGACTTCCCTTCTATTGTAGTTACTATTGTGCTAAATGAGCTGGGGCAGTCGACGTAACTATGCTACCCATCGTAGTGATACACAAGGTATTGAGCTCAAGTTCAGCACAGCTTTGAGCCCTTTGAACCGTTAGATTGAGTTGTTATTACGAGTTTGGCTGGGGTGATCGGGTCCCACGTATACCCCAGAATTCGTGCCAACTTGCCACACACACATATATATATATATATAGATCGCACCAAACGCCGCCCTCAGTGCAGGCAGGCCAACTCGCTGAAGCCCCTACTCCATCTCAGGCCGCCCATGATAGCCACCAGGCAGGCGAGCCCTGCTGCGATACTCGCCGCGCCGTACACGTAGGCGTGCTTGCGCCGCAGGGCAGTCAGCTCAGCGACCCACGTCGACACTGTGGTCAGGCAACCGCAGAACCCGTCCTGGACGCCCTGCAGCACCTGGCAGCCGATGACGCCGCCGGTCGGCAGGTGCGCGAGATCCCAGGCCGCCCCGAGCACCGCCGTGCCCGCTACGTTAACGGCAAAGGTGCCGAGCGGGAAGGACGGCGCGAGCCTCCCGTTGAGATGCAGCGACGCGTAGAAGCGCGCCAGGCAGCCGAGCGGCGCGAAAGCGAGCGCCAGCGTCGCCCGGCCGCGCCAGATTTCTTCCTCGAGGCCGGCAGTAGAGAACCGGTCCGGCGGTAGGGCTGACAGCAACGCGGCGCCGACCCAGCTCCCCCAGCCGAGGAGAACGGCAAGGGGGTCAAGAAAGCGGCGGGTGAGGGCAAAAGGGAGCGAGGGTGTGACCGGCTCGAGAGCCAGCGCGAGCTGGGCACCGACAGTAAGGCCGGCGAGCGACAAGGAGACCGTGGTGATAAGAACGGCGAGCGCGGCCATGAACGAGTAGCCGCCGTTCCGGGGCGTGGTAACCGGGCCCGTGTCGGGCGCAACTAGGTCGTTGGATAGGGCGAGGAAGAGGTCGCGCATGAAGGAGGAAAAGGAGGTGAAGGAGCCGCAGAACCCAGTGGCGAGCCCTATATAGAGCGGGATGGTCTTCTTCGTGGCCATATGGGCCTTTTTCGCGGCGGCAAGGTCAACAACAGCCTCCTCGTCGGCGTTCTCAGCCCCGGCCCCGGCCCCGGCCCCATTCCCCTGCACCTTGAGGAGCTGCTTCTCGTAGGCCGGGTCACCCCACTCGAAGCGAAAGAGCATACGGTCCTCGGCGAGGAAGCCGAGGACGAGGCTTCCGGCGAAATTGGGCCACACGGAGCTGAAGGAAACGGGGGCGCCAGCGTAATACGTGAGGGCCTGGAGCCCGAGACGGGCCAGCGTGCCGAAGATAGCGAAGAGGATCAGGTAGGAGACGGTATAGATCTCGGTGGCTAGCCTCGACACTTTATGGGCGCCGGTCTCTCCTTCGTCGTCCTCCTCGGGCTCGGCTTGCGCGTGCCGGGAAGTCGACCCCCTCGGCTGCGCCTCCCGGCGAACCGAGTACGCGCGTTCAAGGGCCCTGCCCTCCTCTAGCGAGGGCGAGGGACGCAGGTCGCGCTCGTCCCGGCTCGGAATGGGCGCGATGTTCTCTAGTTCGGGCACATTGACGTAGGAGTCCGGAATGTCGTAGTCAGCGCGCTGGCTGCGGGGCCGTTGGGTCGTTCGCTGGCGCAGCTGCGATCCCTCGGGGTTACTCGACCCAGACCGGTCCGGACGGGATATTTCGCCGCCTACATCCAGATCATGAAGATTCTCGTACGACCTGGGCGCATCGTACTCTACCGAGGATGGCCGCGGCGAGGCGTCGTGCTCGCGCTCGTGGTCGCTTCTCGAGCGGGAGGGGCGGTGCTGTGATACGGCACCAGTAGACGGCATGGCCAGGCGCGTCGTTTCGCCCGGCGCCGGCTGGTGATGCGCCACCACGGGAGGGGATCTGCGATTGGCTGCCATCCATCTAGTCCTATACAGTAGGTAGAAAAACAGAATTAAATGCGAAATCAAAGGTGATTCAGGATTCTTTCGGCCATGCTCTCTTCCTAATCAACCAAAAGGAGATGAGCATCGTAGACGACCCCGAGCATCCATCTCGGCCAGAGTGCTTAGAGAGAGGCTGCTGTTGTTTTTTTGTTAGTGTCGCTGATTTCAATTCTCCTCTTGGCACGTGTTTTCCGCCATTCCCCCGTATACCTATGAGGTACTTCTACCTTGGGTGAATCTGCTTGAGGTACCTAGGTTTTTATGGAGGCACAACAAGACACCTCCGTTACGGAATCTGGGAATGCAGGTATATGTACCGTACCGTACCGTACCGTACCGTACCGTACCTCATCTTATCTTAGGCGGTACCTTCTAGGTGGGCGGTGTTAGGTACCTTGACCCAACGGAAACGCGCTCTTATCGTGTACCTGTGTGCGGTGCTAGCGCGTTCCTCGTGGCGTGGCGGGGCTCAAGCACCAGGCGCCTGATAAGGGGGGTTAAGTAAGTGTGCGCCCCGATATGCCCCGCGTCCGGCGTCCCGCATATCTACATTTGGATACCTCTTACCTAAGTCTCCTATCAGCCCCCGCCGTGCCCTCTACTGGACCTAGGTAGGTACCTACAGGTAGCCTGCCTCTCCGGGTACCTATAGGAGGTAGGTACCGTAGGTAGGTAGAATGTAGCAAGAGCTCACCGGTTCACAGCCAGTCTTATCTCTTATCTCGTGTGCCTTGGGTACCTCTCCGCACGCACCTAACCGCTATGCGTCGGTGTCTGGGCGGGCTTCCCATGGCACTTCCGGGCCCTCTCCCGTGGCTCCTTGCAGTTGGTCGCTGGCATCCTTCTTCCATCTATCTAGGTATCTATCCCTCCCTCACCTCTTCTCTCCCTGTCTCTCTGTCTCCCTCTCTCCTTCTCGCCCTCTCTCTCGTCCTCTGCCCCCTTTCCACATACCTACGTTTGTAATACTGATATAATCTGCCTGCCTCTTGCCCCCATCGTGTCCACGACTCACGTTACCCACTGCTATTTGTATTATATCCTGTCTTAGCTGCCTTCCTCTGAGGCCGCCCTGCTATACGATCCCTTAGCTGTGTGTGTGTGCCTACGCCTACATACCGACATACCCAGGTACTTCTCGCTTCCAGAGCCTGTCACCGCCGTAACATCCGGGCCTAGCTTGTTCCTACTAGCAGGATGTCGTTACCTTCCAACGTCCACGTCTCTAAGCATCCCTGCCTGAAAGCCAAGCTGAGCCGTCTAAGGTCGAAGGGGACGGAATCGCGCGAGGTCAAGTCGCTGATCAACGAAATCTCCCTGATTCTCGGGTGTGAAGCTTTAGCTTCCACCTTGACGCCCGCTTATGGACCATTGGTATGAACGCCTTGTATTATTATTCACTCGTAACCCCCCCTCCCCCTTGGTTGTGCCGTATGCCTATCGACCGAGACAACAATACGTACAGTAGCTGACATGGCATTCGGTTGCCGTATATAGAACGAGACGCCCATCGGGTTCGGGTACACCACCACCACAGTCAAACCGCAAGCAATATCCATAGTGCCCATTCTTAGGTCGGGGTTGGGCATGGTAGAAGGCACGTGGCCCCCCCTCCTTGTCCGCCGCATCCGAAAAAGGAGGAGAGGAACCACTTGTCTGACACATAGAGCAGCAATACAAACAATCCTCCCGGAGCCCGTACCGGTGCACCATCTCGGCCTGTACCGCGAACCCAGCACGCTCGAGCCGGTCGAGTACTACAATAACCTGCCACACCATGTCTCCTCTTCCTCGAACAGCGAAGCCGACGAAGCCGGATCTCACGCCTCCAGCTTAGCCATCATCGTCGACCCCGTCATCGCCACCGGCGGCACCTGCGCCGCCGCCATCCAGACGCTTAAGGAGTGGGGGGTCCGCAGGATCCTCGTATTATCCGTCGCCGCCGCAGTTGACGGCGTGCGCCGTGCCGCCGCCGAGTGGCCCGAAGCTGTCGACATCTGGGTCGCCGGCGTCGACGCCGAGCTTACGCCCACCGGTATGGTGAAACCCGGCGTCGGCGATATCGGCGATCGCCTATTTTTGACCATTGGAAAATAAGGAGCATAGCGGAAGTGAGGGGAATAAGAGAGCGAAAGAGCTGTTACGTCGCGCGCCTTGTCTCCTTACCTACCTAATCGAATTAACTAGGGAGCATTGGCGCTTGTATCTAGGAGCACGAAAAATGCCGACTCCGCAAGTCACAATTTGTGTAACATTCGTGTATACCGTCCTTGAGGAATACTCCTGGGGACGCATATAGACCCGGGATGGGGGGAATCACAATGAAAAACCCAGAGACTGCGTCGTGTATTCCGTAACGAACAATGCAGATCAAGCCCGGGCGAGCCACAAAAACCAGAGTGTAGTTAGGTATTAATCAAGCGAAGGTATAAAACGTGACTAACCCCTCTATACTCACTGGTCCCTCCCGCCCGTCACGGCGGCGCGTACCTCTCCTCGTCCACCAGCGTCCGGTTCTCCCAGCAGTCCTCGACCCACTGGCGCGACACTACCCTCGGTACGGGCGTGCGCGTGCTAATGACGGCGCGCACCTCGGCCGCGCGCGCCATCACGCCCGCGCCGTCGTCGGCTCCGTCGTCGGCCAGCACCACGATGTGCGTGACGCGCCGGTCGTCCAGGTCCTCGGCGATCTCGCCGCCGCCGTACCGGACCCAGTTCTGGAGCCGGAGGTGCGGCGGCGGCGGCGGCGGCGGCGCGCCGTCGGGCGCAGGAGAGCGCGCGGGCCCCGCGAAGTACACCCGCGTGCCCCGGAACACGTGGCCGTGCAGCTGCGCGCTCACGTCGTGGCCGCGCGCCGTAAGCTGCTCCAGGAAGGTGGCGGCGGCGGCGGCGCGCTCGGGCTTCGACGACGACGAGCCCTGCAGCCGCGTCGACGCCATCGTCGCGAGCAGCTGCCGCAGCTCCGGCACGTCCACCATCCGCGCGTAGCTGTCGCCGAACTCGTCCGTGCTCGTCGCCGCGAGTCGCCGCGTCGTCGCGGTCGCGCGGAAGAGGTGGCTCGTCTCGAAGGGGAGGAGGAAGGCGTCGGCGCCCCGGCTGCTGCCGCTGCCGTCACCGTCGCGCTGCTGCCCGAGGCAGTCGAGGATCCACTTCGGCCGCACGATGTCGACGCCGTCGCCACCGTCGCCACCGTCACTTGCGGCCGCGGCCGCGGCTGCCTTGACCAGGCTCGCCACCGCGACCACGTTCTTCTCGCCGACGAGCACCATGCCCGTGCCCGGGGTCGGGCGCTGCCACACGCGGCCGCCGTTCTGCTTGATGAGCGCCTCGAGCTGCGCCTTGCTGCGCTTCGGGGGCCCCGCGCAGTCGGTCAGCACGCAGAACTCGAGCCCGGCGAAGACGCCCGTAGCGCTGCGGGCCGCGACGCCGGGCGCCGGGCCGGCCCCCGGGTCCTGCCCCGCGATCACCACGTCCCGCCGCCGGCGCTTGACGCCGCGCTGCCGCCCCGACTCCATCTTCATGGCGCGCTCGGCGCCGTCGCGCTCCGCCCGCGCCTGCATATCCAGGAAGCCCGGGTAGTCGAGCGCTGAGTCCCAGGAGCGGTCGAGCCGCAGCCCCTTGAAGCGCGGGAAGCGCAGCGTGACGCCCTTGGCGAACTGGTCCGACTCGCCGGCGCTCGCCGCCTTGACCGATATTACGACCGACTCGCTCGGCCGGATCCACACGTCGGGCCGCTCGATTTGGTGCCGCTCGCCGCCCGCGAGCTGCACGTACTCGCTCGGCGGGTGCTTCGCGTCCCACGGCCGCCACCGCCCCTCCGTGTGGTGCCGGATGTCGGCCAGGTCCTCGGCCCGGAACCCGCCGCCCACTTTGACGAAGCTGTAGCAGCGCTCCGGGTTCACGCCCGCCTGCACCTCGTTCTCAGACGCGCGCAGCCCGCACAGGAAGGACGCGAGCGCGCCGCCCCGCCGTCCCGTCCCGTAGTACCCGCCGATGACGACGACGTCGACCGACTCGCCGAACCCGGCCATGTAGTCAGGCTTGACCTTGATCCAGTCGTCGCAGCGCTCGTTGGGGCTGTACGGCGACCGCGGGTTCTTGATGACGAGCCCCTCGGAGGCGTCCGAGATGATCTTGCGCAGCATCGGCTCGATCGCGTCCGCAGACGTCGCCGCGACGTACTTGTGCACCTCGAGCCGGTACGGTACGCCGGGTACGGCTTTCTCGAGCGCGTTGCGCCGATCTCGCAGCGTATACTGCGCCAGGGGCTTGTCGTTGAGGTAAAGGATGTCGAAGACGCGGAGCACGGGCCGAGGCGCGCTGTCGTTGTGCGGGTTGCGCTGCTCAGCGAGGGCCGCCGTCTTGAGGGTCCCGAACTTCAGCACCTTGCCGATCTCCGGGTCCCATACGATCATCTCGCCGTCGAGGATGATGTTCCGCACGCCGGGCGCGAATGCGTCTCGGAGATGGCGGGTCAGCGACGAGTTCTCGTCCTCGAAGCCCTCGCCGTACAAGTAGGTGTAATCCTTGGCCTTCCTCGACCAGAAGCGGAACCGCTTGCCGCCGGGGACGTCGTCGCCCTCTTCCATGTGCAACTGGATCCGTTCGCCGTCAAGCTTTTCCTCGATCCAGAACTCATCGTCACCCTCGATCCGGTTTGTCGTGTTCAGCCTGTCGACCATCTTCTCGAACGAGGTCGACATCTGGTAGTGGCAGAGCTGAGGCTGGAAGCACTGCATCAGCCTAACGTCGATCTGGCCGTCGGCGAGGCGGACGGAGGAGTCGTACAGGTCCCAGCAGACCTGACGGAGGCTCGAGGATACGCTGAACAGGTCGAGGGCGTCGGGGTGCCAGCGCTCCATGAAGGTCCTCTCGGTGGCGCCGACTTTCATCTCCTTCAGGATGATGCGGATGAGCCACTTAAGCTCCTCAGCGTTCATGCGCTGGTAGAAGACCTCGAATATTGGCAGCTGCTCGCTCTCGCCGGACGCGGAGGCCAGCTTGTCGAGCATCTCGTTGACCTCGGCGATGCGCATGTCGCCCGGCTCTATGCGCATGGGCCGCTTGGATATAATGTCGAAGCACCTCCCCCCGAAGTCGCCGGCGGCGCGGGCGGCGGCGGACTGGACCGGCGTCTTCCAGCGCAGGATATTCTGGGCGTCCTCCGAGTTCTTGTCGATCCTCATCAGCTTTACGAGCAGCCTGCCTATGTTGCTCTCCTTGAGCCCGTACATGCCCCGGTCACGGTCGGAGGAGGGCAGGATGAGGCGCATGGCCGGGTAGATGTCGTTGCCGACCTCGGTCCGCCACCTCGATATGAAGCGGTCGACAACATTGCGACGGAACTCCTGCGGCGAGAGCTTGCTCGGGCCGTGGGGCCCGCGTTTGGAGCGAGCTGTCCTAGGGCCGACGGGCTGCTTCTTGTTCTCGCTTAGCGGGTTGAACAGGTCCCTGAACAGCTCGGAGAAGAGCAGGGTCTGCGAGTGGTTCCTTGGCCGGTTCGGGTACCTTTCTCGTAACACTCAAGGGTCAGCACAGTCGCAACAGGGGACAGACCGCATCCGATCTCAGGCTATCGTCACTTACTTGGCGTCTAGATCCTCGAGCGTCTGCCCTCCCGTCGCGTATAGGCGACGCTCCTCGGTTATGGCGGCAGCACTGCGTATTTTGTTGTGCCATTGGCTCATCGTGTTCGATGCCGAAGGCGTTAGGAGATGGGGAGTTGTCTCGTTCCGATGGGCTGCAGCATTGGAAGCTAGCCTATCACATTGGGGGTTTCTCCCGTGGTGAGAAAGAAGGATGGCCAAGGAGAGCAGGTCTGGAGGTTGAACTTTTGTCTTCCGAAAAATCTAGGCCGGTAGGAGCGTAAGTTTCCATCGGCCAGTCATGAAATACCCCAATCCAGGATAAGCCCTGGGAAATATGTTGTGCTATCTCGTGAGTTGGTGAAGTCCAAGGGCGAGAGCGAGTGCTATCGAGGGTTGACGTGGGTAACTGCACATACCGTATAATACGCAGCACTGGTTCCGTCCGTTATGCACAGATCACGGGAAAGGTACCGTCAACATCTTGGTACGCAGATGCGCGGGTACGTAGGAATACCTAAGCACCCACAGCTGGCTAGGGTACAGAACAGGTACAATTAGGTACCGAACCAGAGATGGATAGGTTCAATGTTCCAGGCGGGGTCCACTATCAACCACCACAACAATGTGGGATTTCCATGATTAGCTAAACATCTCCAGCATGCAAATTGAAAATTTTGATGCAGGTAATACCTACGTACCAGGCAAGCCAGGAATCAGCGTCGACACCTGAACCTGACGAGATCGATGCCTCTTTGCGTGCGCATGGCTCGAATCCCTGGCCTAACCTGAGATACTTCCTGCATGCCTCCTCCGAGCTCAGGAACGCGTATCTTTATACACGGAGCCGCATGTATACAGAACCCGCGGGTACCTACCGCATTAACGACCTAGGTCGCGATACAAATCAATCCCTTCCTGGCCCCGGCAAACCGTCCTGGCAAACCGCCAACCCACCGGCAACGACACGTCCTGGTCCTGTGCGCTTGACAGGCCCGCGTTCCTCTCGCCCGCCGTCAACAACTACCTCCAATCCACCTACTTACATTCACCTCTTAACCCTCCCTCCCCCCCTCCCGTCTTCCTAGGACCTCCGTATGACTGTTGGCCTCTCCCGATTCCTCCTCCTGCCTTCGAAACCCCTACGCGCTAGACGACCGGCCTGTGCACCTCCGCGATCTTATGCATTCGCGTGCCTCTCGACATACCCTCGTGGCGCCATGTTCGGCAGGGCTATAGGTAGAAGCAAGGCGACCGCGCCGCCGGCTGCCGCCAAGAACGACCTCGCGAAGCAATTGTTTCCTTCGAGCAGCCCTTCGGCCCAGGACGGCAACATTGCCCAGTGGGCGTCCTCTCACAAAGGCCGCGCTAACCTGTCGTCCGGTGCTGGTTTGGGGTCTTCGAAGGCAGCAGGTAACGACCCGCTGAAGTCTAGGTCCAACAACATTCAGCAGCAGCCGCTGCAGCCGCCGCCCCAACCTCGTCATTACAAACCAGTCTCGTCTACCTCTTCTACTCCCGCCCTCTCGAACCGGTCCAGCAGCTTCGCCTCCCTATGCAGCAGTGCGTCGGCGTTCCAAGACAGACCCGAGCCGATTCATGCCCTACCGTCGCAAGGGCAACCGGCCATGCCCATATTCGCAGAGGACGATTTCAGCGACGACGACGCTCTGGATTTAGACTACAAATGCCCGACTCCGCTCCCGCCTCCGTCAGGGGCGCCAAATCCTCGTCCAGCTCCAGATCCTGCCTCCCAGCCGCCTAACAGCCAATTGCCTTGGACTTCGTCACCGGTTGAACACTACCACCCCCCTGCGAACCCGCAGAAGACAGCTCAGAAACGTCTGTCGCCGGATGGACCTGGACAGTCTGTCCCTCCTGTTGCGAAGAAGAGGAACTTGCCCGCGAGTTGGGCACGGAATTACTCCACGGAACCCATCCGTGATGACGCTGGGAGCAAAGAGGCCCCGGCGCCTCGCAAGGAGGGAGCGGCTGCTGCCTCGGCGGCTAGGGAGAATGGCGACGCTTCGGTGTGGGATGCGACCCAGAGTTCTATCGACAAGCGTCGGAAACAGGTCAGGAGCCAGCAACATGAAAACGAGTTCGAGGGTGATGAATCCATGGACAAGATTCGTATCATGGCAGAAAAATATGGAAAGCGGAAGACCAAGGCCTCTGCCATCTCTTTAAGTACCGAGCAGCAGCACGTGATGAACCTGGTCATTGAGCAGAAGCAAAGCGTGTTTTTCACCGGTCCAGCCGGAACCGGCAAATCCGTACTGGTGCGAGCAATTATCTCCGAGCTAAAGAAGAAATGGATGCGCGATCCCGAACGCCTCAGCGTTACCGCCTCCACCGGCCTTGCGGCTTGCAACATCGGAGGCATGACGCTTCACAGTTTTGCGGGTATTGGCCTCGGAAAAGAAGACGTTACGACTCTAGTCAAAAAAATTCGTCAGAACGCTAAGGCAAAGAACAGGTGGCTGCGGACGAATACGCTTATCATCGACGAAGTCTCCATGGTCGACGGCGAGCTCTTCGATAAGCTTGCGCAGATAGCGCGCACCATCCGAAACAATGGTCGTCCGTGGGGCGGGATCCAGCTAGTTATCACGGGCGACTTTTTCCAGCTCCCCCCGGTTCCCGAGGGAAATGGGAAGGAGGCTAAGTTCGCCTTCGATGCCGGTACCTGGAGCACCTCGATCGACCACACCATCGGGCTAACTCAGGTGTTCCGTCAAAGGGATCCTCGTAGGCTCTATCTTCTTCCGTCATCTTGTCGCCTCCACTCTCTTAGCTAACACCGGGCTAGATTTCGCCCTGATGCTGAACGAGATGCGTCTCGGAAAAATTAGCGATGGTACGATCCAGACATTCGAGGAGCTAGCGCGTCCGCTCACGTTCAATGACGGCCTGGAGGTGACCGAATTGTAAATACGCTCCCTTCCTTTTCATTCTCCAGGAATGGGCCGATCCGAGATGGCCGATGCGCTGACCGGTTATCTAGATTCCCGACGCGCAATGAGGTCGACAAATCCAATGAGGCGCGACTGCGCAATCTGCCCGGCCCGACCTTTCGCTACGGGGCCGTAGATTCCGGCGAGCCTGCAGTCCGGGACAGGTTGCTGTCGAACATGATGGCCCCCAAAGCGATAGATCTGCGGAAGGGTGCCCAAGTGATGCTGATCAAGAATTTAGACGAGACTCTCGTGAACGGCTCTCTCGGAAAGGTCATCGCGTTCATGAGCGAATCTACGTTTGATATCTGGTCTGCGGACAAAGAAGCGGTCGACGCAGCCGACGCAGCCCGCTTGACGGATAAAATCAGGCAATTCAGTAGCGAGAAAGACGTGAGAGACGTGGGGAATCGGGGCGATTTGAAGAACGGAATGGCGGCCCAGCAATTCCCAGTCATCCGCTTCACGACGACGGACGGGACCCACCGGATACTCCTCTGCGTGCCGGAAGACTGGAAGGTGGAACTCCCCAACGGCCAGGTCCAAGCCCGGCGGAAGCAGCTGCCCCTGATTCTGGCGTGGGCGCTCTCGATCCACAAGGCCCAGGGCCAGACGCTGGAGCGCGTCAAGGTCGACCTCGGCAAGGTGTTCGAAAAGGGACAGGCCTACGTCGCCCTCAGCCGCGCCGTGAGCAAGGAAGGGCTGCAGGTGCTGCGCTTTGACAAGAGAAAGGTCATGGCTCACCCGCGAGTGATCGTGTTCTACAACAAGCTGTACAGCGCCGAGTCGGCGGTCCAGACGAAGAAGGCGGCAACGATAGCGGACTTTGCTATGGTCAAGAAACAGCTGACGTCTCTGAGAGGAGGGACAGCGGCCGACGTGATCGACCTCGACGAAGAAGAGGCGGAAAGGGCATTGGCATACGGTTAATAAGTACGCACGCATGCGGAGAGCAAGCAAGGCCACGCGGAGGGCGAAGCAAGAGGTGTCGGTGATTGTGTTCGCGCCGAGGTCGAGACCTGGTTAAGTATCAGTTGTTGAAGGCTTCGAGGAGAAGGGTCGGGCGTGACGAAGCAATCGTGAGGGTTATTGCAGCCATCCAAGGTAGGCAGTACGACGGGCGGCTCTCACTGCCGTGGCAAGACAGACCAACGGAGATGGGTTAGTTGATGTCTCGACCAGAGCCCATGTCGTCGGGTGGTACTAGAGTAGTTGAGGCCAGCCAAACAACAGGCCGAATGAATGAGGGAGGGCGGAGAGGAAGTGATTGATGACTACGGGATCGGGCGAGGCCCCCTCTTCCCCATCCGTCTCTGTACGTGTAAGATGAACAGGCGCCACCATTGCAGTCTGTATTTTCTATCTGGCCGCGAGGAGAATCGAATACACGGGCTGGAGCAACCCAGCCAGGGGTTCGACGAGCAACTTTTTCCACCTCGCAAACAAAAATTCATATGTATGTAGTCTGCGTTTCCTTTGCTTCCGTTCTTTTCGGATCGCAGGTATCGAGTACTCGTCGAGTACTGCCGGAATCTCTACAAGATTGCGTTCCTGGAAACAAAGTGGGTGTCAGTGTGTCAATGTGTAGGTAGGTATATATGCCTCTATATTCCCCCTATCTGTATCCGCCTAACGCCAACATGGGGTGAGACTTTTTACGAGATGTCGGGGCGTCGAAGTCAAGGTGTATGATAGCCTTATAGGCTATAGGTAGGGGTCTACATCCCTACCACTACGTAATATGTACGTGTAAGTCTAAGAGGGCAGGTTGTTGGGTGCACTAATACTATTATACAGGGGGATGGGGGTCAGTTGGCACTGTGTTAGAAACTATAACTATCTTTAGAAAGAATTACTATAGCTAAAAGTATTTTAATAACTATACTAAAAAATATACTCAATATATAATATGAGTATAATATAAATACTATAATAATCTAATAACGCTTTTTAAAAATAGAATAATTATTTTATATAATATTTAGCTAAAATGTATATAAAAATTAATATACTATTAGAAATGTAATAAATATTTCTCTTATTATAATAATATTATTAAAATACTTATATTAAATTATAATAAAACTTATATAATAATTTTTATTATAAGTATTTTATATTTATAGAAAGCGCTTATTAATATTATATTATATAAAGGTTATATTTATACCATGTAAATATTGTAGATATACTGTCGATAGACCCCCCTCCCGCTATGGTACCTAGGTTACCATGGAACGAACGGATTCATAAGGTAAAGGTAAGTACTGGTACTCGGGCGCTGACACTCGGGTACTGGAACGGCGAACCCACCGTATAGGATCCACCGGCCGGGCTATGATGGCATGTGATTGGTGTTGTCATCGTGCTGGTCGGGCAGGCGCTATCGATAAGGAAAGCTTAAACACAGGCTCCGCGTACCTGCCTTTAAACTAATCAAAACGAGAGCAGAATAAAATAATAAAATAATAACGAGAATAGGGATAATAATAGGATTAGCTGCCTACTTAGCTAGGTTAATCATTTATTCTTATTATTTTTACTGTTGGTATTCTTTTTTCCTTTGGGGAAGGCCGAGAAAGCGTACGGAGCGAGGCCGAGACGTAGAAAGCCTCAAGATACAACCACTGCTACTACCAACCACAACATACCTACCTGTAGTCCAGTCGACCAAAGCCGCGGATTCTATTCCTCCAACCCGCCATTGACGGCCACTCGAACCTGTCACCATCAGGCTGTGCGTAGCCACTGTTCTGTCGCCGTCCGCTCCTCCATTTGCACTTCGCCGCCGTCCTTTTCTGTCTGGTGCTGACACCACCAGGCATTTCAACTTAGCAGCATAAGGGGTCAGAGCAGTCATCGACGATCACCTCAAGCCAGCCGACTGCGCGGCCGTCCTTGCCACCCTCCCATTCCATCTCGTCTACCTTGCAAGATCGGCTTGTCGACTGCTAGCCCCGATACCTCCCTCCCCGCTAGGCACACCTCCATCTACATCTACACTCGACAGCAACACCACACGAGGCCCCCTTCGCCCCCGCCCTCATCTCGATAGTCACCTCTGCCTCCACATCTCCCACCTTCCCCTTCGCGCAGATCGGCAACACGTCGGGTCTACCGCCCCTTGCTTCTCTGCTGCTGGCGTGTTGTCTAGGCCGGCCAACCCTCTTCTCACCTACAGAGACGGCAGACTACGCCTCAAAAGTTAGCTCCTCATGAACTTGCCACCGAGAAATACCCGCGCTTGATCCTTCTCTGCTCTCACGACTCCCTCTTTCTACTACACGTGCTGGGAAATCAGTGCCTCCAGTGCTACCTTTGCATCTACGTCTGCCCATTGCGGATCGAACAACTGCCCAAAGCCCGGGATATCGGACGTCTGACAATCCCTTCGAATCAATACGTTCCGAATCGCCGGTCCTTCTCTCCTCATTATAGCTTTACGTCGCGCTTGTGCCATCCGCAACGTTATTACCACCTTTGCGTTTCCCCAGATCCCCATCCCACGCTTTCTGGAGCCCGAACAATACATGGTTATCGGGCTACAAAGTCGTTTAGCGACCATGGAATCTAATCCAAATGCCCAGGCCAACACAGGATCGAATCCCCTCTCACAATGGCTGGGCGGTCGCTACATCATAGTCTTGAAGGATCCCGCCGGCGAACGCATCGAGGGAACCTTGCGAGGCCTGGTCCCTGAACAGTACATGACATTAGGACGAGGTGAGCTGAGCGCTAGGTAGCATGTTGAACCTATACGGCGGATTTGGCTGACATGGGAGTAGCTGTATTATTACGCACGAACCAGACTGTCGAGCAACTAAATATCGACGCGACCAATGTGGCCGATATTATTGCTGTCCAGGCTCCGGCGGTGCAACCACCCTTCCAAGACCCGGCCATTCTCAGCCTGGGCGCAAGAACGAACATGGCGCTTCCAGACGATCCACATCACGCGCAAGCCAACATCCGCGAAAAGCGAGATCCACCCGTCATCCCCAATCCTGCCGACCGCATGACGTACACCTCCCCCGACGAGCTGACCGACGCGCCCAACCCTGATGCTCCCGAGGGCTCCATGTCGCAATTGAGCCTCTCTCCATCTAACACGGCGAAGCTCGATTCCACCCCGCGAGGGGACTTCTTACTGACTCCTACTGCCTCCAATGCCTCCAATGCCCCCTCGGGCTCTAAGAAAGACCGACGTCGAGGTGCGCGTGGCCGGGGAGGCCGTAAGAATAAGAAGCTCGCGAGCGACTCCGTCGAAGATGCGACACAGGATGAGACGAACCCCGCCACGGGCTGGAGACAGACTCCCATACTACAATCTACCGAGTCTTTCCAACCCTTCACTTCTCTCAAGAAAAGCCAGAAAGGCCGGCTCGGCCTAAAACCCGAAAGCGGCTGGGCATCGGAAGATGTCACGGACGTGCAAGAAGCCGGCGACTTCGACTTCGAGAGCAGCCTTGCTAAATTCGACAAGCGCAAGATATTCGACGAGATGAAAGAGCAGGACGAGATCGACGAGTCGCAACGTCTGGTCTCTCACAACCGCATCCCCCGCCCGAAGCCCGGAACGGCGGGCGGCAAGAACTTGCACTACACCGAGAACGTATTAGACCTGCCGTCGTCTACCGCCAAGCCGAAGGAGCCCAGCGGCGACTTCTGGAAGAGCGAGGCCGACGACGAGAACGGCGACGCAGCTGAGCGCCTCAGCGGCAGCGGCCGGAATTCGCGCCTGCGAGGAGAATCCAGGTTGTCGATGAGCCGACGCTCTCAGTCGCGTAAGGCGAGCACAAGTGCAGGTGCGGGCGGCCAGGGCCGAATTCACGGAGCGGTAAGTTTGTATCCCTCCCCTGATTTCTTCTCCTTTTTTCCCCATTCATCGCCCTATTTCTCGAGCCTTCACCCGGATGGTATTTATCTAACTAACCTCAGCAGCCCGCGTCCTCTTCCAAATCTAGTGGCGGGCTGTACGCTTTACTGTCGAATCGCCGAGTCGAAACGGTCACCCATTTGCAAATGCTTGTAGTGGAAAATGTCGCGCACAATGACTTCGGCTTCACCGAGGATCTTATGGCCGAAAACGCGGGCCGCAGCATTTCCGAAGTCGCAATGCGTGCGCTCGACGATCCTGCTGTCAGGCTTCGTGCGGCCGCCAGTTCGCCCCCTAGCACGTCCATGATCGTCATCTTAGCTGGGAATAATAAGTCGGGGGCACGCGCGCTGGCCGCCGCCCGCCATCTTCGCAACCATGGTGTCAATGTTATCGTCTGCGTGGTCGGGATCGAGCGCGAGCAGAGCCTGCTCGAGGACGTGCGAAAGCAGATCCGGCTCCTACGTAGCTTCGGCGGCACCATCTTGGACAAGTCGGAGCTGTTCGAGCACGTCAGCCAAGCTGCTACCCTCAAGAGCTCGCCCTACGTCGCGCTCATCATAGACGCCCTGCTCGGGTTGACGATCTCGTTTGAGGAGCTGCGCAAATCGGACCAGGCGACCACGTACGAGCTCATGGAATGGTCAAACAGGAACGAAGCATTCGTCATAGCGATCGACGTCCCGAGCGGCATCGAGCCTTCGAGCGGCAAGGTGAACGTCATCGACGGTGCGAAGCTCTACGTGCACCCTCGCTTCGTGGTAGCGCTTGGCGCCCCGAAGCAAGGCCTGCTGAAGGCGCTACAGATGGGCGAGGAGCAAGGGGATACCCTGATGTCGGAGGAGTGGAAGCTGTTCCTAGCCGACGTTGGGCTCAGCCCCCTGGTCTGGCGTAAGGCGGCGACCAAGATCCGGCGCGGTATCGAGTTCGAGGATAGGTGGGTGCTCGAGCTGCAGTACCGATCGCAGGTCGAAAGGGGGCCCTGAGCCATCCGTCGACAAGGAGAGACGGGGGACGGGGGTGAGGGTTGAAGAAGGCTTCTTCTTCTACTCCATCCTGCTATACACTACATGCACCGTACCAGCTTGCTGTGAGGATAAGCTGTCCCGGCGTTATGCCCGCTCGCCTGCATGTCCAGGGGCAGTTCAACTTCGCGTATCGTCCCATCTACAGAGGGGTTCTCTCATTACCCCCCCCCCCCCCACCCCTTTTTTTTCCCCCTTCCTCTTTATTCCAACTTGCATGTTTTTGGTTCACGAGTTCTACGACGCATGACGGTAAAAGGCGTTTTATGGGATGGCCCGAAGCTTGATGGTTCTTCTAGCTAGCGTGCAGCAAGGCATATCTGCACGCCCAAAATACCCCCTTTTTATTTTCCTCTCTTCTCCAAATCCGCGCCACGGGGTTCTCTGTTCATTTTGCATTTCCGCGGGTGGGCGTTCGGTCTGCGTGCGACCCAGGTGGTAACATCATATCGTTAAGGGAAGAAGATGAGAAGAGGGTGAGAGGGAAGAGGGGAAAAGCGCGAGCGAGCGAGCAAGCGAGAGAAGGGGATACACCTGCATCGTATACGTAGAAGAGGCCACTATGTTTTTACCATCCGCAGGCCGGCGAGGCCAGGCCCCGTCGTCGAGGAGGACGGAGGCGAGCGGAAGGGGGGGGGGGGGGGGGGGGGCTCGTCGAATCTGCGAGTTTGCGATGCTGCGTATAGACTAGACTGCGCGTGCGAATAGACCTTGAAAAAGACCCCCGGCCAGGGGACCGAATTCTAGAACAAGTCGGCCGTCTCTCTCGCGCTGCCTTGTCCACGGACGTGTGTTCGAATGCCGGCGCAGGATGACGATGCATATACGTCGTGGCATACATGTATGTAGTCTTGCATGCTACATTCCTACGGATTCAACGCATTGCACAGCTCACGCAAATGCAACCATCCACACCAAGACCGACCATATTGAGTACTATACTGCAGCCATCTCCACCCCTGCTCGCGCGGGTCCTGGTCGACGCCACGCGGTAGATATCCAATGGAATGGCTGGATTTACTCAGCACGGCGCTGCTCCAGCAGGGGTAGCTCTGCGAAGTCCATCCTGGGCTCAGCATCTCGCCATGTCAGCCCCCTTGGCTCGGTGCCTATGGCGTTGTCGCGGATGGGCATGGCATGTTCCCTCGTACGAGACGAAGAATTACCCAACCAGCACTAATCTACTACTCCGCGCCGACCGATCGAGCCTCGATCGATTTGCATGTGCGCGCCGGCTGGAGACGGTAGCCATACGCAGACAGGAGTAACTAGCTTAGGCAGGCCGTCGTGCTGACGCAGGGACTCGCACGCACATTTACCGCCTCCGCACGGCATGCGTATGTACCAACGCTCTCGCACGCACGCAACGCACGTTTTACCTACCTCCTCCACCGCCCTAGATCCCGCGCCGCACGCCAAAGACAACTTATAAGACCTCCCTGTCCCGCCCCGAGCCATCCGACCTCTCGCCTCGAAGCTCCTCCTCTTCTTCTTCCTCCTCACGATGGGACCTTCCCCTGCCGCACTAGAGCCCGCCCGGCGCAGCATCCTCGACCGCCCGATCCTCATCGCGATACCCATCCTCATCGGCCTGTTCGCCACGCGCTCGCCCTTCTTCATGTCTGCCGCCCCGGCCTTCGATCCGGCCGCCCCCGAGGCCGCCGCCGTGCCCTGGGCCGACGCGCCCATCCCGCTGGTCACGACGCCGCAGTACGAGACGAACAAGGTCCGTCGACGGCCGTCCCGACTTCTTCGCAGCCCCCTCCCCGTCTCCCACGGCCGCTAACTAGAAGAAAATCCCCCCGCCCCCCCCGCCGGGCGAGGGGGGGAGAGACACCGCAGACCGACATCTTTACCACGGGCGCCACGCACATGGCGCTCCTGCATAACGTGATCCTGCGTGGCTACAACTCGATCTGGCAACAGGCGCCGCACGTGCGGCCGGCTGACGTGCCCGACTTCGTCGGCTACTGCCGCGTGTGGCACCAGTTCGTGGTGCACCACCATGACGACGAGGAGGGCGCGCTGTTCCCCAAGATCGCCGCCCTGCTGCTCGAAGACGACGAGAACGTCGACGTCGACGACGCCGCTGCCGCTGCCGCTGCCAAGGATAGCGATAAGGACAAGGATAAGATCGCCGCCAACGACGAGGCGATCTGGGGCGCGACGCACCGCGAGCACGCGGCGTTCCTGGGGGGCCTCGCGGCATTCAGCGCGTACCTAGACGAGGTCGCGTCGGGGGCGCGGCCGTTCTCGGGGGCGGGGCTGCGGGGCGTGATGTCGGGGTTCGAGGAGGCGTTCGCGGCGCACTTCCACAGCGAAGTGCGGACGATCGCGGGGCTGGCGGGGCACGCGAGGGCGCCGCGGGCGGGGAGCGCGCGGGAGGCGGCGGCGGCAGCGACGTTCCGCGACTGGGGCCGCGCGACGGTGATGCGCGCCGGCGCGCTCGACGGCGTCCCCTTCTTCCTCCTCAACCTCGACGCCACCGCCGAGGGCGGCCGCTGGGCCCGCTGGCCCCCCATGCCGCCCCCCGTACGCTGGGGCCTCGAGAACATCGCCGGCGCCTGGCACGCGCGCCGCTGGCGCTTCGCCTCCTGCCTTGCTGGTCGCCCCCGCCGCCTCTACGCCCTCGGCCCCGAGAGCGCGTGAGCGCGAGGAGGCGTGGCGCTGCGCTGTAAGAGAGAAGGGGTGGAGAACAGGAGGGAAGGAAAGGGAAGGGAAGGGGAGGGGAGAGCACAGTGGAGTCCGGGATCGGTAGATGGCGAGGGGCGGGCGGGCGTTCGATGGGTGTTGCTGCTATCGGCGGGAGGGGATAATGTGGCGTTGGCCCCCCCCTTTTCCTCGGTTGGGTCAGAGAATGGCGTTTCTGCGTTGATTTATCGAGCGGGAAGCTCGGCCTTATAATGTCTCTTGTTATATCGGCGCTAGAATGCACTCTACTTCCTATCGATGGCAATAGGGCAACGGGCGAGGGGCGAGGGGCTATGTGTAGAGCGCCTCCCCTCGCCCTCCCTCTCCCAACTCCGCTACTTGAGGAGGCAGAAGGCGGGGCTATCTCAGTTCCGATGATTATTGATTCGGGGGTTGGCGACTCAGTGGCTTGGTTTCCGTCGACAACCACCGCAGGGCGTTCTGGTTACCTACATTGTGTCGTAACGGCGCAGAGGTGTCGCCTGCTTTGGCGTCAAGTGACAGTATCCCCTAAGAACTATGGACTTAACCCCCCGATATGAAAGAAGCAGTTGAGAGGATGGGGTTAACTAGGGCCTTACCGGGCACTTAGCATATGGACTCTCAGCGTGTTTTCCCTCAGCGTATATCACGAGTCACGCAGGAGCACCGAAGACTCGAGGCGCACCAAGGCATACGTTTACTAACGTTCTCTCCGTGCGACTTTCTCATAATGGTGGCACCTGGCTCTTGCTTCAACCTCCACAGTGTCACCGACGTTCTAAGCCGATTCGTGCGTATCTGTGTATTTCTAACCCGGAAACTTCCTCAGCTGCCTCGAAGTCGCCCGCGATGCGGACTTGGGCCGTCGCAGCAACACCCTCCCCTATCGCCTTGCCGCGTACAAGCTTTCAGTACCTATACAATAGCTAGGGTCAAGTGTTCCTAGATTTCGGGATCTAGAAGTCTGCCGTATCAATCAATACAGGCCGGACGGCCGCATCCTCACACCTAGATCATAGGGTGGCCTTCTACGATGAATCGGAAAGAGTTGGTCCTCGCCTGCTACCTGATGATGACTTGAGCATTTCAACACTCTGCGGTAAATGCGGGCTGACAGGCCACCCACCTGCGAGACTGTACATAACCGCACTTAGCTCTCAATCCTCACAGAACCGAATCAACTAAATCTCGGGGTAGGACCAATATATATGTTTCTTCGTGGCTCCCAGCACTTACGGCAGGCCAATGGATTCTCGCAGGTAACCTACCAGTGTGGAGCTCTATCCTGATATAGGACTAAGCTGCCGTACACGCGGCTCAGCAGCGTGGCTCTGCAGCGTGTCTCTGCAGCGTATGATTGAAACACATCTCGGAATAGAGGGTGAGGCTACGGCCCACCTTATAGGTATGCATATAGATAATGGTGATCACCAGCTTGCGAGAACGAATTCATATCATCGAGCCACAGATCTATCAAACGTACGCATAATACCAACGAAGTTATCACCAGTCTCTCGCCAGCACGGCGCGTAAGAGTTGACCTTGATAAAATAGTTCGGCCTTGAGTTCATGCTGCCAGCATTTTCTGGACGATCGATCTTTCTATCGCCATCATTCTACCCTCTCTTCTATTTCATCTCATTCCTCCTCTTTCTCTTCACAAGATCTCGCTTTCTCCTCCGGAACCCCTATGGGAGAAGCTGCCACTATTTCGTTTCTCCCCCCTTCCAAAGGCACGGGCGTGGGGTCTGGAATTTACCGGAACTCTAGTAACTCTGATCTTTTTGCTACCCTCCCGGGGAACATGTTAGCTCCGACGAAGCAGCTCGGCTTGCATGACACGGCCAGGGTTCAGGTGATCACAAGTCGAGGCGAACTCCAGCAGCCAAACCACCCAGACTATAACAAGTATGTGCTAGAATGTCTGGCAACCGAATACCGGCCCACTTCCCGTAATGTCGACGATCTTCTCAACGAGATCGGAAACGAATTCGACGATTGCCTGGATGCCAACACGACTCTAGATACCAGGAGTTTCATTCCAAACAACAGACTTTTCGAGATCCTTACACCCGAAAGAGTGCGAGACATCGTTCATAGTTTGGAGTGCTTCCAGGACCTGGAAGACAAAGACGGGTTGGTGCAAGATATATGCGTCGGGTCTCATCTGAGGTTACTGGCTGTCCTCGTCGGGATTAGGAAGGTCGACTATCTCCTGGAACACATGGACGACGGCATGTGTGACCTATGCCTCCCGATGCCAGTACAGAAGGACCGCAGAGATGGAAGACTCTACTGCCAGTACCACCGGGAAAGCCACAAAAGTCTTGACAGCTACCCTCGAATTTCACATCGCAAAGACTTTTCACAGTGGTCGTACAGCCTGTCCGCCCCATACATAACGTATGACGCGAGGCGGCATCAGCACTACAGCCTCAGTATCGACGATATCCTTCCCATGCGGGCCGTGGCGGGGAAGCCGCGCGGCCAAAGCAAAGAAGCAGAGGAAGCGAATAGCTCCTACGGGGGGTTCAGCCAAGTCTTCAAAGTCGAGTTGGATAAAAGTCATTACGACTTTGGGGACGTCGGTGTAGGCCATCTTAAGAAGCCGGAAGCGTGCATCTCGAGAGAAACTAATCGTATGTCATCTTCAGATTCGTCATCCTGATGGGTTTTTCGCATTGAAGAAGCTTCTCTCCCGCAACTATAGAGACTTCAACTTGGAGCTTGCCTCCCTCTTATTCTCGATGGATAACTGTGAAGGGGAAGGTAGTAAGCATATAATCAACCTATTGGCGACCTTCGAAGTACAAGACCCATCGGTTCAACATTCGACGTACTACTTCCTCTTTGACTGGGCGGATGGGACGCTCGATAGTTTCTGGCGAACTGCCGAATGTCTCGTCGGTGACAGGACTCACTACAAGTGGATGTCTGAACAATTCTACGGAATCTGTCTAGCTCTCCAATCCGTGCACAACGAACGCGGACAAAGCCCGGGGCCTATTGGGGGCGACGCCCTCGAGGGGAACTTCGCTGTACGGAGTCATGGTTTCCAGGAGCTCTATGGGCGGCACGGCGATATCAAGCCGGATAATATCCTTTGGTTTCGCTCGGGCGCGACTAGGGGCGACTTGGGGACGTTGGCGTTGGCGGATTTCGGGCTGGGAAGGTTGCATACCCAGGTGTCCCGATCGAACCGAGACCCGATGAACATCCCTCGGACTGCAACCTATCGAGCGCCCGAGTTCGACGTACCCGGCACCACGATCTCGCGGGCGTCGGACATCTTCAGCCTTGGGTGCGTATTCCTCGAGCATGTCACCTGGCATCTGCGAGGCCTCGAGAGCGTGACGGACGGATTTCCGGACCACAGAATGGAGACTGACATTTACGACTTCGAGGCCGACACATTCTTTTCAGTTCGCGATCACAAGCCCGTCCGGAAGGAAAGCATAACGATGTGGATCGCAGACCTCCGCAAACATACGAATTGCAACGAGTACATTCGCGAACTACTCGATGTGATAGAATACGGGATGCTCGAGCCGGAGAGCGCAAAGAGGATCGGTATAAATGCACTCGTGGACAGGATGGCGGACCTTCGTCGGATAAAATGCTAGTCGGAAAGGGAAAGGGGACGGGTTGGGATGCCATCGAGGAGTAGGTAGTCAAGGGCTTATATATCTACCCTCTGGAGATGCACACACGCCTACATAGCTGTGTGTGCGAGTTTTCATGATGCACGTAGGTACTGAACGAGGGCGGAGAGGAACCCCAGAGTCCCACGGGCATTAGGGGCGGGTAAGACAAGCCACTAATAGTGAAGAACGCACCCACGTCCCAACCGACCCAAGAAGATTCTGGCACCTCAGACCTCTGTGAGAAGAATGCCTCCCCTTCCTTCAGGAGAACCCACACGCTTGTCTTCACTCAGTTGGCGGATGACGGGCCCGCCTCCCGTGCCTGTGGCTGGGCACGGAGCGCGAATCGTAGTCTCTATATACCTAGGTATATATAGACATACGAAGGTAAGCCTGTCGCCTAAAAGCTGATAGAAGAAGCAATATACCTAGTAGAAGAAGCCTACGTGGTATGTAACCAGGTGGGGAGGTGGATGCATCTACATCCCTTGCCGAGGATAACCCGTGAACAGAAACAATTTCGCGCGGCAACATAAATACCTAGTTACCCCATGAATCGCACATCTATTAAGAGCAGGTTGTCGCTTTACCAACTAGGTATCTACTCTTCTACCCGAGCGCTCCTCCGCCTGTGACACCCCCAACTTAATGCCCTGTCTTGAGAGACCGCCCTTATTCCTCGTCGCATGCTAAAAGACAACTGCTCTTCACAAGATAGGTATGCCTTCAAGCATCAACGCAGTTCCAGGGCAGCTCCTGCTACGGCGGCCCATATCTTCCCCCTCTTCAGCCGTGACAGATTTGCCCGTATCTGGCCCCTCCAAATATCCATGTTCTTTTCCATCGCAGCGCCTGGTATCGTATCGTTCGACAAAGCAAGCTACTCCTCTGGCTGCGATCCGTGGTAGTGGTGCATGATCCCCCTTTCTAACTCCGCAGCCTGGTCCTGTTCGAGGGTTAGCGGGTCGCGGAAATGGCAGATGCTTAGGCTGGGCACCTCTTTCAGCGGTTCCGGCAGTAGCAGTACCAAATTGCTGGATTTAGACTGGGCATATTATTAGAACGCAGGTACTCGGTGATTCGGTCGCCGCGACTTAGAACTGGGCGCATTTCTCACCCTGATTCTGTATTTCCCTTTCCCGTACATCTTGTCGAGGACGTCTTTGAGCTTCATCGGATTGTTGTACTTGTTCCTCAATAAGATCTCGTGCCACGTTGCGGGTTCGGGCGAGCCTTGAGAGCTAGGCATCCTCGGGGAGAGCGGAAATCGCATACAGTGAATAGAGAGTTAGGTAATATTTGCGACTCAGGATTTGCACCCTCTTCTGACAAGTCCGCGAGCTGATGGACATGAATAAAGACTGCTCGTGTTGCCAATAACACGATTGTTCTTGTTGATGACGAGGATACCGGCGATGAAAAGGGGTGTGGTCTACTACTACATTTGCATTGCCAGATTATTGCATTGCCTATTACCTGCCAATGAGGCGGGGGCTCGGCAAGAGTATCGCGGCGGCGGGATAATTGCCGCGACGTGAACCAACAGCTAAGTAATTGGTGCGGGACGGCAACGTCGTTGCAGAAAGACCTAGAGAGGACCATCCCGAGACCACCGGTTGGCCCGGTCTGCAGCCTCCAGATGCCTAGGTAAATCTACGGAGCGGTGGGAATGTGTCATATGGTAGGTAGGCACCGCGGCCTCCGGCAAGGGTAGAATAAAAACCGGCGATGAAGAAAATACCTACATAGGTATGTATCGTTTTTCTACGTGAGGCCTCTAGGACGCTGTACCTACTTTCATGCAGGGTGAGGCTGTTGGAAGTGTGACCGCGTAGCCGCGCGCTTCCCAAAACAGTGTATTACTCCGCCTTATCATCAGCCCCCTTGCCCCGAACAACTGAGTAGGAAAACATGTACCTACGTGCTGTTGGCTTCACGGAAAATTTCCCCGGAAGCTTAGCAGTTCGCGCTCTTCATGCTACCGTGGTAGCAATGCTACTCGTAGCTATCCTTCCCGAAAATTAATCCGTCGTTTGGGAATCGTCGGAGTTCGTGGGTCCGGGTCACAAGATGGACTGGCCCATGGAGGGCACGGATTGGAACGAATCCAACCTAAACAGCTTCAACTTCGAGGAGCGTTCTACCACGGTCCTACAGAAACGAGACTCTGACACGGTATTCTTAGAGCTATCCTGTCCCTTTACCCCCTTGCTAACTGAATCGGCGGTAGACACTAGTCAAAGAGACGCTGGAAGGCCAAGACTGGGAGAGTTGGATTGACAAGGTACGGCGGTGAACAAGATGGTCATCGACTCACCCGATCTGTACCGGGGCTCGATTAACCGCGAACATAGACACAGGACGCCATATCCGCCGGAAACGGCCTTTACGTCGTGTAGGCGGCATCCCAGAAGTCGACTCAACTTACGGACGCTGACCACGACCTTTACCAGACTCTTTAGTAGGGCGGAGCCCGTCTTCGAGGGGATACCCGCACCCGTCTCGTGTATCCCCGTCACGAAGGACGTATGGAAAACACTGATAAAGTTATTTCGCGTTCATCGAAGTATAGCGAGGACGATAGCTAGGATGGCCACGTTCGTTGCGTCAGATTACGAGCAGGAGGACGAGTCGGCGGAATGCAATATATGTGAGCACGGCCGTCGCCCTCCGCCCCTCCGCCCCTTCGCCCAACCACGGCGGCACATAATATTGACATGAGATCGTAGTTTTCACCGCCAGGATGTCAACGCATCTCAACGGAGACTTGGCATTGTCACTTACCTATATTCCGAGCACAGAATCGACACTCGCTGTCATGTATGGGTGCAGCCCGCGCCAGATACAGGAAATCGAGAAGCGCATTCGGGCCGCGGGAGAAAGGACAAAGTATCCACTGCTTATGCTCGGCATATTTGCTGAACTAGAGCGACATGTTCTCTCAGCTATGGTGGAAAGCCTCCTCGGTAAGTTTGTCCTGCGAGCCACCCGTCTCGAGACTGGATCCTGGGATCCGTCCCAGGATCTGACCAAAGAGAAAACCCAAGATCAGCTGCGGATGTGCATAGAGAGTATGAATCTCAAAGACCACATTCGGGGAGTGAAGCGGCAAATATCGAAGCTCTTAGCCGAGATGGACCAATTCGAAGACCATTTTGTTTCCCACGGAGGTGACGACGGAGGGCATAAAGCGCTCTGGTTCAAGAGAGTGGGCCTGGAGATGAAGAAGAGGCTCAAGGACATTATGAACGACTACGAAGAGAAAATAGACGAGTGCAATATGATCGTCGAAAATATAACGCTGGCCGCGCAAACGGTAAATCCATCTCGCCTTAATATCCATTCTCCCCGGCAGAAGTGCTCAGCGACGCTAGGTGTGGAATCAAATTGCGATGCATGATTCGGAACTCAACACTCGGATCGCGCGGGCGAACACGACGATCGCCCTAGAAACGAAACGGGAGAGCACCCAGATGAGGTCGATCGCATTGCTGACCATGATATACTTGCCCATCTCTAGCGTCGCGGTAAGTACAACGGGAATGCCTTCCGCCTTAGCCCCCCTTAACCCCCCTTACGGAGTTCCAGGGCTGATGTGCAGTTATCTAGACCGTGTTCTCGATGAACCTTTTTAACTGGGAGGCCGGAGACGGGGAACCGGTTGTCTCGCATTATATATGGGTGTTCATCGTTTTCGCCGTAGGGTTTACGGCGATTACTCTGAGCGTGTGGATTTACCTGACGCGGCGGCACGAGAAGGAGGAGAGGAAGATCGCCGACAGATACCAGGCCTTAGAGCTTCAGAGTAAGATGGCCTAAGAGCTCGTGGCGATGACGATGAAGAACCACGAGACGTAACGGTGCCTCGACACCTAGCCCGCTAGCGGCATGCCATAGCATACGGGGTATCATGACCCGAGTATCATGACGGAGTCCAGGGAAGAATCTGCATAGACGCATAAGGCGCATGATAGAAAGTCTCGTACCAGGATGACGAGAAGCACGTTTTTAGAGACAATGGATATACTGGCCAAATACTAAATACGGCGATCGCCTGCAGAGAGACAGAAAAGGAGAGGGAAGAACCGTGCACGGTGAACGCCTAGAGTCTCAATACACGACAGGACCTCCTCGTGTCAAAACCGAAACCGCCCGACCGTCGTCGTCGTCGAGCATCCTACTTTCGTCCTACAACCCGTGTCCCCGTAAGTGCGCGGCTCAAGTATCCCTAAGAGAAGCATAAAGTCAGCCAACCTACGCATCCACGGGGTATCTAGAGAAGAAGAGAGGGCTACATACAGCAACGCCAGCGTCAGGTCGCCGTGGATGCGCGCCTTGAGGGTGACCTCGACCTCGAGGTTCAGATCAAGACGAAGCCTCAGCGTGTCGGACTTGCCCCCCTTGTCGTCCTGCTGCTGCACGGTCTGCTGCATCTGCTGCTGCTGCAACATCTGCTGCTGCTGTCGCTGCTGCAGCATCTGCTGGTCCTCCTGCGCCTGGAGCGGCTGGACCGAGCCCGGGCGACGGCGGTTGCGACGGCGCGTCCGCGGGGGCCGCGACGTCTCCGACAGCTGGTCCGAGGCGTCCGAGTGGTCCGTCTCCTGGAGGTCTGTCGGCCGCCCCTGAGGCTGCTTCTGCTTCTGCTCGTCGGGGCTCGACGACATTATGGCTCGTGTGTTCTTGTATACGGTGATAGGTAGAGGTCGTTCTGGCGTAGGAGTAAAAGCACCCTCGTGTTAGATAGAATGAGGCTGCTTTGGTGCGATGCGGGAAACGCAGAATGAGAAGAACCAACTACTACAAGGTCGTCAATTACAATCGGACTATGATATTAAGAAAAGATTCGAAATTCATATGCCCCATCGACTGCACGCCTATTTGTAGCGAACGAGCACGGCTAAAACGTCGACAACTAGGTATATCAGGATTCGCGATCTGCAGCAATCGTCGATGGCTGCCGAACCGCAACGTCACCACCCCTCCCTCCCCCCAAATTATGGCATAGTATCGGCTATGCGAGGGGGTAAGAGGCACGAGTTACACAGAGTAAACCCGGATTTTGAGACCTTTGCATCATGAGGCAATACACGGGCATCGGCCCTCCCTGGCTGCTCGATGCTGGTGCCGAATCAGAAGCCTCACCACAAGCCACCGGGATGATCTGACGTCAAGCTTTACACGCCTCTCTCACTCCATAGCCTCCAAGTTATAACGCCACCGTCGTTGTACCTAGCATGGGGATAAGGGTTCTTGAGGGGACGGAGCTCGAGGATGAGAGAAAAGAAGGGTTGTTGATCGCATGGTTCGGCGGGTCGTAGGTATAACATCGACGATCACGTACATGATGGTATTTGCGATTCTTTGCGATTCACGGCAGTGATGCACCGCAATTTCTGCAAGGGCCGTCGGGACGAAGAGCTACCCGATAATAACAAAACCATCTAGGCATGTTCCCGAGCGGCATGACTGTGAGCCAGACGGACGTCACGATCAGCCTGTAGTTATCGTCATGTCTTCCTCTCCCACGGAGTTCCGAGAGAATATTACCTGGATCCAGAGATTGCATGTATGTTGTATACCCTCTCGTCTTCATTCGCTGGCCCGCCGCCGTGCTACGTACATACCCTGCCGCGGCGTTACGTGCCCGTCATCATGCCATCACGTAGAGGATGCCCGCCCACATGCTGCAATACACTATGTTCAGGGGCGACAAGGGATGATATGTCAGATAAGGGTCGCCGAGGGGAGATCCAAGCCTACCACCACAGCGCGTTCCTATCCTAGCTCCTCCGTAAGATATATTTCATTCATCGGCACCCTGCTTTTGAGCCAAAAACAGCAATCTCCAGTTCCCAAGAAGAACATGCCGTCGACTGTAGAGTCTAGACCACTCCTACCAACGGCCTCTGCCGTGCAGAAAACAGGCAAGCAGTTTGGGCTTCAGACCATATCAGCCCGAGAAACGACCCCCATCTATCTGATCGCTCGAGTTCTGTTGCTCATAATACGTACCCAGTTATTACTATATCCACATAGTGACACTTGACCCCATGGAAACAAAAAGCCTAGGAGAAAGATAGGAGAACTTCAAACTGCAAAAGATAACCCGTACAGAGGACTATGCAAGCATGCACGGCCAACCTCATCGCGTTGGCCGCGGTGGGCCGGCGACGGGCTATACGCCTAAGGGGGGGGGGAGGGAGAGAAAGCCCGTCCGCTGCCGTAGTTGGGGCCGGAGCGCAAGCTGCGCGTCGAGCCTTTGTGCCCGTCCGTCCGCCCACTTCCCGGACCAGAGCCTCCCTATGTCTCGACGCGGGCTAGATAGACTTTTGTGCCTCGGACTCACGCCTATCAGGTCAGCTCTTCACAGTAACAGTAGTAGCAGTTGGGTTGGGCCCCGATCTAGTCGGGCGGCCCTACCATACTTCCGGGAATCTTTGGCCCATAGGTATATCTTGGTCCCATGGTGGTGGTGGGCTGATCGGATCTGAAGCCCCCGGTGCTGCTTTGCAATATCCAAACCCACAGCGGTCGGACGCGGAGAACACGCCGTCAGATCCGGCCCATCGTCCCGTCTGCCTTGGCGTAGGCCCATTGCCCGAGCCTAGCTTCGCGCGGATCTGGAAAAGAAGCTTGTGTCCTAGAGAGACAGCACCCGGCCTCCTCTCCGGCGTGGGGCCTGCTGGGCCAAGCAGGTCGGCATGTGGCTAGCAGAGCTGCGCGGGACTTGGGCCATTCGGGCCCAGAGACGCAGGCGAAAACGTCCGGGGCCAGGCGATACGTCTCCCACGAGTGCACCTCGCCGGGATCGTCCGAAGGCGTCTGGGAGAGGGGGGTTGGCTACGACGCCGAAACGTCGCGAGCCAAGCTGAGAAAAAGCCCAGCGGGCGGCGCCCGAACACGCAGCTGGCGAGCTACGCCGATGTCTCTGCTGTGCAACCGAACGGGACCCTGACAGAGAGATGCTGTCAAGGTGGATGAGAGAAGAGCACCCAGACAGCACGCGAATAATGCTACGATTGGTCCAATACTATCAGCGATCCCGCGCAATGGAGGGAGGGATAGATAGATGGGGGGGAGCTGAGTTGGCATATCACGACGGGAATGCGGTTTGGGAGCCCGAATGTTGTGTGGGCGATGGCGCGAGCAATTCCGTTGGGCATCAACACCACCTAGGGTCGACGATCGACGACCGTAATAGAGAGAGGAGACGCGCCGGGCCGGACTCAGGATACGGGGCTAGGCGTTCTAGCCGGATTCGGTACGCAGAGATGATCGTGAGAATGAGAAGAGGACAACATGTGGAGGAACAAGAATTCATCGTATCGCGAACATCCAGCACCCAATGCATCGATCCATGCCGGAACTCCGCCGATGCCTCATACGAGCCTTGCTCGTGTATCGTACAAACATGAAGGGCTATCGCCCCGGAGCATATGAGCATATGACCATATGACCAAAATCCACGGGCCCGGCTGCTGGCCGCTGTATTGAACCATTCTGTAGATGTGCGGCGAAACCCCTCCTGAGGCCCAGTCCATCGCAACCCCCAGCCCCCCTCCCCTCCCCTCCCCTTTTTGAAAAAAGGTAACCTCGTAACAGCGTGTTTGCGCTCGCCGTTACGGAGTCCCTGAACCTCCCTCAAGCCTCCTCGTGACGATCCACATTCCAAAACATCCACCTATTCCGGCGGTGGGGCGTCGCCGGGGGGGGCGCCGCCCTCTTCCAGTTTAGAGCCCCTCGAGGCGGCCGACCTGCGGCGACGGTTCCTCCTCCGACCCGTCCGGATCGACCTCCCGTAGAAGTACATAAATGATCCGGCGGCCGCTAGGAAGACGGCTAGGAGAATGCCGACTACGACACCAATGGTGGTGTTTACGTCGGCCGATCGTCTGTGTAAGTCGGCGGCACGGGCTAACACGATGGAGGAGGCGTCGAGGCTACGAGAGAACGTCCGGCGCACTAGGATCGAGATGGACTCAGCGGTGAAAGGGATATCAAGATGCGTGGTAAGCTCGGGCACCGGCGACTGGCTCGCCCCAGCCTCTGCGACCGGAGGAGCCAGGAAGGTGTCGGGTTTGACATGGCCCGCCTGAGGTATAGGCATTTCAGGTGATATGCGCGCCGATAGGAGAGGGGTGAGGGAGTTGGTCAGGAGAGGCTTCGCCGGAGCATGGTGCGCCTCAGACGCCGCTAACGCAGAGGAACGAAGCGAAGAAATTAGATGGCGGCGAGGAGGGACCCTACCGAACGAGAGAAGAAGAAGGAGAAGCAGTGCCAGCTACACTGGGGTGACGGGAGCGATTTTAATCTCCACAGGCATCCCTACCCCGGGAGAAGCCGCAAAGTGTACCGAACTTAGGCGACACCTACGGGAAAGGCGCAATCTCGCGTAGACCAGCGGCCCCTTTCCGGCCAGGCCTACTACTGTATTAGACGCCCAGCCGATGTCACTAACGACGGTAGCGGGGTGACTTAGTGAGGACAGGCCCGGCATCTCATTCGCTCCCCGCTGGCAGCAGCCAACGACGATAGACCTGGGGATGCAGTGCCCACGCCGCCGAGGGAGGATTTTGTGATAGGACGGGCAGATGCAGAACCGGCCAACGATGCGGCCCCCTTTCGGCTGGTCGGCCCCTTAGTTTGTCAAGCTATAGACTCCCGGCTCCAGAGCGACCATACAGCACGTCACATGATGATGGTACGGAGAGACGCTCAGAAACTAGCGGCAATGGGGAGGCAGATAACTCGACGACGCCGTGCTCGCCACACTCACGGCGTGAGGCTCTAACCCCGAAAGACGAGTATAGGCAGATTCAGCAGGTGGATGCTCGAATCAGCGAGAAAGAGGGGGGGTGCACGAAGCGAGAGCATCTGCATGAGACACGGCAGTAGAAGACGAGTAAGGTCCGGGTAAAATGCACGACGTCAACTCGTCACCGCAGAAGCGCGGACATGATGAGGGCAGGGCTAAATAGCGCAGCGTGATTCGGCGAGACGACGTCGAGGTCCACGGCTAGGAGGAGCAGAGAGGGTGTCGGCTTCGGTCGAAAGTAGCCAGGATGGAACGTCAGCATGTCATCGCACAGGTCGCGTGGAATACCGGCGGCCGGAAAGGAGCAGACCCGTACAGGGCACACAGATAGCAACGGGGGGGGAAAGGCCGGGCGGGCGGGCGTTGGGAATCGCCAGAACCGCAAGCATCGCAGCCATCGCAGGCCTCGCGGACATGGCAGGCAGTGAGACGTGGGACGAGGCGGGTGATTCGCTGCATGCTGGATGGGATTGGGTCAGGATGGCCGACGCTGCAGGCTGCGATCCGTCCAGTCAGGTTGGCGGCGGTGCCGCCTGTCCATGTCGATGCATGGGGGCTTCGCTGCCAGCACATCGCCCAGTTCCACGGGCCATTGTTGGTTGACGGAAGAGGTCGCGTACGTTGCGTGCGTCCTGTGTGGCGTTGGAGGCGTGTAGATGTAGGCTCTGCCCGGAGGGCGGAGGAGGTGGGAGGTGGGAGGTGGTGGAAGGGAGACAGGGACGGGCAGCGAGACGAACTCGAGGAGGAGACTGGACTGTCTCGTTTATCGCATAACCCAGAGACGGCGGGCTGGCAAGAGGATGCGATAGGTAATACAGGGGTATGCTCGACGGAGGGGCGCGCATATTGTATCCGTTTCATGCATTCATACATAGGTACCTATACTCAATAGGTAGATGCCAACAGACGGGCAACTCGGGCTTCTCCCGTGCGTCGGGGTATCCCCAATACTACCTCACATACCGCAGGAGAACACGGTAATACCAATAAGTGCCGTCGGCCCTTTTTTTTTTCTCTCGCTTCTTTAATAATCTATGCGATCCTGTTGCACTACATCGCAGAAGCAACTTTGCCGCGCGAGATGGGACGGTAATATCAGTGCCTACCCATTGTATGCTCGTGTATACCTACCTACCTAGGTATATACCTATATGTACCAACGTATAGGTATATATATATATACACATCCTATAGCCCTTGCCTAAGGCACGCTCCCAGTAGTTCGCAGCCCAGCTCGACGACAGATCCAGGAAACATCTCCCTATTCTCATCCCTTTGATACCGCTGTATTCAGTCAGGGGTAGGTAGAGCAGACCCGACTTCAGTATAGGTACGTCTAGAAACGGCGCGTGGCGGTGCCTCGTGGCTTGAACATGATGAATTGTGTAGGTACCTAGGTACCCGGTGTAGGTACTCGTTGTCCCGTCCTCACCGAGCTCACCGTAGGTGGGACGCGCTTCTTGCTTCCTATACCTCCGGCCTCCCAAGTCATCATGTAGGTAACGCGTCAGATTGTGCGGGATTACTACATTTTTCACCTTCACCCCGTTTTCATCTTTCTCTCTCTCTCTTCTTCTTCTGTCTCTCGCGTAATAACTACGCATCTTTTTAGTCCCCATGCATCGTCAACTCCGCGACAGCGACCTGGCGTTGAGATAAACACCCAGCTCCGGTCCGACAGGGGTGTTGTCGGTCAACCGGTAACGGCACCGGCGGCGGTGGTGGCGGCGGCGGCAGCCGTGGGGAAGTAGCAGCGCCGGTTGGCTGGCCGGGCGGTCTATGTGACTACCATGGCCCGGCCCTTTCATATCGGGCTCACCGCGGCGAGTCACTCCCTCCCGCTCCTCGACTCGTCGACGCAAGGCCTCGCTTTTCTTAGGGATCTCATCAGCCGCTGGACCTCCGGGCTAGATATCACACACCTAGGCTCCCTCGCCGCGTGTGTAAGCGCGGCCCCTGCCGTATGGCGGCTCCTGAGGATGGCTTGGCACGAGGTGTATGGTTGGGTGCGCCAGTTCTTCATCTCCTCCGTCACCATACCCGGCCGGGACCCTCTGAACCGCCATGTAACCAATTGGGTCCTGGCCAACGTCGTGCAGTACCAGAGCATCCGTTCCTTCACCGCCCGCACACAGACCCATCCCAGCGCCGTGATCGACCGAGCCGCCCAGCTTAAGAAGACCCGCCGCGACGTCCAATACTTACCGCACTTCGAGACGGCCTGGTTCTGGCACGGGGGGAGTCTGTTTATCATTAACCGGTCTCTCGAGAGCTTTCACGCATCGATGACCGACCCTACCTACGACGGCATCGGCGGGGAGGAGCTCACCATCGGGTGTCTCGGGCGCTCTACCGAGCCTATCAAGAGGCTGATCCAGAGCTGTCAGGAGTACGCGGACAGGCAAGCCCAGTACTTCGTCATCATCTATGCGCGGGACCGCTATGGCATGTCCTGGCAGCCCAAGTCGCGCAAGCCGATCCGTCGGTTGGAAACGGTCCACTTCGACGACAGGCTCAAGCACAAACTTCTCGCCGATATCAGAAATTACCTCGACCCCAAGACTAGGAGGCTCTACCAGGGCCGCAGCATGCCTTACCGCAGGGGCTACCTGTTCTACGGACCGCCAGGCACGGGGAAATCCTCGCTCTCGACCGCCCTCGCGGGCGAATTCGGCCTCGATCTGTACGAAGTGAAGATCCCCAGTGTAGCGACTGACCAGGACCTGGAGCAGATGTTCCAGGAGATACCGCCGCAGTGCATCGTCCTCCTAGAGGACATCGATGCCGTCTGGATGGACCGCGAGTCGGCGCTTCAGGAGCAGCACGGCGAAGCCAGGTCAAGCTGCACCCTCTCCGGCCTGCTCAACGTCCTAGATGGCGTCGGGTCCCAGGAGGGTCGCATCGTGATTATGACCACAAATATGCCGGATCGCCTCGACCCGGCGCTGGTAAGACCGGGAAGAGTCGACATGAAAATTGCGCTCGGCAACATCAGCCAGAGGTCAGCTGCGCAGATGTTCCTCCGTATGTTCACGCCAGATATCATCGAAGCGCCCCTCTTGTTGTCCTTGGGAGAAGAGAGCGGCGACACGACCGAGAAGAAAGACGCGGACATGGAACCCGAACAACTACGGAAGCTTGCTGCCGAGTTCGCGGCGCAAATCCCAGAAAACACATTCACGCCTTCGCAACTACAGGGTTTTTTCCAGCTGCACCTCGACAGCCCCCTCCAGGCGGCGTCGAGCATTTCCACCTGGGTGGAAAGGGAGCTATCCGGCCTCACGTCGGATGACGACATCGAAATCGTCGGCAACGGACATTCCCGGTGAGCCACACCTTGTCTTTGTACGATATATATATACGGCGGAGAGATATATCTGTATTGTATCAACTGTGCTCTTAGATTGTACATGCATGCTACACATAGACAGATTATAGGCGTTGGAGCATCGGTAGACCTCGATTGGCTACGTAAAAGGTTTTCAACAGCATTTGCTTCCGGTTTACTAAAGCGTCGTTCGATCCTGAGGACTTCTGGGAAATTGATCTCATTTTACCGTCTCATGTTTTCGCTGGGTTTCTTTGAAGACTCAAATCAACAAAAGCATGAAGCTATATATATAAACCTCCTTCCGCGAGGCATAGAGACAGGTACTCACTAAATACCACAGACAGGTAGACATCTTATTTTCTATAGAGTTGAAAAAAAATACCGAAATTCGCCTATATTTCTCACTCGTCTCCGGCAAGACGAACAGATCGACGTAGAGATCGCAGGTGCTCGGCAATGAACACACAACTAACTATAGGTACATGACCACTCCATATTCAACTCTCCCATCCTCTGTACTTCCAGTCAGGTTCTCCAGATTCTAACCACTTTCTGATGCCGAAGGGTTCCCCATCACGGGTAAGACGCAAGTCGATCCCTTCCCCCCCCAAATCCCCCCATCCATCAGGCTATTCCCCGCGAACCCCACAGCTTACCAGATCCCACACTCGGCCCTCCCTCTCTGCCTCCAGTTCTAGCCGTCCTTTGGTTCGTCGGCAGCCGCTATCTCCAGAACCGCTGACACACGAGATTCCGTTCTCGTCTAGGTCCCCACTACGATGCGTGGCACCGGGTGGCCGACCTGCGGAGGGCGAGGAGATCACGCTCGCGAGGATCCAGGACGGCACTAGCCCGACATCAGCCAGCCAGCAGCATCCGACCGCTAACAGTGTTGGGGGACCCCGTCGCATTGGCAGACGAGATGCTCCGCGATCGAGCCGACTGGAGTCTACGGCGCTGCTCCTGTCGAGTGTGCGCTTTCCTCCATCCCATCCCCCCCGCGCGGATGCGGCTCAGCGCACCTCCTACTGTATACTCCATGTGACCGAAGTTCGTCGGCTTGCGGGTGCCAGGCGAACTACGAACGTATATTACAACCCCCCCTTCCCCCCTCTCCTCCCTTTCGTCTTCTTAACGTACCGGTAAAATTCGAGATCGCCATTCCAAAGAACGACCGCGAGAGGACCAGCCAGCAGCAGCGCCATAGGAGGTCTCGGGAGCTTCTCTTAAGCGGGTTAGTAGCACCAGCAGCGTAGCATCCCACCTACCATGTCGTCGGCGGATAAGAAGAAGCCGGTCGTGCTGCACATCGGAGACGCTATCAAGCACAACCCAGAGATCTACCGGCGGCTCGAGTCCGAGTTCACGATAATCCGGCCGGCGGCCGGGGAGCGGCAGCGGGAGCCGTTCCTGCAGGCCCTCCGGGACCGCAAATGGGGCGACTTCGACGCCGTGCTCCGGCCGTTCTGGAACACGGGCGGCGAGATGGGCCGCTGGGACGCCGAGCTCATCCCGCTGCTCCCCGAGTCGCTCAAGATCTACGCCAGCGCCGGCGCCGGCTACGACTGGGCCGACGTTGATATCATGGCCGAGCACGGTAAGGCCGCGTGTCCCCACACCGAAGAAGGACGCCGCGTTTCGAAGAACCGCAGCGTGCTAACGAGACGAAACAAACAAAAAAAAAACAGGCATCATCTACTGCAACGGCGCGCAGGCGTCGTCCGAGGCGGTGGCAGACATGGCCATCTTCCACATCCTCAGCGTGTTCCGGAACCTGGCGTGGTCGCAGGCGGCGGCGCGGTCGGGCGACCCGGAGCAGTGGACGGAGGCGCACAAGTACGCGACGATGACGGCGCACAACCCGCGCGGCCACGTGCTCGGGATCGTCGGGCTGGGCAACATCGGGTCGGCGATCGGGCGCAAGGCGGCGGCGTGCTTCGGGATGGCGGTCCGGTACCACGACGTGGAGCGCAAGGCGGCGGCGCACGAGGCGGCGGCCGGCGGCGCCGCCTTCGACGCCGAGCTCGACGCGCTGCTGGCCGCCGCCGACTGCGTGGTGCTGGCGGCGCCGTTCGCCGGCGCCGTGCTGATCGGCGCCGCGCAGCTCGCGCGGTTCAAGCGCGGGGCGCGCTTCGTCAACGTCGCGCGCGGCGCCCTCGTCGACGAGGACGCGCTCGTCGCCGCGCTCGAGTCCGGCCGCCTCCACGCCGCCGGCCTCGACGTCTTCCAGCACGAGCCCCGCGTCCACCCCCGCCTCTGCCGCATGCGCAACGTCACCCTCACCTGCCACAACGCCGGCGGCGCCATCGAGACCAACATCGGCTTCGAGCGCCTCGCCATGGAGAACGTCGAGGCCTTCTTCCTGCGCGGCCAGGCCCTGACCCCCGTCAACGCGCACCTCCTGAAGAACACGAGCGCGGAGCCGGCGGTGGGTAATGGTGTGGTGAATAAGTAGCAAAATAGCCAAGGAGATCTTACGGGAGGAAGTGTATAAAATAGTGCAGCAACATTACCACCTATGTTCGTTTTCATGTACTTACGTATACCTACCTAAAGATTCGGGTTAGGCCCCTCGAATCGCTTATATAGACACTCATTCTCCCCTATCGACGGACAGGCTTCGTCCCGTCACATCGAGACGTATCCAACAACGAGAGAATTCCGACCGCATATCGCGAGACCCTTGACGGGTAGCCAACTTGCAACTATCGCGAGTAAATATGCTTCGAGAGAATCGCTAAGCGGTGACAGAATGACTTCTAAGCTGGCGTCCGGAGACTACTATCACCACCACTGTTATAGTCGCGATCTATCCGTATCCATCCTCTTCACCCTCTACCCTCCGCACCCCACACTCCTCACCCTTTCCTCCCTCCCCCATCCCCTTTATTCTCCAACCAGTAGCAGCCCCGGTATACCTACCTACCTACCTACCTACCTACGTAGCAACAGCACTCGCTAAGCGATCCGATCGGCTACGCTAGGAGTGACTATATCCCGAGCACACTCCCCCGGTCGCCCAAGGAGGGGGGGGAGGCATCACATACGTAGTACACCTACGCTCGGTATCCAATGGTTTGATCTCGCGCTTGTGCGCGATCGCATGCCTGGGGGAGGGCGCGAACTCAATCTTCCCATACACCTAGGTACCGACCTACGGCAATCGTAGCGCGCCCGTCTAAGAAGTACCTGTGCAGGCGAAGCATCTGTCGGCGACCGATGTATCTGGTGCGGGTGGCGCGGGCGGGGGACGAGCTAGTAGTCCTTCTTCTCGCGGGAGACCTGACGGGCAAGACATGGCTTTCTGCGGCCATCGGTTGTCGGGGGGGGACATGCGACACGGCTATGACGCCGGCGCCGGGGGGATAAAAGCTACGCAGCAGCGCCGACAGCGGAATCGCACCGAGAGACGAGCTTCGCGGGACGCAACGTAGTGCCATCAGCCGTAGGCGTGCATACACAGCCCCTAAGTCCCGAGCCAGGTCTAGCCCCGCCGCGTCGGCAACACGCAGACTACCGAAGGTGCCAGCGCGCAGAAACGTCGGGGGTTGGACGCGGAAGTCGAGGCAACCGGATTGCTTGGGCTGGGGGACCGGGGCAAGTCGTTGCTATCTCTGGTATATCCACAGTCCGTCCTACGAGCCGACGAGGGCTCGCGCCGCGGCATGAGCCCGCTTGGCGGCGATGGCGTCGTTCCCCAAGACCTGGTGGAATCTAGCAGGAACCAGGCGGAGACCGAGGTGCTAAGGCTAGAGTGCCGCAGCGAGGATGAAGAGCTTCTTGCAGGGGCACCGAGCCATCCACGGAGGGACAGCTTGCGCACGCCCTTACTCACATCAGTCGTGCACGGCCGCCCCGGAAGTCTCCGCCACGGATTAGGAGCGAGGGAGGCCATCCGGGCACCCCGCGGCATCGGCTATGAGGTATAAAGCTCGACCATAGTAAAGACTCGAGGGCCATCGGGTACTGTACGCTTTGCCGACCCGCAGAGCGTGTGAGGAATCCAGAACGCCTCGAAGATCCGAAGGTGCAACTCCGGCCCTTCGCCAAGCTTACGACGGTAAGCTCCCGTGCCTGCACGCTGTACGCGTTCGTAGCCCAGGTCGGGGATAACAAACATCCACACCGGAGGAACGCAGGCAAGCTCGCCTGCTTGCGTGGCTCGAGTGCTTACTACGACGCGGAGCGCGAGTCGTCCGAGGGGGGGACGAGTATTCGTGCATGGACATGGTGCGATCCCGTGCGTAGAAAGAAAAGAAACATACCTATGCCCTGGCCCTGGTCCTGGCAAGGCACAATAACATCGCAATCTCCATCTGCTTCCGCGTCCGCCTCTCTGACTGCAGCAGCACGGCATATGTATAAACCCCTCGATGCCATGCATCCGGACCGCGCATACCTGCGCCCGCGCCCTATTTCCATCGAGGGGCTCGCCCCGGGGTGGACTGCGTAAGCGCGCGCGGAGAGCGGCGAGGATCGCCCTCGCCCACGCATCGCCTCCGCAAGAACCCTCGGGGGCGTCGAATCGCGCGAGTCGCCGGCTGCGGAGGCGATCTCAGAGCACCATCCGACGCCCACTCCAGACTCACCGCGACGCCTCGTCGCAGGTCCCATCCCGCCTGCTCTGTTGGGGAGCCTCCACCTTCGTCTGCCTACCTGCCTACTTGCCCTCCCGCCAAAAGAACGAGACGTTGAGCTCCGGACCCAGACCCGTTCTCGCCCCCCTCCCCTGCCCTCCCCCCAAAGTTCATGACGCACGCTCGCGAGCCGTCCTCTACGCATGCACTCCAACAGCCAGCAGGACAAGCGGGAGGACGGCAAGGAGCAGGCGGGGCAGTAAGCTGCAAGGCCTGGGGCCGGGCGTTGGGCGGGGAGAAGAAAGGAGCGAGCGAGCCAGCGGGTAGGCGAAAGAGGGAAATGCAAGGAAAAAAAAACTTTTCACGATCCACCGATCGCTGCCTGTGCACCGTGCCGTGTGCGTGTGCGCGTGGGCGCGCCTCCTCGGACGGAGCCTCGATACTCCGGAGATAGCCAAAGCCAGCACCCAGAAGCACGCACCCCCCCCTTCCCCCCCCTCTTAGCCCGCACGACAACGCAAGCTCCTTACATCCCCGCGGCCCTCGCAGCAGAGCGCGCGCGCGCGCTCGCCGTCTTAGTACGCACCAGGCGAGACGGGGCAAGAGTCAGCGGGGCCTAAGCGCTAGCCGTGGGCGCAGGCAGCAGGGAGTTGGGAGAGAGCAGGACAAGAAGCAGGGTGTCCGGCGTGGGCGGAATCTAGGACATCGAGTTGCCCCTGCCCCCCCCGCCCCCCCCCCTCCTCTCGCTCGTTGGCGCCGCACTCGCTGAGGGAAAAAGGTCCGGGCTAGGCTTCCGGACCGGTCGCGTGCCGGGGCGATGGTGCTTCGAGGCGAGGCGTGAGGGCGGGCAACCTGCCTAGTAAGAGAAAGAGAGAAAGGCGTGGTGGTAGTAGCGATGGCGGCGGCGGCGCGGCCACACTCCGGAAGGGGGGTGGATGGGGGTGGGCGCGCAAGAGCAGGTCTTTCTGGGAGGGTACTCGGGAGGGAGAGGCCTAGACTAGCTGGGGGTGGTGGTGGGGTAATGGTCGAGGCGCAATCCATACAAGGACGAGGAGCACAGCGGTGCCAATAGAGAAGGGGGGGTGTGGTGAGAGGGCAAAGGCGACGGCGTTCCTGATTCGACTCGAGGCCCGCGAGGCCAATAGGATAGCGGTGAGGGGGCTAGAGGAGGGAGGGCGAAGGCTGAGGAGAAATAAAGCCGTGGCGCCACCGCAGCGCATGCACACACGGCCGACGTCTGTCTATACCTACTGCTGCCCCCGTGTCTGGACGTCGTCGACACGCCCGCCCAGCTCCCTCCCGCTACGCAAGGCTCGTGTCACGGCTTACACCACACTAAACTGTAGGCACAGCATGCTACGCTGCGCTACACAACACTACGCAGAGAGAGCGGGGAGAGGGTGAGAGACGGACAGACAGAGAGGACCTCCCCTCCCCTGCGCCTGCGGGCCGTCTAGCGCGTACGTACGTAGGCCAGCGTGCCGCCTCGCGAGTCGACAACGTAGTCGCCGCCGACGAAGGGGACGGACGTGCCTCCACGCCTCTGCCCACGCGCGCGGTGCTGCACCTATACGCATGCATGCTCTCCTGCCCGCGTCCGCCTGCCTGCCCATCCTCCTCCGCGATGGCGCGTCGAGCACCAGCACCGGCACCAGCAGCACTTGTGCGGGGAAAGGCAGCGGCGCCGCGCGCGGGCTCCTTGGCGTCGAGGGCAGTGTCGACGAGAGATGGGGAAGAGCAGGGGGAGGATGAGGTCTTACCCACGAGTCTGAGGGGGGAAAGGGGAGAGGGCGTTTCTTTCTCTGATCGTGCTCCGGTGCGTCTCTCCTCGGGACCATCGTACGCGCCGCATCGACCAGACGCCGCCTACTGACCGCTTGCTTGGTCGGTCCGCAGGCGAGGAAACGGGTAGCCTGGGGCGGAGACGGGTGGAGGAGGCAGGGGAGGGGCGAGAGTGCGGTTCCGTAGAAAGGCAGGAAGAGGGAGACACAGACAGCGAGAGCGGGCTGCGGAGGGAACCAGATCCCCAGAGCCGGAGCGTTGAGGGAGGCTAGGCCGGCTTTCCCGGTTGTCCCCCCTCTCTACTTGGACTTTCTGCTTATCTACCTGCCTGGCTGTCTGCACGTGCAGGGAAACTGGTTCGCTAGTGTGTGCGAAGGCGTGGGCAGGCAGGAAGTGGGAGGCGTGAGGTGTCTGCGTGTAGAGAGAGGGGGGGGTAGACAGGCGCAGCGCGTACGCGACGGCGCAGAGGAGAAGGACGACCCATCGTCTAGTCTGGCCTGTGGTTGCGGCGCTGGGAATGGGCCTAGCTTGCGGGATCGGAGTTTGGGAGCAGGAAAGGGGGGCCGAGGGACTAGACGGAGGTAGGCATGTGAGCGCGCTCACGCATTGAGGAAATCAAGATCCTCTCCAGCACAGCCGCGCGACACCCGCAGCGCAGTGCAGTTTATCGCGATGTCCTCATCTTCGCCCAGAGGGAAATTCCCTTCTCTACTCTTTCCTCCTTTCGCCAACTCCCTTCGGCAATTCCAGTTGGCAGCACAGTTCTCAGCCCAGGAGGAGGGCAGACGGGATATGCTTCACCACAGGTAGAAACGTAATGTAGGTATGTATTCATGCGCGCATGTGTTTACGTAGCACCTCCTGGTAGGAGATTTCCCATTTGCCGGTTTGCAAGCCTACTCCGTGCAATACGCACTACGACTACTCAACTGCAGGCGCGCGACGTAAAAGGGTGGGGGCGGAGGAAGATAGGAACGAGAGGGGGGAGAGATAGACAGACGACGAATCGCCTCGTGTCCGGGTGTGCGAGGCAGACGACTATCAGTTCTCTCTCCCCTTCCCCCCCCTCGTCTCTTTTCGTCACGTCACGTCGCGGAACGGCGTAGGGCGAGCCGTAGAGCTGACGGGTTGGCGGAGCGTCTCGCGCTCGCGCTCGCGCTCGCGCTGCACGGCGGTTATCTCGTTCGCAGAATCTAAACCCCTCCTATCCTATTCTATCCGGGAGTGGGCGGTGGGGTGAGGTTGGGGGCTAGACGGAAGACGGGATAATCTCGAAGGGAAGAGAGGCTCAGCTCGCTGATGCCTTGTGAGGCGGGTGGTGGAGAGAGGGAGGCAGGCAGGCAGGCAGGCAGAGGGCGATGCACTGAGCCGAGGTGGATGACGAAGCCAATCAGCAACACAGCGAGGCATTGGGACGCGACCTATCTGGCGGGAGGGGAAAACCAGGCGGAGGCGGAGGCAGAGGCAGAAGCAACGAGGGGTAAGGGGGAGTAGGGGGGGGGGAATTCCCAGTACGAGGCGGAAGATGTCTTGCGATCCGCTCATCAGACAATGGCGTATACGACCAGTCTCCGTTTGTCTGCCTGTCTGTTGCCTGCCTGTCCGGCAGCGCCGGGAAGTGGGCGCCAACCAGGATCAGGAAGAGACAAGGCAATCGGCGACGACGAACGAGGAGGAGCTAATCACAAGCCTGTCGCGTAGGCAGTCCGGCTAGTCGGAGGGAGAGAACGCACCACCATCGTGGTATCGAGATGGGCGGCAAGACAGAAGGGTCAGACAGACGGAAGGGACAGGGCCAGGCAGGCCATCGATTCCTCCCGCCTCCTTGGGGCGGGAGGTGAGGAGGGGGGGTGGAAAACGAGACGGAGACGGAGAAAGAGTCAGCGAGTGGGAAGGAAGAGGGAACGAAACCGAAGCCCAATTCGTAACCGCCGATGAGACGTCGAGGGAAGAGAAGAAAAAAATTGGGGTGCGCCAACGGAAAGGGGAAATTGTCAAAAGGGAAGGACGAAAAAAGGGATAAGCATAGCGAAGGGAAAAGGAAGGGGAAGAGACGAGAGAGGATAGGATGTGACAGGACAGGACGACAAGACAGGTTAGGAGAGGGATGGGAATAGTAACGGGACACATCCGGGGGACCGACCGCGAACGGGGTTCCTTTCCTAAAGGGAGCAGACGGCTGTGGCGCCGGATGGATGAATGAAGCAGTGAATGGATGGGGTGGACGGGTGGATGAGCGCGTGGATGGGATTCCTCAAGTAGTACCTGTTTCGTTGGTCTGTTGGTTGTGACGGCAATAGTGGTTAGCAGTGGTGGTAGTGATGGTGGCAGCGGTACCGGTAGGGGGGAAGGGGGTGTAGCGGTATCCCTACGTAGCGCGCCCACATGACGGCAGTAAATGATGATGATAACAACCGTGATAATGATGATGATGACGGATGACGGCGATGGGTGAGGGACGGATGAATGCGCGAGAGTGGTGTGGCTTTTGATCCCTACTCCCTACCGCTCTCGCACTCTCAGGCCTCGGGGATGGCTTTTGCGAGGTAACGCCCTGGAGCGGGCGGGTCTCGAAGGCCATGCGAACTAAATATGCTCTATTTGCACGCGACCCTGCTGGTCTCTGCTGGCATAGGTACGTATGCGTCAATGTATGAGTATGGGTGAGAGCTTGCCTCTCGACGACGACCAACCCCCTGGTCTCCTCCTAGGCCCGAGTGGGTTAAGAGAGAGAATGACATATATCGTATCGCATGCATACACAGATCGTATCGTGTCGTGTCGAGTCGAGTCGAGTCGTATTGTATCGTCCGGCGCATCGAACGTGCGTACTATGACTTGCTCGCCTCCTCTGCCTTCCCCTTGAAGCTACTGCGGCCACTACTGCTACATAGTGTTATGTGCGGATTACCGCTACCATGTGCGTTCGCCGCCAGGGCACGCACGTACATATCATATATCAAACAATGAAGATCTAGAACCAGGGGCGGCGGCGGCGGAACGGGTTTAGGAAATTCGTTTACGCACGAGAGACAGATGGCGGACATATGTGTGCAGATACATGCACGCCTAGGCATATGCCTAGGTAAGTCAAGGCACATAATGGGGCAGAAGTTGTTGCCCTGGCGTCTTTGCCTCTCGCGGGAAGGGAGCCCAACGAAGGATGTGCGCCTCGGAAACGAGGCCATTCCTGGCGTGCGTGGCAGGGGTTCCAGGGGGAGAGGCTCTCGCTTTCGTCCTAACGTGTTCCCCAGTTGGGAAAACGTAGAGATTATTTGACGCAGAGCCTTGGATACGAAACTGCACGCGTCTATGTAGGCGGATGGGACGGATTGATTGAATTTTTATTTTATTTTATTTTTCAGGGCGGGGACTTGGGAATCGGGAGGGATGTGAGAAGTATGGGGAACCAAATCCGGGCTGGGATTCTCGGGGCTCGTTGTGGAGAGGCACAGAGACAAGACAAAAGCGAGATTACAGCATCTATGTAGGCTCGACCACGCCTCGAAATGAAATATCGGCAGATCACGCACGGGGGTTGGCTCTTTGCGCTCCGCTATACATAGTACCTGTGGGCAATGCGTTACTTCATCTCCTCATACATCGATTCATGTCCCTTCTCGTCGCCGTGATCAACGCCCACCCCCCCGGCGTGGATCGATGGATTCCGTGGCGGTGGAAGAAGCCGGCGAGAGAGGGGTGAGAGAGAAAGAGGGAGAGGGGGGGGGCGGATGGCTCGCTAAGACGGAGTCGAGCACGGAAAAAAGCAAGCGGGCGTGCTATAGCAAAGTAGCATCGAGCAGAGTGGGAACGAGGAAAAGAGGGAAGGGCGTGAAACGACGAAGAACCACGAGAGCGAGAGAGCGCGAGAAGGAGAATGGCGAGATAAAAAAGAATCCTACGTGCTGCACCTAGTTTATCATGGCATATTAGGAGCAGGTACCTAGGTGTCGCATACTATTAGAGTGGCCCTCGTAATGAGACAAAAAGGAAGAAGTACAAATAACCATCTCGGGGCAATTATCGAGAGAGGAAAATGGTGCGTGCGTGCCTGCGCGTTGGGGTTTGGGTTTCCTCATAGGCGCCGTGCCGTCGTCGTCGTCGTCGCCAAGGAGTTCCCCCGAAGGCAGGCTAGGAGGGTACCTACCAGATGTACGGGTGCGAGGTAGCTGTGCGGGTTAGAAGGGTTAGTAGGGGATAGGGGGTTGGTAGCTAAAAGCAGTTGGAGTTGGCCATATTCATCGATCCTCCCTCTCTCGTCTCGCTCTGTCTGTCTGGCGCCACACTGTGACTTAGGGTCGATGATCGACAGAGGAAGAAAAAAAAAAGGGCCTGGCGTCGTGGAAAGAGAGGAGGAGTCTCGTGGCATGATGGACGTACGCTAGCAAGACCGGGAACCTCTTTCTCCTTTTCGCCCCCAAGACGAAAGAGACGCTGGGGAGAGAGACCGACTATCTCTCACCTGCTAGGTATGTCTGCATATGCGCGGGCAGTTAGTGCCTAACCGAGGCAGGTAGTAGGTTAGGTAGGCACCTAAGGTACCTAAGGTTAGGAGGTAGGTAGGTGCCTAGGTAGGTAGCCATATCCATATCCATATCCACGCCCATGCCCATGCCCATGCCCCATAACCCAATTCGAGGGTATCGTACATACCTACAAACATTAGGTAGGTACCTACCTACCTCCCTCCCTCTCCCAGCGCTGCCCAGCAAACCACCGAACACCGATAGAATAGAACCTAACGTGCATCCATACATCAGGTAAGTCTTCCTCGCGAAAGCGTCCCTCTTGAGGGGGCCTTTGATGGTCGCCGGAGCCAATGGGATGTCCCGGACTGGTGCTGTCAGCAGCAGCGGCAGCACCGCCGGCCGGCAGGGCCCCCGGTTGCGATGCGCTGCGCAGGTTGTCGTGAGCGTATGTGCGCACGCAATACTATAGTATATCATAGGTGAGCGAGGACCGATTGCCCTCCCCCTACGTCCTACCTTAATGTAGGAAGGTAGATACTACGTTATCGACGCCAATGGACGTAAAGCCCCGGTACTTGGACATGACTTGAAGCTGCAAGTGCAATTCGGAACTTGACGTGACTTGAAGCAAGTAATTCGGAACTGCAAGCACAGCGTAGGTAATTCGGGACTGTAAATGCAGGCACGATGGACGAGATGGTGGGCATTTTCTCTGATCAAATATTTAAGCAGAGAAAATGCTGCAACGAACTTCTGGTTTATTTTCAAACATCATCTGAACATCGCTACAAGTATGCCCATACTCAAACCCCGTATTGTACGGACAAGCGGCTAACAGATTCTACAGGTATGGCCGCCATCCCCGCCTCCGACTACATCCCTGAGAGGGCCACTAGACCCGCCGCCTCCGCGTCCTCCGGCGCCAATATGACGTACGTAATTTACCTCTCGATCGAAGATATCTTATAGCTAACGAGGTATCGTACTTCTATAGAACTGACGCGACGCCGAACCAATGCCAGTCGCTCGGCGCGGAGGGCGTGGCGGCGGCGACGTCGGGGGTGATGGGGGTTTTTGGGGAGGCGTAGGCCGCCGTCCCGGGCGTGGCGGTCTTTATTTTGGTTCAGATCATTCTTATTCTTTTTTTACTCCTTATCATTCTTCTTCTGATAAATGCGATTATCTATCGGATCAGAAGCATTCTCAAAAGAGCCCGAGGCGACGGCAACTAACCCGCCAGCCCCACGGACCAAACGGACTCTTTTGTATAAGTACGCAGGTACCGATGTACACACGCTCACCCCCTGCACCGCTGCGGCTGGGTCTCAGGATCCTCTGTCTCTCTCCTCTCGCGGTAGCGGCCGCAGGCTGGCTTGTCGCACAAATCCCCTCCCCAGCCAACTTCCGCCCTCTCTCCCAGCCTACTCACTTCTTCCCACCACCACCGCATCTGGCCCAGCGACTAACGAAGCCGGCAAAACAGGCTCTCTCCAACCCCCCCCGGCTGGCCATGCCATGAGATATACTACGTGGTCGGCCATTCTACAAGCAGGGGAAAAGCTCAGCGGCCTCTGCCAGTCATTCGTTCCAATCCCGCCAACTCAACTCGTTCGCGTCAACACCTGCAAGATCTACCATTCTACTGCTCCAGTGTACTATCATCACGACCACGACGATCACAACTACGACCTCGACCACGACAACAACAACATACTTAATACTACTACTAATCCATCACCACCGCGGCATCACCCACAGCCAATTCACTTCGCGTCGTGGACGGCCCCCCGCGAACCAAACGAGACAACACTTCCGTTGTCTTTCGTGCCCCTCACTACTATCGGATCTTCAGACCTGGCCTCCGTCAGCCCAGGCCTTTTCCGTCAACTGTCGTCAGCTACAAGGCTGTGTACCATCTTAACATCGTCGGCCGGAGTCTCTCGCTATTTAGCATTCGTCGCATCCCTGCGCCCCGACGCTTATACCGTATGCGGAATCGTCGTCCCTCCTCGCGGGCATAGTTATTCCCAACCGTCGCTGTCGGCCCGAACGCGCGCGCGCAGACGGATACCGTAGTCGGGTTCTCGTCGAGCTGGCAAGATGGGCGGCTACGGTGACTTCACCGACATCTGCCACACGGCGCCCCTGCCGTTGTGTCCTTCGGTCGGTCCCATCACGTCGGTCTCGAGCGGCGTCGGCATCGAAACCAACTGCTACTCCCGGAACATCGAGCTGGCCAACACCATCATTTTCCAGGGCGCGTCTAGTTTCATGCACATCATCGCCCTCGGCATGACCGTTGTCATGATCCTGCACATCCGCGGCAAATTCACCGCCGTCGGTAGGTCCTCCCTCACCCCCTTTTAATCTCTCTCTCTCTCTCTCTCTCTCTCTCTCTCTCTCTACCCCTTCTGGGCAGTTCGGAATTTGTTAGAGTCGCCCACTAACCTCCGCGTGTGCGCATGTCCGTAGGCCGCAAGGAAATCCTTGCATTCTTCTACTTTTACATGCTTCTATCCTTCGTCTCTCTCTGCGTGGATGCCGGCGTCGTCCCTCCCGGCTCCGATCCGTATCCGTACTTCGTCTCCATACAAAACGGGTTCACATCCGCCATGGTCACCTGCCTGCTGATCAACGGCTTCGTCGGTTTCCAACTCTACGAGGATGGCACGCCCGTCTCGGTGTGGATGCTGCGGCTCTCGTCCTTCATGGCCTTCGTCATCTCGTTCCTCATCTCCCTAGCCACTTTCAAGTCGTGGGCTGGTATGGGCCCGGCCAACACAGTCGCGCTGTTCACGATCTTATACCTCCTGAACGGCATCCAGCTCGTCGTCTACGTCGCCCTGCAAATCCTGCTCGTCGCCCGCACTCTCGAGGACCGCTGGCCCCTGGGCGATATCGCTTTCGGCCTCTTCTTCTTCATCGTCGGCCAGGTCATCCTATACGCTCTGAGCTCTACTATTTGCCAGGGCACTAGCCACTACATCGACGGCTTGTTCTTCGCCACCATCTGCAACCTGCTCGCGGTTATGATGGTTTACAAGGTATGTCCTAACTAACCCCGCCCCCCTCCTACCCCGGCCGGGACAAATCCTAACGTCGTTCTGCAGTACTGGGACTCAATCACGAAAGAAGATCTCGAGTTCTCCGTCGGTACCAGGATGACCAACTGGGAGGTGAAGGAGCTGCTGCCCGAAGAAGAGCGGCGGACGACCGTGTACATGGACGACCCATACGGCCACCCCAGCGCCTACGACCATTCTTCCCCTGTAGGAAACCTGACATCCCGGTATTAGTTATCCGGGCTCGCGCGATCCTCTCAGGGTTCAGACATGGACGACTACAGGTATTCCCGTCTAGATATCTGACGGGAGTAAAGTAGTCGGACACACGAAAGAGGTGGATAGGGTTTAGGGGCGTAGAAGTCCGGTTTTGACCCGGTTTGCATTGGTCGAGGGCGTCGTGGGTGTTGAGGTGAGAAGACTCCTCGTTATATGGGGTGCTTTTTAAAGTTGCTTCTTTTTTTTCCTTTTTCTCCCGTCGAGTGATCGAATAGATGCGATCTCTGGCTACAAGCGCGGATACTGGCACTTAGCGCAGCAATGGTTGCTGTCTTTTTTTCTTCCTTCTCCTTCGGGGTATGATTCAAGCGGGAGACAAAGTCGTTATAAGGTTAGCCCTTTTCCCTAGGGAGACACGCAGGCTAACTCGACGGCTGACGGACGGCGGCGGGGACGGCCAGACGGGAGCCGTGTAATGCTTTGATACAAATAATTGGGGGACTTTACGAGCTGTATATATATAGACTCGGTACCAACCACAGCGGTGCCTGCTTCGCTTACTTTTACACCTTAGCTACCACGCAACATGAAGCGGAATCCGGATGGGGTTGTTATGTCGTGATTTGCTAGCCTAGCGAATGAAGCAGTCCTCTTCCGCGTCCTACGTACAGCTCGAGCTATCGCGTGTCGGTCGGTGGTAGGCGCCTCGATAACCTACCTCCTACACGGACTACGGTTCCGTTTCCTGCCTAGACAGTTTGCCAATTAGCCGGAATTACCTCCTCCCCCTTTCTCGTCTCGTCTCATCTCCTCGGTGCCTCACACCCCGCTGTTACCAATATTCGAACCCCCTCCCCTTCACCCCCTCATCCCCTTTCCCCCTCGCGGATCAGATGTGCCCTGAGTCGGCCGGCTGCCCCGGCCAGCGTCTTCGTATACCCCGCCGTAGAGGAGGACACGCGCGGGGGGGGGGGGGGGGCGGGAACCCCGATCGATCGATGTCTCGGATAGATGGGGGGGGAGCGAGGCGAGAGAGGGACGAAGACGGCGCGGCGTGGGGCGGGATGGAATGGAATGCTGTGCGGAGAGCGAGCGACGGTCCCTGCCCCTCCTTGTCTCACATCTCCAACCGCCCGAGCCCGGCCGCGGCGGACACGAGGGGTCTCAGGGGCACCGCGACGTTTGGGTCGTAGGTAGGTAGGTGCATACCTCGCGTTCAACGGTAGCGGCATCAAATTCTTGTTATGGCAAAGTACCGTCAGCGCTAGGGCGGTCATACTTGGGTCCTTCGTCGAGAAGGTAGTGAGAGGGGAACCGGTGATGGTGGCATTGAGGCACCAGACCTGAAGGCGGCTCTGCTCGAGCTCGCCGTTCTATCGTTAGAAATAGGGCATTGCGGCACGAGAGAGGTGTGGGCGGCCGCAGAGGGTAATGGAAGTGTGAAGTTGACGGAGCAGAGGTGGATGGCTGCCCCCTAATAGTTCAGGGTGTGTTGGCAGCAGGCAATATGTACCTAAGGCAAGACAGAATTATAGGGGTCTGGTTGCAGCTTTCGTAGGGGGAATAGGCCCTAGAAGTGCCTAAAATATAAGGCGTGTTAGGGGGGGTAGGTTAGGTACCTAGTACCTAGGTTCTGCCCGTCCTGCCATCGCTGCATTAGGTTCCCACTTGCCTGTCCTTAGTTGTGTGTCAAGCTGCGTCGCCAACCAGCATTTACGGAGTACTACGACCAATGCGAACGCTGGCCTCGTCCCAACCCACTATCTACACAAGACAACCCCTAATGTCCGCTCGCGTCCTCTCTTCTCGAGGACACTGAGACGGAATAGAGAGAGCTCTACGGTGATACCCAACCTGAAGGCCAAAAAAACGCGGAAGGAAGACGGGAAAACATGTCCCAACCAAAAATTACCTCCAAGAACCTCGCCTACACGAGCGAGCTGCCTCCCTTTCTCGCCCGGCTCCGGGGCCAACATCAACAGCAGCGCGACTCTGACCGCCCAGATCCGCTCCTTGCCGCGCATCGCCGCGCAGCGCGCCCGCGATCTGCGAGCGAGGAGGCTGAGGACGCGCCGCTAGTTGTGGACGAGGCTGGGAACACTGTCCACTTCGACTTCGAGGACGAGACCGACACCGCAGACGTTCCCTCCCAGGCGGTGGACGGCAGAGAGGGGGGCACGGGCGCGGGTGCAGGCGCAGGCGCAGGCGCGGACAAAGGGAGAGGAGGAGAGAACCAGAACGAGGCTAGGAACCAAGAAAAAGTAGCGGGGATCGGCGCGGGGAAGAAGCGGAAAGTTGGCCGCGTGGTCGGCGGCGATGATGGTGAAGAGGGAGAAGAGGAGAGAGGACAGCATACCAAGGCCAGAATCGCGAAAGGAGACCGACAGCTAGCGACGCCGACAGCAAAGAACAGCGACAGGAAGGGCGAGGCCGACACTAGTACGAAGGACGCGAAGCAAGCTAAAAAGAAAAAGGCCAAGAAGATCAAGCTTAGTTTTGGCGACGATGATGCCGAATGAAGGGCCCCCTCAGCATGTAGACTGGAAAGAAGCGTACGCTGTATGAGACGCATAGTTACGACAGAGCAGCAAATCTCCTGGGCAGCCGGGCTAGGGCCATATACCAGTCGTTCGGGCTTCTGTCCGGCATTAGGAAGCGCCGCACGGCATAACCAACTTTATAAGGGCACTTTAACCGTCACGGAAGCAGGCGGTGGGGGGCCTTGGGTTGTTATGAAGCCGCTGGCGTTTCGAAGAAATCTATCTCACAGACTACGTGCGCAGAGCCACCACGATAGCGGACACGACAGACTTGACGGGACTCCATTTTCAGCGTGCCACCGACCTCATTGAACGTTTTATAAGCTACTTGAACCTCGGCGTACCAACGGGAGATGGGAGGTCTAACGAGAAGAGAACTCGCTGATTTCCGACACTATCCTTATTCAACTCCGCCCAGCTTAAAGCCCAAACAGCAGTTCGGCGGGAACCCACTTGGTTCCCCATTCTTCTATTTACTGCCTTCTTGCATAACGCGCCTATCACCTACGTAGGTATTCGACCCCTCGGAATCTAAGCCGTCTTCCTCAGCACGAAGATCTCTCCCTGGGCCTGGTTGTCGCTGCTGACGTAGAGGTTGTTGCCGGCCAAGTCCCAGCTGAGGCCCGCCAAGCGCCAGCAGGAGCTCATGGTCAGGCCGGGCGAGTTGCAGCCGCCGGGGTTCTGCGAGCCGATGATGGTCTTGTAGCCGGTCTTGCTGTCGGCCGGGGCCACCGGCTCGTACGTACCGTTCTCGTTCTTCTTGAAGGGGACCTCGGCCACCATGTAGCCCTGTGCCGGCTGCCGGTTCCAGCTGCCGTGGAACGTGATGTACAGGTTCAAGCCCTGGGCGTCGAAGGCGTTGCTGATGGGAGCCATGTGCGCTGGGAACGAGAGACGCGGCGGGTTGGACCTGCCGACGCACGAGGCGTCGTTGAAGGTCGAGTTGGGTGTCACGACGAATTGCGAGCCCGTCCTCAGCGCGGTGTTGTCCCTAAAGTTGGACGCCTCCCACACGGTGAAGCACGTCGGGTAACCGAACCAGTTGTTTTGCAAGGGCGCGGCCGGATCCCCGACTAGACGATAACGTTAGTGCTGGAAAGGCCATCATTCAAGGGGGAAGGGGGGGGGTTCAAATTCGGATCGGGTGTTTATATCAAGCCCTAGGGAAAGACATACGGTAGTTCAGCTCCTCGGCAGGGTTATCGATGTGAATGTCCGTCGACTGGCCGTTAATAGTTCGTCGGAAATCATCACCGCTATTCTCCGCGCCCCATACGTGCCCGTTCGGGTCGAAAGCCAGGGCGATCTCGTTCCGCAGGCCGTATCCCAGCATCTTGCCGCCGGTGTTATAGCTGTAGCCGTTGGCGGGCACCGTGCTCATGTCGAACACCTTGACGCAGGCGCGGCCGACATTCGGGTCGATTGTCGGGTTGTCCCAGTTCGAGTTAGAGCCGACAGAGACGAGAACTAAGTTGGGGTTCTTGGGGGAAACGACTATCGTTCGTGTCGAGTGGATGCCCTGGCTGATGCCGGTGATGACGGTCTTCTGACCCGAAATTGTCATGGCGGTCGCGTCGTAGGTCCAAGACCAGGCCGTGGTCTGCGAGCTAGCATAGAGGGTCTTGCCATCGGGCGTGAGGGTGAGGCCGTGGTTCAGAGCCGTGCTCTGTAGGAGGGTCTTGGTGCTGTTGATACAGCCATCAGCGCCAAAGGTGTGGACCGAGATGCCGAAGCTAGCTTGCAACACCAGCATGTGACCTAAGGGGTCGAAGATGATAGTTCGGGGTTGGCGAAGACCGCTGGCGACCTTGGTAACCTGCCACCCGGAATCGATCGTGTACGGGTACCGGGGCGCAGCGATGCCGGAACAGCTAGTAGGGAATGGCACAATAGGAGCCCCCTGCGACAGGACTATCATCACCGGCATTAGTTAATATACGGGCACAGCTCACGCTGCACGAACGAGTACTCGCCTTGGCCCACGAGGGCAGCTACCGCCGAAACTGCTGTCAACAAATACATCATGATCGATATGTGGCAAGTACAGGGGCAGGAAGTCAACCCTAGTCACCTAACACGGCGCGAAGTCGTTTGCAAGAGCCGGAAAAGGGGGGGATTCGTAGAAGGGACAGCTATATATATAGCGGCGAGCCTACGATCCTCTCCACCGCCCCCCCCCAAAAAAAATCATCCCTCACAACATTGTATCGTGGGACATGCCATGGAGGCAAAGAACCAAACCAAGAATGCGGAGAGTCTATCGACCAGACTCTTGGCTCTTTCGAGTAATTAAAGGACGATATTCTGAGGACGTCGTCCAAGGGGGGAACTAACGGTTGATTGGATAGGAGCCCCTTACGGCTGGTCTCTTTTAGGCAATGGTGACGAGGGTTTCCTTATATAGAAGCCGTAGTAACGGGTCTACCCAGGCTATAGGATGGCAAGGTAATAAACGTGACGAAACAAGGTGCCGTTGTTTTCGGTCTGCGGAGGAAGATAGTTTATTGATGTAATTAGGCGAGAAGACAGAATGCGACTCCAAGGATAGAGTCTATCTAGCCTGGGGGCGCCCCTCCGCAGGCGCTCGCGTGTCGCCGGCAGATGTAGATAACGGCGTCTGAGCAGAGTCGATGATCATCCGGAAGCAGGGGGAAAAAAAGGCATGGAGCTTTAAAGCTCCATGTCGAAATAGGCAGTGTATTGTGGAGGCGCAATGCAAGCAGCAGGCACCAAGACGATGCCGTGAAATCCGATGGCGGCTATCGGAAGGGAAGGGGTAGCATTGGATGAGTACGGCTTCACCACGCGGCGCAAAGCATGCTCGGTTAGATAGACATATATACTCGACGCGGTAAGAGACGGAAAGGCGTGCGTTGTTTAATTAATACGGGAAGCGCTTTGTAGATGTTCCACCAGATCTCAGGATATCACGCATACAATCACACTTACACATCTAGACTCATCCCGCCCGTGTCTTTAAAAACCGGCACAAGAAGCGTGGGCGCTGCCCCCAAAGAGTCAGCCACCGGGGACTAGTCCGGTCCCCTAAACCCATCAGGCCACGGAATCGTGCAGGCAAGACTGCGTTGGAACTGGGCTGATGACATTCTAGAAGCGCGTCTGACAAGACAGATGGCATAGTTGGAGGATGCGTGTTCTGGTAGAGTCCGCGTGAACGAGAATAGTCGTCTATAGCACAGCCGGTCAGACTCAGTTCTGCTCTGGGCCGTACTAGAAATAGGTACCTAGGCATATCAGCAGGATGTATAGTCGAATAGAATTTGGGCGAATTTCGAGGGAAAAGTACTGAATCTCCCGACCGTCGTGACTCCCGATGACGGGAGCGCGGCCGGACTATAAACCCGCGGCACATCTTCGACGTATATGGGTCCTTCTCTGCCACCCTTTTCTCCTTCTCTCTCTCGATGTCACGCAGAATCTGAATCTAGAATCTGGCGAGCCGGGTAGAGAGTAACGAAACCCGCTCAAACGAAAGATACGGCACTTCACCAAGGGCCAAGAGCGGAGGGATCCAGCGAAGCGTCGTGGGCTGGGAATACCTACCTATATAGTATTATGTGCCTCGAGGCGGGCGCGATAGCGAGACCAACCGGAGCGGCAGCCTAGTGAGAGGCCGAGAGCAGGTAGTGGTCGCTTGTCACATAGTTGAAGGAAAGAAGAAAACGAAAAGGAGGGAGGGGATAGGGGGAAAGGGGGGGGCGGCCCACCAGAATATCGACAAGTTCAGGGTGGACTCTGGACAAGGTTGAAAGTGTCGTGCAGCCCAGATCGGATCCGTAGATACATAGACATATAGTAGGTAGATCGACAACTAGAGGCAAGATAGGGGTGGATAAGGAGTGGATGGTGGTGGTGGTGGTGGTGACAGCGGCTCTAAAGGGTGGTGTGTGCGTGCGTGCCCAGGCGGTGGTGCGGGATGCGGAGCGGATGTTGGGCGGCGACGGGGCGAACGAAGTCAATACATTATAGTATACCCCCAACCTCGTACGCATTCCCTACCATAGGCAGAGGCCACGCGGTCTCGGGTGCGTTTGGCGAGGACGGGGCTCGCGGGGCGGTTCCTCTTCTCTTTACCTAGGTGTACGGAGACGGAGGAGACAGAGAGACACACAGAGAGAGAGAGAGAGAGATTTACTTGGTACAGGGACGGAGGGGACAAGAGAGAGGGAGACCGGTCGCCGTGGATGCATGTATGATGGTAATGCCGCACATAACGGACGGGCGCGCACAAGGCCAAGTTGTGCATACATGCATCCGTGTGTAGGAGGTATGCATGGGAGTAATGTTAGGTACCTCAGGTATTAGGACGTACCTCTGTTGAGGCGTAATTTCGCCATCGGCCAGATATGCTCGAAAGGGCGAGGAGCTGAAAGTGTTGGCGTGACGTGGTTCTAGATTCCGGCGCCCCGTATTAGAGGTACCTAGATGTACCTAAGGTAGAGGCACCTGCCTCCCAGCCTAGCCCACCTCGGTACTTTGGGATGTGTACATACATGCGCTAAGCCTAGGACGAGATGGGCCAGGCGGTGAGATGCCGACCTTTGAAGTATCGCTCGCATATGCTGCTATATGCGAAGATACATGCGCGTGGCAATATAGTACAGTACGCAGTTCTACCTACCTCACTACGGGGAAGGTTCTGTATCGACAGTGCGTGTGTTATATGTCGGTAGGTAGTCAAAGGTACCATTACTGCGTGCGCACCGTACACATGTACAGCGCAGATACGCAAGACCACTTAGAAGTCGGGGCAGGTTCAGACTGACGGGTGCACGTCCCACCGCGCACGAAGCCCTCGCTGCAGAAATATAGGTACATGGTCATATACGCGCGTCCACGCAGCACAGCGCACACGTAGCCATGTACCTGCCGCACTGAGGTCCATGTACCCTACCTGCCCGTTGGCCTTGCCAGGTGCCTTGTCGGCAGTCTTAGGTACCTCGGAGGTAGAGGAGGTAGGTAGGCGCTACCTGTCTTGCCTGACTAAACCCCTTCGTCCAGGTTTCCAATTTTCAATTTCCAGGTTTCCAATCTCGTTATCTTATTTTTTTTCCTCGACACAAAAGCCCAATTCCGTTCCCGGTCGACCCCTTTTACTTCTCCTCCACCGCTACGGCAAGCCTCTGTCACGCACTTCGCCCGTGCAAATCGTCCCTGCTGACCATCGATTCCGGCTCCGATGAGGTCGCTGTTCCGCTCTCTGGTTTGAGCACGCCCAAGCCCTTCTACCCGCTGACCGGCTGAGCGCCGCCAAGAGTGCGTGTCCGACGCGTGTCCTTCGGTGCTCGCTGTCCACACTGTCGTCGCCGTCACTTGTTGCCATCACCAGCTCTTCCCTCCCCTTCCTTCTCCTTACCCCCCATCGGCGACCCCCTCTTGTCGCCGTCATTCCAAGGGAACAGAGTCCCCTTGCGTCACTCGCTACTCCATTCGCAGGCCTTACTGACCCTGGAGGCGGAATTCGTGGCTGGGCAAACGACCGCGCCGGCTCGTTTCTGTCTCGTGTCGACCCGGATAGAATACCGAATGGGATGAAAGAGGAGGGCCTCGTCTTAATCAGCAGCCACATGTAATTAACCCCGACACTCGGGATATTTTTCGATTCCGTCCCCGTTCGCACGTCGGCCACGCCCTACACCACAGACCGTCCACTAATCGCGTGCCGTCCCAACGCCTCGCTGGCTTCCCCATCCCCGACCGTCGTCCCCAAGACCGGCGCCGCCGCGAGGTCCCGTTATGGATCTGCTTCGGCGCGCCTACCGGCGCATACCGGCCACCATGGGCACTCCCCATCTGCCCACCACGGGCGAAAAGCGGCCCCAGCTCAATAGGCTGACCTCGCGACTGGCCTTTTTCCGACGGCCCCTCAGATTAAAAGGCAACTCTAGCATATCCGTCCCGCTGGGCGTGGTGGTCATGTTCCCATGCATTGTCGTCGTCCTCATTCTAGTCTTGTTTGTTCGGCACCCCCGTTCTCCCGGACGGATATTAATGCCCGCCGGCGCACCCCCGGCTATTCGGTATTGCTCCTCTCTCTCTCTCTCTCTCTCTAACCCCGTGCCTTGCGAGTCTCGCATCTGGAATTACTAACCGTTGCGTGTCCTGAAACAGAAAAATCAGCGAAGAACATGACAAGGTCTTCGTCACGGGATGTCTCGAGCCTGACACCTCGACGGAGCGCGTTAACGGTGCATTCGTCGTCCTCGCTCGGAACAAGGAGTTGGAGGGTGTCATTCAGTCTGTCAAGTCCATTGAGCGACACTTCAACCGATGGTACCACTACCCCTACGTCTTCTTAAACGATGGGGACTTCAATCAGACCTTCAAGGATACTGTCCGCAACTACACGTCTGCCCCGGTCGAGTTTGGCAAGGTCGGCCCCGATATGTGGGGTTACCCTGACTGGATCGATCCCAAGGTCGCGAAGGAGGGTATTGCCAAGCAGGGAGATGCTGCTGTCATGTACGGCGGTTTGGAGAGCTACCACGCCATGTGCAGATTCTACTCCGGGTAAGTCCATGTCACGCATGCTGCCGGCTCGTTCTTGGACATGTGCTAACAGGTCGCGATACAGCTTCTTCTACGAGCACCCCCTCCTAGCCAAGTACGAGTGGTACTGGCGCCTGGAGCCCGAGATCAAGTACTTCTGCGACATCACTTAGTATGTTGAACCTACCTCGCCGCCTCCTTGTCTAGACTGCTAACGCTGGCCCGTAGCGACCCCTTCCGGAGAATGATCGAGAACAATAAGACTTACGGCTTCACAATTGCGGTCAAAGAACTGCGTGAAACGGTCCCCAACATCTTCCGCTACGCTTCGGCTTACAAGCGGATAAACAATATTACGTCCCAGGGTCTCTGGGAGATGTTCGTCGAGCCTAAGCCCGAGAAGCCGGCGCCTCCGGAGAACGATCCGGACTACAAGCCGCCGTTGCCGGAAGAGATCCTGCGTACCGACCCTGGACGCATGAATCTGCCCGAGATCGACCCCGAGGCCATGGCGGGCGAAAGTTATAACATGTGCCACTTCTGGTCCAATTTCGAGATCGCAAAACTCAGCTGGTTCCGCAGCAAGGAGTACAAGGCATTTTTCGAGATGATGGACCGCAGTGGGGGCTTCTGGATGGAACGGGTAAGTATCGCGACTGGTTTATTGCCCTCGACTGTTGCGCTCGCTAACTGGCGATTAATCAGTGGGGTGATGCTCCTATTCATTCCCTCGCCGCCGGCATTCTCTTGGCCCCCCGCGATATCCACTACTTCCGTGACTTTGGATATCGGCATACTACTATCCAGCACTGCCCGGCGAATGCTCCGGCCCGCCAGCTGCCGCGCGAACCTTTCCTCGAGAAGACGACGCTCGACGAGAGGAAGCGAATCGAGGAAGACGAGTACTGGGACCAATGGGACCCCGAAAAGGAGAACGGCGTCGGCTGCCGTTGCCGCTGCGACACCGACATTGTGGACGTCGAAGGCAAGGAAGGTTCGTGCCTGGCCGAATGGGTGGACGTGGCCGGCGGCTGGGCTAGCCCGTAATTATTGGCGAGGAGGACGAGGGGGCCCCTTAGCAACGTCAGCAGCAGAACTCATGGTTAGGATACTACCTTTGTGTCCTCTACGGCGCCTCTTTTTTTTCTTTCTTGCTGAGGCGCCGCTTAGGATACACTAGGTACGGAAATGATGGGACGAAATTTTTGTACATGGATTGGATCTGCTACTCTTCCTCGCTTTACTCCGACTAGCCGGCGTTCATAAATGATGCAGTCAAATTAATTGTTTCGGGGTAAGGGGCGAAGGGGGTAGATTCGGCTTGTATGTGCGCGTGTGTGTATATGTGTGTGGAGTATTGCATGCTCTGACGAGACGAGAACAGACGGTGCATCCCCCCAATAAACCGATATTTTTTTCTCTCTACCACGGGACACTGAACGTATGTGCTAGGATTGGCCGCGACGGTGACTGCTACGACGGCTAGGAGGAGACTTACTGGGACGAGAGAATTCGTGAAAGGGGGGGGTAGGTAGGTAGGTAGGCAGGATGTGTTGAGGACATCTATACATTGCTGTTGTTACTATCATATACCGTATACGTACACGCCATGCGGGAGTCGAGGTCGTAGCATCTACGGATTTATTTACTGATTTATTTTCTGTTCACGACGGTTGTCAAGAGCGGGGGAAGGGAGCGGAAGAAGGGATATACCTCCTTTTTCTATGCCCAAAAAACAATAGGTGATATATATCTACCTGCCATCTCTGCGTACGTTGCCCCCAGGTGCTCTCGCGTACCGAGGTGGTGTGGCGAGGAGGCGAGGAGGCCCAGGAAAGGGAGCTGGTCTGGTCACTGGAAGCGCCCGCGGTGTATGCTCGTGCGTCGATAACCACATCTGCCTGCATATACTCGCGTAGATATACCTACACCTATACATCTTGTTGTCTCTAGCTCCCCATCCATACATACACCGATGCTCCCCCCGCGGACACGCCGCCTCAGATCGAGGCCTTGAGTCGCCCGATGGCCTCCAGCGCCCCCTCTCGCACCTGCCGCGTGATCTCCGCCGCCGGGAGCGCCTCTCGGACTAGGCCGACGCCGGTTCCGCTTTTTAAGGGGGGGCGGCGGTCGCTGGTTAGCTGCGGGATGCTTGGGGGGTGTGTTTTTCTCTTCTGTGGGGGTTTGGGTGAGGGGGGAGGTTACTAGAATAAAGACGCGAGACTGGGGTGAAGGAGGGAAGGGCAGAGAGAGAGAGAAAGCGAAATATAAGACACGGGGCCAGAGACTTACGACCAGGTGATCATGCGGGAGAAGTCGCCGGTCTCCTTGGCGGCCTCGAACCGCGCCACGTTCTCTTCTACCGGCAGGCCGGCGAGGTGGTCGCGCCACGACGCCGAGACGATGGCGCGCCCGTCGTACGCGTCCGGCCAGCTCTTGTTGCCGAGGATGTGGTCGTGGAGCGGCGACCTAGCGAGAGACCGGGTAAGTACGCAGGCTTGCCGGCTGTGTCGCCCCCCTCCCCTTTCCGCGTGTGTGCAGCAGGGAGCAGCAGCGGTTCCGGGCTGGGCATCGGCAGGGTGATAGACTCACTTCACCGTGTTGACGCCGCCGTCCGACGTGGCTAGCACGGCCTCCTTCTTGTAGTCCTGCGCGTCGGACTCGGTCGCCACCATGTACTAGCGAGACGTGCCCGAGCGCACAGCATGCGTCAGCAGCAGCCTCCGCTGGGTAGAAAATAAACGGCAAAGTGACACCCTCTTATTTATTTTTTATTTTTTTTAAAAAAAGAGAAAGGAACACCCACCCTCGTCCCGAGCACCGCGCCCTCGGCGCCCAGCGTCAGCGCGGCCGCGACGCCGCGCCCGTCGACGATGCCACCGGCGGCCCAGACGGCGACGCCGGCGAAGCCCGAGCGCGCGAGCGCGTCCGCGACCTCGGGCACGAGGCTGACGAGGCCGGCGCCGCCGACGAACTGGTGGCCGCCGGCGTCGGCGGCCTGGGCGACGACGACGTCGGCACCGTGGCGGGCGGCTGCGAGCGCGGCCGCGACGGAGCCGACCTGGACGGCGACCCTGGGGCGCCAGGCGGCGGCGGCACCCTCGCCGCCCTTGCCCTTGAGGGCCCGGATAGCGCCGGGGACCGTGCCGGGCGCGTCCGGCGCCGGCGCGAAGAGCCACACGGCGGCAGGCCGGTGCCGCCGCAGGATCGGCGCCGCCGTCGCGCCGAAGTGCCGCGCCGACGCAGCGTACAGCACGAAGCCGACGCCGACGGGCAGGTCGCCGTCGTTGGCGGGCAGGCCGAGCAGCGACCGCGCCTGCGCTAGCTGCGCCTCCAGCCTGCCGAGGACCGGCGACTCCGACGCGAAGTCGCGGCCGCCCTGGAGGAAGCCTGTTGCGCGGGTTAGCACGTGGAGGAGGAGTGGAGGGGAGGGTTTCATTGGCAGCCCGAAGGCGGAGAGAGAGAGGGAGAGAGGGAGGGAGAGGAAAAAGGGGTGACAGACCCAAGCCTCCGGCCTTGGTAACCTCGGTGGCGAGCTTGGGGTTAGTGACGAAGTCCATCGGCGCGCTGATCACGAGCGGGTGGGCGGTGTGCGGGAACCACGACTGCATGCGCGAGCTGGCCATGGTTGCTAGTCTTCTTGTTTCGTTGCTGTGGGTGGCGTGCGTCGACGAGTGCTGCTGGTCTCGGGTGCAAGCAAGCGGGCCGGCGCGCCAGAAGTAGTCGACCGTCTGGCCGAGGCGAGCGGCGAGCGGTCGCAGTAGTAATAGTCGTCGCGGGTTGGCCATGGCGCGTTGGATGGAGGAGCCTTCAGGGTCCCCCCCCCTCCGACCGGGCCCGGACGAGAGCAGAGGCCGAATTGCCGAGGTCTACCAAGAAGCCGACACAGCCAGACGGGATCGCACGGGAGCGACCAAAAAGGTCCCGGGGTAGCTGATGTCTGCCTAGGACAAGCACCGTACTACCGAGTCGATATTCGCGCGCCTCCTCTCCACCTTTGATTCGGGTATAAGGGGGCGGGCGGATGTTACAGACTGGTGACCAAGGGTGATATAGGCATATACTTATTCTATTCTATTCTATTCCTCTATCAGCCTCTTTCTCTTTATTGCTGCTCTTATTTCTAGTTTCCCTCGGTAGCCTGGCCGATCCCGACTGCATCCCGATTTCGTACCGATCTCCTAGCACGTAAACAGAATACCGCAGAAGCGGGGTGAAGACTCCTCGAACAAGTGCTCAGGCGAGAGGTAGATAGGTATGCAATGTCAACTGTTCGCGTATGTGCATGTACACCCATGCTATGCAACTAGACAACGCACCAGATGCACCCTCCGACGCAAATCTGCAGGTACTTACTTACTTCGCATCGAATATCTGTGTAGCGAAGGCTCCGACCTATGCGAGCGGTGCGTACATCCTCGCACTAGGCACCCCCTCTCATTGGCCAGCCGCTGCTGGCTGCACGCCCATAGATAAATTTTCTATCACATGTGATGCCTTGAATTGACCATCTCCGGGGAGCTCGAGGGGATCTTAGCAGTGCCTGGGAGCTCTCCGCGGGTTTTCATTGCACGATTATTACGTAAGGCTAGCGAGGGGAAATCTATTTTCCTACGAACCCGTCATAGGCCAATCATAGCCGGGCCATTCCCCAAATAGGAAAATCCTAGCCCCGCCATTCCCCGCAGTCGGAATTCAGGGTCCAGAGTGACATCATTTCCTTCACCACTTAACGCCATTTTCCTCATTTGCATTCTCTACCCAGGCCGGAATCACGCCCGTGAGAGCAGAGTGCTTAAGTCTACTCGGTCGAGCCTGTCTTGTCTACCAAAAACATTACTTCTGCGCGTATTTGCTTCTCTACCATTGCTGGCAATCCCTCTATCTACGCAATACAGCACATGCCGGCAAGGCACTCGTGAACAGATTCTAGTCTTTCGGCCTGGCATTTGGCCATGCAGCTCAATCGTACAAATGGCGCTCCTTCGAACCCCGAGAGGGGCCCTTAATTCTCGCCTGCACCGCCTTTCGTCGGGCCTTCTCCCCAGTCGTATCGAATCTCCGCCTTCCACGCAAGTGCGTCGGGTATGCCCTCTACCTCCGAACCCAAAACCTCATGCTCAAGTATCGGGACATGCCTTCTCCTCAAATTACCGAACGCCTTGTCTTATGCTAGTTGCCCCGTCAAACAGGAAATCAAATGGTGACCTTATCCGTGAGGTGTCGAGGCCATCTCGACTGTACGCCACCTTAAAAAAAAAGCCCATGGTCATGCAGGTGACACGTCGAAAAAGAAAAAAAAAAACGAAACGGGACCGCGGGGGGGAGAGAGTTGATGAATCCGCCGACTCATGTCGAGACCGGGAGCTGTGAGATGGGGAGATGGCCAGGGGGGATTTCGATTAGTAAAGATGATTCTGAGAGCGCGGGTTCGCGTATTCCGTCATGAATTCCGGGACGATGCCAGATCGAAGGTCGTGCCTCCGACCGATAGGCTGGTAATGCATTTGGTTTGAGCCGAGGTGGTACTCCGAGAGCGGAATCGACGGGGGCGGGTTCAGGAGGGTGTTTACCCGACGCACGGGTTTGTAGGGACTGGCTCGTTGTTGAAGATACACTGATGGGGAATTCGAGATGGGAGTGTGGATGCCGTACGCTTCCGCTAGCGGCGAGGACCCGAACGGCGCCAGGCTCGTCGGGCTGTGTCTCTTCGTCGGCGTGCCGTAACTACCCGCCATGACATAGGATGGTGGCGGCGGCCCGCAGGTGGCTAGCATCGCGCCTTGCGGCATCCGACTCGTCGCGGTGGTCGAGTATACAGTTGACATCGCTCTGGTTCCGTGTCCCAGGGGGGGCAACGATACCGCCGGTTGCGTAGCGTATGTCGTCGGTGGATAGGCCGGAGCAGCAACAGTCTGGCTGGTGTCGAGTGTCAGATGGGGCGCCGGCAGACGAACCGGCTCGGGACCTGAGGGTGCTGGTCGTGACGACACCCGCGCAATCAAGGGCTGCCGGGGAAGCCTCTTCGCTTCTGGCTCGGCTAACTCCCGATCTTCTAGGCTCCGCTTTCGCACCAAAGGATGGCCGAGGCTAGGTTTGGTCGCCAGGGGCGAAACCGACGGGGCTAGATGGTAAGTGCTCCAGTTTTGAGCATGGATTGCCGAGTTGGGAGAATAGGCAGCGGCGAGGGATGAGGGTGGGCCCTGGTAAGCAGAGGGTAGCATGCTGGTGGGCGATGGTAGCGGCGAGGTATATCTCCCGTGCGTCGGCGATGGCACGCGCATTGGCATAGACGGGGCGGCGTGGCGACGTCTCTCCTCCAACTTGGCCCTCTCGCAATACTCGTAGAAGCAGGACAGCTTCGTGAGCCAGTCCCCCCACTCCTCCTTGGACGTTAGCAGCCCGTATCTCATGTTGCTCAAGAATTCCACCTCCATGACGTGGATCTCCTTGACCGAGATGTACGAAACCTCGGCCCACGTCTTGTTCGTGTAAGTATTATCGTCGAGGACTGCGATGGGCGTTAGCGGGCTGCAACCCCTGCCAATATTTAACGCGGACGCGAGGTGCTACTCACACTTATTCCCCAGCATTAGGGCCACCGTCAAGAGCCGATACTCGCTGCCTGGGTTGCCGTGGACCTTAGGGTTCGCTTTCTTCAGTCGGTAGACGAATAGCAAAGCCAAGAGGACTACGTTCTGTGTCACCTGAGTAGTTGACAGGACCTTGTTAACCCATTGCTTGTACGCGGGGCAGGGATCGGTATATTTAGACAGAGGTGGAATTGGGTCGGAAATCGGTCGCTCCCTGACGTGCTCGGCATTCTGTATCGTGTCCATGGTCTCGAACCAGAAGAAGCATGTCATCTCCAGATCTGTCAGCCGCGGGACACTAATCGGGGGCACCAGAGGGAGTCGGTACTTACCAGAGCGGCAAAATCGTCCAAGCTGCCACCGTTAAGATTGATACACGCAGGCAACTGTAGACTGTGTGTCACCATCATCGAATCCTTTCTCGATATGGTACCCTCCGAGTGTACGCTGAGGGTGCCCGTAGACGCGGGGGTTGTGGGTCTCGTGGAGGGTCTGGACGACGAAGAATTCGGTTGCGAGTGCGGTTGCGGTTGCGGTAGGGAGGCGAGCGTTTGCGTGGAATGTGCGTGCTGGTACTGCGGATGAAGCTGCGGTTGCTGGGCCCTCGAAAACGCCGGGTTCGCGACGGCCTCGCAGAGCATGCCTCCCGCGCGGCCGGCTTGAGCCAATGTAGTCGGTTGTCTCGCCAGGGCAACATGGCTCTCGTACGTGCTCGACAAGACTGGGTTGTGGTACGTGGCGCTCATCATGTTCTCGGCAGGCGGCGTTCGAAGGCCACCCGTGTAGAGGCCAGTTTCGCGGACGACTAAACCACGGGGAAATTTGGGGGCATCCACGCGCTGCTGAGTATGGCTGCGAGAATACGGATAGGCGGCAGGGTCTGTTGGGGATGGAAGAAACGGGCGTGAGCTCGAGGGCACGGCGACGGAAGACATGTGGGACCGATTCTGGCTGGCGTCGTCAAGAAAGGCGAGGAGGGGAGAGGCAGAGGCAGGAAAGGTTGAGGAAACAAAGGATATATGATGGGCCGGGCGTTGTTTAGAGGTTGCGGTGAAGTGACGGGTTCCTGACTGCCGTGTTCCATTCACTGTGGCATTCGCTTTCCTCCACCAGGATGGGAAGACAGGCGTGAATTCGATCGATGTGGTGGGATGTCGGTACGAGGCGGGATATATGATCAGTAGCAGAGGGGGGTCATCTCCGATGAGCCACGCGTGGGTGGATATGTTGGTCGAACAGGAAAGAGATGGGTCCAGGAAGCAAAAAGGACCAAAGATGGGAAAGGAGGTCAAGTGTAAGTGAATAAGTAGGTAGGCAAGGAAGGAAGTTTGTATCGTATCGTTCCTGAGTCCAGAAGTCCAGCCAGTGGGTATTGGCTGCTGCCGAGTGAGGCGGAGGAGGGAAAAGACTCGATATATCCAGACCAGGTACAGCTCTCTTGTTCCTGGTGTTGTGGCACCGCCGTTGTACAAGGAGGCCTGGTATGGGAGAAGTAACTTAGGGAACTGAGGTTGCGGTCCTTCTACCTGTAAGAGGTATGTGTGGATGGCTTGGACGTATGGATGTTATGAATGCCTCCTTTCCTACCTGGGACTGGTCTGTCTTGTCTTGCCTAGTTGGCCCGGCTCTCTGTTATTGCGATTTTTTTTTTCCTGAACCCTGCAAAGCAACACATTCTCTTCTCTGCTGCTGCTGCTGCTGCTGCATTCACTGCATTCGGCAGGGTTCTCCTAGCGCGGCGGGACCCATGACAGGGCAGGACCTCAATTGAAACTCGGGTGCGGTTAGGACAGTAATATGTGTCAATATGTGTACAGACAATGGAAAAACCATGAAAAATGTCCCAGGTGGGGAAGGGTATGTAAGAGGCACTCTTTTCTTCTCCTCTCTTCTCTATTAGGAATAACCAAATAAATGAAGAGACGGAGACGGAGACCTAGGCAGAGAACGGAGGAGAGAGAAGCTTTGCTTGTTTGCGGACCATCCACATCTACACACACACACACACACATACAAGCACCCGCACACATACACGCACTTACGCACACTTACACACGCGTACAAGACCTCAGAACCTTCTCCATGACAAAGCCAGAAGGACGAGAACAAGTTAGGATGGAGAGAGATTACTTACCGTTGCCCGAGGTCGTAGTCTAGTTAGCCGGATTGGGGCTGGGCTGGATGGGGATGGGACGGGGACGGGTCTGTGGTAGTCCGCCAACGCTGATTGGCGCATCCCATCCACCAGAGAATCCCAGAGGGTCCGTACAGCTCGAATGGTAGCCTCCAATGACCCCTCGAGAGGCCGTCCTGGAGTCCTCGAGCGTCAGCCGTGAGCCGTGAAGGGCGTCAGTGGCCGGGCTGACGGTGGGGATGGTTCAGAGCTCAAAGGCCAAGACCTATTTTAGCTGGGTAGGCTTGGTAGGGTAGGGTAAGAAGGGAGGCTTGTAACATAGGTGCGTGCGTGGAAAAGGAGCTCCAATGGGGTTTCTTGAGGGGAGAGGGGAGGGGGGGGGAGAGACGGGGGGGTGTAGTATGCGATAGCACGGAGAGAGAGAGGAGTTGAGGAATGTGTGGCTAGAGGTTCTTGAACAAGGCTGTGGAGCGGAGAAGGGGGGAATGCAGGATGCAGCAGGTCTAGGGACCTAAGCTACCTACCTGTTACCTACCTCGGTACGTAGGTACACCCGTATAGCCGTGGCGGGTCCGAGCAGGTACATCCTGACCCAAGGGGCGACAGCAACCGGCGCGGCAAGCAGTTGCGCAGGCCTACGTACCTACCTAGATACCTATGTACCTACTTATGTATGTACTTATCCCGGACACACACGTACAGAAGGCACCTGCTGCGTATCGAATGTACCTAATGCAGTAAAGGGAGGTAGGTAGGTAGGTCCGTATAGGCGGGCAGGGAAAGGTAGGTACAGTGGATAACATTCGTGCCAGCTACATGCATCGAGCTGTTTGCCCAGGTACGTGTCGGGTGTATCTACCCATGTACCTAGGTAGGTACCTACAGGCAATGGAAGTTCCGTTTTGTATCGGCGCTATATCCAGGCGCGGACGCACGCAAAGGTGTTTCGCACATACCTCACCTCGTGAAGGCAGGTCCATTAAGGTATCTATGTAGGTACCCAATATCCCTAGGACGCTGATACCACCTAAATTAGTGCTGAAGCCTACCTGTATACCGCCAGCCTCCTTATACGTATCGTATCCTACATACCCACCCACAGGGACCTGCCTCCCAGGTAGGTGTTGCGTATATGTACATGCCTACCTAGCACAGTGTGTCCTCGTGCTGTCCCCACCCGCTCCCCCACGGCAAGGGGGGAAGAGAGGCCGACTATCAATTCTATCGAATGCGGATACATCGCGGTGGAGATCCTGCGGCAAGAGGGCGAACGTGCTCCGTAGGCATTTGGGTAATTGCACTTGTCATCCGCGGATATCCAGTGACGCTCTTACAGGTACGTGGCCGTAGAATCTACGTGTACGTACCTATCTATCTCTTCCGTCCCAGTTCACAGTGTTCGCCAGCCATCCCTCGTGCACGGTACATCAATGCATCGTCATCGCACGCAGCCGCGGACTGGACTGGACGGGTGCAGGTACTGATGCATATACGTCCGTCCGTACCTACCTACCTACCTACCTACCTAAGGTACCCGGAAGGCATGTAAGCGGATGGGAGATTGCACACCTATAGTGTCCCTAGGCAGGTAGGCACAGTAAGTGAGTGGTCTATACGCCCACTACGTATGCCTCTAGAGGCACAGAGGTGTGTGTGAACAGCAACACAACACGGTATATGTGTACTGGGGCAAATTACTATAGTACTACACACATGCCTGTCCGAAGCCTGGATGGACTCGACTGCTGGCAACATGCCGAAGAAATCCGACGGGACTAGCTAATACCTGTGTTGCGCATGGGAATTAGCACCGGCGGCTTTGAAGACCAAGACCGATGCATAGCAACCCGCTGGAGGCCCGGCCGCGGTGATACTAGCGCTGATACGGCAACGCATCACGCCAATATACATCCGCACGTATGTGCGGCAGGTACCTCTCTCCAGCAGCGTGCCATGCGGCAAAACTGTCTAGGCGAAGCCAGCCGGGCTTCATCTCAGGCTCGTTTCCGCGCCCCCCCTTCTGGGTCCTGTTTCCTGTTTCCGCTAATATTGCCGTTGGGCTCCTAATTCCTTCCACCTTTAAATTGGCTCGGGTTTGCTTGGATTGGCGACGAGGCGGAGGACGCGAGACGCAGGGTGGAAAACGGAAGGACGGCCGAGACGGAACTTGTTAGTTAGGTAGTTTACGACGCCTGAACCTAGGAGGTCGGGGGGCGGAGGAGGGGGAAGGATTCGGAAACGAGTCATGGAATCGCCAAAGGGGGCTGGAAGAGGAATACGCAGATTGAGGAGTGGAGAGAGCGAGCAAGCAGGCGTGTGGAGAGAGAGAGAGAGAGAGGGAGGGAGAGGGAGAGGGGGGGCGTGGACGGAGAGAGAGAGATGAAGATGGGCGTAGGCGGTGGTGGCGGTGGCACACCACGCCCACGCCAGCGTCCGCCCAGGTGCATTGGTACCTACCTACTTACCTACCTATATGGGCTACCACTGCACAGCACACCCACCATTTGCGGGCGCTGGAGCAGGCACAGGAGCCGGCACAAATACTGGAGCCAACAGTGACACCGAGGCAATCGGAGAGAAGCAGAAGAGCCAGAGCCAGGGGGGGTGGCAGGGGGGTGTGTCTAGAGGCACCTCAGAGAAGATGTGCATTGATATACGACACCAGCTATCCTCCACCGAATCCTATTCCAAATTTGCCAAACGAAGTAGCTCTCGGCTCGCCATCGTGTAGGTATAATGGACGTGATGTACGTAGCGTAGATATGTATGCGCACATTAGCAGACGGACACCTTGCATACTATAGTACGGAGTACTGAGCAGACATCTGTGCATATACGTACGTACCTAGGTATGCAACCATACCTTAGGGGGGGCCCTCCTCTTACGACAATATCCGCGCCCCCCCCTCTCTAATAAAACCCCCCTCCCTCCCTTGTCGTCCCATTCCCTTTCGTCTACGTGCGCCGCCGCCCAATCAACGTTACCGCTTACACTTATTCAGCGGGATCTGCTAGTCAATCAAGAACCCAGCACGGCTGGACGATACATCATTTGTCGGAAAGCCAGATTCCACCGGAGGCCTAAGAACTCCATAGCCGACCACACCTACGGATTGCGACGGGTTTCGCGTGTGCGCGCGCATATGTGTGATGCGCAGGCTGACAAGTTGCTGGCGCAGTTGACTGGGCACCTTGTTTGCGTATGTGCGTTCTATATCTAGGTGGGTAGGTGGGTAAGAGGTAGGTAGGTATCGATATGTTTACATACCTATTGCAGGCAGGCAGGCAGGCAGGCGAACAGGCAGATAATGTAGGTACGTGTGGATGTATGTACGTATAGGCGCATCAGACACCGCAGCCGTATACGACCTAACCCAACCTACTACAGCAGCGGCTTGCCAGGGTAAGACACTTCCAGACATGATAAATACCATCTCCCGTCATCCGCACCCCTCCCTGTCGTCTCCTGGACGATCCATAACGAATAGCGTAGGTGCTAGGTGCTCGTCTATCCCATACGGCATTTACCACACGCGTGCTACGTAGCAGCCTGTGTATATGTGTATATATACGTGAGTGTGTGTGAGTGTTGGGCGAGTGCGAGTGTGTGCTCTGTAGGTATATTATATACACCTACGTGCGTGCATACATACATGCAGACATGGGCGGAGATCCGCCCAGAAGAGAGGGGCCTCGGGGGACGAGAGAAATGCCTACCCACCTCTCCATACGTGCATACGACGCCGAAGTAGACGGACCACATCGCCTCCACAGCCCTGCCTGTGATCAGTAACAGCCAACTACACCTTGCCTATACCATACTACCGTACATAGATGGAGAATACCCATGTCATGGAACTTGGTAGCAAATTCGTCCTACGTACTCATAGGGGGAGTATTGCGAAGAGGCATACACATACGTTACAGGTATTTGCTAGACACCGGGCGCTGATTGGACCGCAGTAACAGGGCTCGTTGTCATGCTTACTTATCTTACGAAACCATCGCTCTGTCCGGGCCTGTACGGCGCGCACAGGGCCGAGCTTCGATGTGGTCCCCTCCCAACACGAACCAGGCTTACGTCTTCAAGATCGATCGTCAATCAAGATTCGAAAGAGACAACACGAAAAACAACTGCCATGCGTGGGTCACAGCGACCCCGTCCAGTCGCCCTACATACACGGCATACTCATATATTTCATCCGTGGGTCCCGAGCTAGGGGTGTACGGTATGTACGCACGTAATACCTAGTATGTGTGTGCTGGAACGGACATTGACGGCGCCACTCGATCCGTCTCGACACGGAGAGCCTAAGTCCATACGTACCATACCCGGGGTCCCTAGTGTGTCATCAACCCTCTCCTACCGCCCCGGGCAGAGTCATGTGTATGCGCAAATGATAAAGCGTCGCCATCGCCAGTCGTCCTGCCTCTGTGCCGGTGTTCCCCCTTTCCCATCCCCCAACATGAGACCCGTCGGTGGGTATCGCCCTGTGGGAAATGCCAACAGGTTTTTGTCACCCTTGTGACCGTGAGGGGGTGGTAGGCCAGAGCCCACCAAACCTGGCCCGATGGCAGGGATACGCTCGTCGTCGTCATCGTAATCATCAACATCATCCATCAAACAGGTTCATACATGGCTATGCAAGACCCGATACGAAATCTCCTGTCCGAGGCAATCTAGATTGCATGCCATGGCAGCCGCGCCTCTCTTTTTTAGCTGTAGGCACCACCATCATTAGAGTCTCCACCCGAAACGAAACATTTCACCAGTCTCTCTCTCTCTCTCTCTCTCTCTCTCTCTCCGGCCGGATCCGGCACAAGGCGAGCGTTAGCGAGGACGAAGCTCGCTGCTGTTGCCGTCGTTGTTGAGACAATTTGGCACGGACCCGAAGCTGTTGCTGCAGTTCTCGACACGGTCTCTTTCTCAGCGATCCCGACATGCCACAGGATAGGGAGAAGGAGGAAGCAGAGAAAAGAGAAACACGCCTCAGTTGGATGTGCACATTCATACTTCCCGCGTAGGTACATGTTACCATACGTTAATGTGCATCAGGATGTGTAGCGGCATGGCGGGCCAAGCCCGCAAACATGAAGGAGGCCCATGGCCCTGAGATACCGACGATGAATGAGTCTTGTCTGGCAGCTCATAGGTCGCCTGATGCAGGTGTGTATGTGCACATGGCTCCCCTTGCCTGCCATCGACCTAACATAGCAGCCCCCCCTTTTAAGATTAAGAAAAATTTGGCCCGATAACTAAAGCAGCGTTCCCGATGTAACTTGTTTGAGTGCGATATGCAACCTCTTTCAAACGGATCCTGCTAGGTTAGAAACGAGATCTCGCTCGCTCGCTCTCTCTCACGGCGTCCGGGGGAAGGGGGGTGTGGGCGGAGGGAAACAGGGGATAAGGAAGAAGAAGAGAGAGAGATTGAGAAAAAAAGAAAAAAGAGGCATTTTACGTGGTACCGACATCTTGGGAATGCCAAGCGAAAAGGAACTCTACTTGTAATGGAAGCACGTATACGCTTGCATACACGGCCTAGACAACCCCATGATAGATTGGTTTTGATTCGGTGGGAAGGCTGTTCTGCTATTAGGACGCACGCACACACACACGACGCACACGCCCCCCTCGGGGGTTGCCTCTTCGCGAAACAAATGCAACTCCAGTATCCCTTGAGCTTCATCTAGCTGCGTATGAGTAGAGGGAGCAAAAGGAGGGGACATGGGCAGGGCGCGGGGGGGCGCGTGCGCGCAACACGCGTTGGCGATCTCTTTACAACAATGCACTCGCACACACGTCTCCGATCAATGTTGGATGCCGAGTCGTCCAGAAACCGCTGGCGAATTCCCAGGAGAGAATGCCGGCGGCGAGGGGCATCCAAAGGGACCGCCTAGGCAACAACACATCCAGCGGCTACGACGACGACGACAGTTGGCGGAGGGAGAGTGCACACACGCATATACTGACCGAGCTACCCACGCTAGGCTGGCTCGGGTTCGGCTAGACATCCTCTCTGCTGTCGCCATAGCGGGAAGCTGGATTACATACATAGCTGCGCTTAGCCGCAGACGGAGGCCCATCCGCTCAATCCAACTTCAGCTAGGGACATTCATGGCGTGCCAACCTCGACAAAGAAACGGGGCCATGGCAAATGGGAGAGAGCAGAGAGAGCGAGAGAGGCCGACAGAGGGATGGGAATGAGTACTACATGACGCTGACGGATTCGCCCTAGCTGCCAGCGTCGTTCGTCGACCGGGTCGGGGCTTGAGACTGTCCTGGCCTGAATCTTCCCGAAGCCGATATAGTAACGAGCCATTCCCAGCGCTGATACTACCCAACGAACGTACTACGTAGGTATGGAGTAGTGTGTGGATGTATGTAGGTACACATAGTTACGTGTAGACGACAGCTACATCTACATACCTACCTACCTATACCGACTCCTACACTGCATGCGTAGTACTCTACCTACATACAGCAGTTGAGGTAGCCATCCAGCCAGCCCGTCCGTCTCTTTCTTCTTCTGCGTCTCCGAAGAGAGACAAGGCGGAGATGTCGGCCGGTTTTTTTTTCCTTCTAGATTCGTTTACAACTTGACCAAGCCTTGTTCGTTATAGCCTGCATACTTACCCACGACCGACCGAGAGAGGCTATACCTAACCTGACTGGCTCAGTGGTCTTACGAGCACCGAAACCGCGACATAGCATCCGTAACCTGGCTAACCCTGCCCGTGTTCCGAAATGCGCAGTTTGCACAGTTGGTATTGAGAGCGACATCCAACGCCACCGCTAAGAAGGGCAAATAGCAGGATCACGGGTGTCTGAAACCACCTCCCCTTGGATGGTGCCTACATGTGCACATACTCACATGCAACATTCAGACCCGGGAGAAACCTGCCCCCCTACGTGCATACCGTACATGGCTAGGCAGATTTTGCTTTACCACGGTGCTATGAAGATACTACCTGCGTGTGGGACGTATAGTACGAAGTATTCCCGCTGACGAGTAGCAACAAGTCGTACCGTATGCCATATTGGCACCTTGTATGCCGGTGCATTGGGATCGATGGGAATTGCAAGACCGTGTATCATCAAGGTCATGTCGCGGACCCGTCTCACGCAATGCATATATATACATACACATAAACGTACACGATCATCCAACAGGGTCTCAAGTTCAGTTCATCGGCAAGACTACTCTACTCCAGGCACATGAACCCGGAGAGAGGGCGAGAACGGAGCCAGCCCGGTGGGCGGCAACGCAAATATAGCACACCATGCGTCTCGCTCGCTCGCACGTACGTGCGTAAAAGTACACGACCGCGTTTGATTAGGGATACGGGAAATACTTGGTCTGGCAGATATTTCTTTCCTCTTACCCGCTCGACAATGTGCCACTATATTACCCGATAGCACCTCTGCGGTTGCCTGTGGGAGAATACGTGTACTCAGTAAACATTCCGTCCATGCATTGCATGCGGTGGAAATTGAAGCTACCTAAGGTATATACTACTACTATAGGTACCGAACCTAGGTAAGGTAGCGCCTATCGTGTTATGCATGGACAACATCGTGTGGTATGTTGGGTACCTACATAACCTCTGGTACGCGCATGCGCTACCCAGGGTATGCATGTACGAGGAATGTAATATTATATTATGTATGGACGTGTACATCCTTGACGGTCTATGATGGACCGGTTAATAGGTGCATTAGGCGCCTAACAATAGGTGTCTTAGGTGTCCGCCTACCCCGGTACCTAAACCTAATAGAGTGCGTCCCGTATGTACTTACCTGTAGTAGTAGTAGTAATAGTAATAGTAGTAGCAGTAGGGCCTACTCATACGCTTTAGGCACTTGAAAGTAGGCATCAAATAGCGGTAATAAATAGACCCGGACCAGTCATGCCGCCTCGGCTGGGGTCCATCTATCACAACAACGGTGGACATTAGGACAACCCTCCTCCGTCCAGGATTTCCCGCCAATTTTACCAGACTCGCTTCCCGCTTCCATGCCTGTCTGCCTGCCTACCTGCCTGCCTACCTACCTACCTGACCTACCAACCATACGATACCATGTAATGCCATACCATGTAGAACCCCAAATTCCGCCAACAGCAATTCCTGCCGCTGGACAAAACGAAACTCCATCGGCTGCGACGCTATTGGATTAGCGGCCAGCGAATCCCGCACCCCACAACGCCGCGGCGACGGCGACAGTCAAGCGGCTACTCGGCTCGCCCGCCCATCACGAGCAAAACCCGTCCACGCAGCACTTGTGGTTAGTGTGAGGGCGCGAAAGTGGCCGACTCTGCCTGACTGACTCGGCACGCACGCGTAGAGTAGGGGGGGGGGGGGGGGGGGGGGACCCGCATGAGGATGTCTCGGTGTTAGGATTTCACCAGGGGGAGGAACATTGCCGTCTACGAGCCAGGAAGAGACCTACATGACAGCCGTGACTTTTGTCTTCCTCCGCCCCGGCAAGGGAAACCAAAACTGGCCAGATCCACCACCGCCCATCCATCACCGCCCATCATCATCATCGCCCTCGCCCTTCATCATCACCCGACGGGGCGCGGTTGGCTCTTATCTCGCAGGCGCAGTCCCGTGGCAAGATGCGCCGGCGCATTGCCCCCTATCACGGATGATCGGGGAAGGATCCTTATCCTTCACAGGTAGCCCCAGCCGACCAGGCCGTCTGTTAGTCAATCCCGTCAGTCAGTCAGTCAGTCAGTCAGCCAGCCAGCCTGCTTGGTGGCCGATGTTGGCAACCACGGCATACACCCAAATGTACGTACGCACTCACGCACACATTAGAGACGCAGACATACGAGTGGTGAAGCTATGCGTGCGTGCGTGCGTGCGTGCGTGCGTGTGTGTATGTATGTGCGTGTGTGTGGACGCAGTCGAGCAATTCATGATTATAGTATCCCCAACCGCCAATCGCTCGGGGTTGCGTGCGTGCTGCGACATGATGACCCAGTCTGCTGCCTCAATAGCCCCGGGCAACAGTCCAGCCATAGACCGTTGTGGGGATGACCCGAGTTATACACACACGCGAACACGCGCACCACGAACACTTGCACAGGTAGAGAGATGCATATCCATACTCATACATACCTGCATATATATGTACGGGCGCCTGTGTGCTTGTGAATACATGCATAACACTGCGTAGGCCAATAACCACGCCAGGGTGGAGAAAGGGATAGGACACACACACACACAGAGAGAGACCGACCTGACGCCGGCCGCTATGTATGGGCACATCAGAAGTCGAGTCGCTCCGAGGCTGGTTCTCGCGCTATGGCATGGGACCCCGTAGAATCGTCAGATCGACATTCGATCGATTCGAAGTCTTCCTCTCTCGCGATCGCCATTGTCTCGACCACGATTACGATCCTGGGTAAGCGCCCCGTGGCTAGCGGCACTCCTCATGCCTGGCCAAGGGTCCCGAGGCCAGCCGGCCGGCGCATAATGTGAAAGAAAGAGAAAGAAAGAAAGAAGGAAGAGAAAAAAAAAGAAAGAGGAGAGACCTGGTCCGTTTCGACCGAATCCTCTGGCAATATTTCGAACCCAGCGCCGTCCGACGCTCTCAGCTACGACGAAGAGGATATATATGGGACACCAATACCAGGGATGGTAGATAGCATGCATCGTCCAACCGCAACCTGACGCTACCCCTGCGGTAAGCTCGACAGGCCTGGATTATCCGTCATCACTTGTCGCCGTAGCCTTTCTCTCTCCCTTCGTTAGCGTTTTCCTCTTCCCTTTCCGACGCGGCGACGCCCCCCATCCCTCTTTTCATCATCATCATCATAGGAGGAGGACCATCACGGACGGAGGAGCCTGCTACCACACCCCAAGCTCCCGGCCTCGCGCCAAAAGGTGTTTGTACTTTTTCTCTCTCTCTCTCTCTTTTAACTGCCTCTTTCTTTTTTCGGAAACCCCTCTCACATGCAAGGAGCTGACAATAAGCTTGAGCTGTGAATATTGATTTTACTACCCGGTTATCGTGAGTATGGTAATTGCTAAGGAATTTAATAGGACCATCTTCACCTTTACACCGATTTAAAACAAAATAAATTAAATTAAATTAAATTAAAAAACTAATAAACATTGCGCCCTATTACTGTCGTCGTCAGCCTTGCAATCAATGGCCGATGTCGCTTGAAGCAAAGAACATGAACGACCGTCCGCCAGGTAGGTAGGTAGCTACTTCCGGCTAAAAATATTCGCGGCATCAATTATTGATTGCACCGTGTTTCGTTGATAATTCGTGTGCTTGGGGCTTCATCGCAGGGAGGGGCTCACCCGGGCCCAGTCGTGTCGCTTCGAGGGTGTCTGTCTGTCTCGCCCTGGGTGAGCCGAAGTAAGCCAGACCCACTCCAATTGGGTGAACCAGCGCGCTGAGGATGACGACGATTGGGGAGACAAAATCCCCCTTCCGAAGTGACGGAGAGGGGGCCGTCCTAACCAGCAGCCTCCACCCCCACTTGTTCTTCAACTACACAACAGTTGACCAGCTCAGCCTCCCCCCCCAAAAAAGAGCCCTTCCGTAATATCGCAGAGCACGGCGTTTCCCAACTACCACGGAGCCTCCATTTCTGGCAACGATTTCATGCCGCGTATAAAGCGGTACTCGCCATTCCCCACCTGTTTCCAAATTTCGGCCCTTCCGTGATCTACTAAAACACTCATCCTGTCACCATTGCGGTTAGAATGTCCATCCTGCCCCGGAGAACGATACTAACCATTTCATTCCCCATAAAGGATTCCTCTCGAAATCGGGGGCGCTGACCATCTTAGCCAGATCTTTAACGTAAAGAACCTCTTCGAGTGACCATTGCCCCTTCTCAGTATCGTGATAAGTGCGACGAAGGACCCATCGGTTGTATTGGCGCTGCGTCGCAATTCGTGTAATAGTCTCCCTAGGAAAAGGGTTCCGTGTCAGTTTGAATAGATACTAACAGTACAAAGGATTACTACCTACGACGTGAGAAAGGGCAAGAGTTCGTGTCCGTCCGTGGATACCATAGTCCTCCACGTTGTTTCATTTGAAGACCGGCTCGTCACCCGTCCGTACCAGTTTGGTTCAAGACTTTCGTCCTCTACCAACGCCGTGAGTGTAGCATTGGCATATGCTTCTTGTTTGCGGACTGCATTTTCATCGAGGCGTCGGACCATGGGGTCTCCGACCCAGTAATAGAGGCCAATCAAAACGGAAAAGATTCCGAGCGTCCAAAAGGCGACGGCAGACCGCGCCATCGTCGGTTTCGCAGAGGAGGGCGGCGATTCCAAAGGTTGCTGTCTGTAGACAATCATATCGATGCAGGTAAATGGAGAGGAATGAGCCACAACACTACGTGGGGAGTCGACATCGTTTTATCGGCGGCACGACGGGTTACTCACATGAGCCGGAGGATCATTCAAAACTAAGCCACGTAGTCAAAGGCTAACGGTGGAGGGTAAGTTTTATCAGCTTGATTTTTCGCTGAGGATATCGAGAATTGTCATGTAGCGATCGAATCAGCCCTTATTATGCCTACATACCGCAAAACGTAAATGTGGGCGTCTACGTTTTACGCGACATATGTTGTATAGAGTACGGTTACCGATAGCCATACTCGACGCTGAGCGATCGGCGGTTTATAAAGCCTATCGTATAGTGGCCGTAGCGAATCTACGGATTCGCCGGTATGGCAGGGGGGCAGCTGGGGGAGGCATAGGCCACCACCCCAGAGGAGGCGAGGATGGCGGTTTTTAGCTTGTTATATCCTATCCGGATGATAGTTATATTGTTATTCTTTCGGGTCTTATATATATTCGTTATTTTGACATTGGTGGAAGCTTGCCTACGGTAGATTAAAAATGTTATTGTCGCGTAAAACGTAGACGCCTACATTACGCTTTGCGGTATGTAGGCATATAAGGGCTGGTTCAATTGGTATGTGACAACATAAAATTTCGCTCGGTTTTCGCCGCCATCTTCTGCTCCTCCTGTTCGGTCAAGACCAGTTTCCAAACTCGGTCCGCGCACCAGCGACCCAGCTCAATCGTGGATTCCCTCGAGTAACTAAACATCCTCTCGAAAACCTTGTTGTGCCCGATTACCTTGTGAAGCTCTTGTCAAAGAGATGTCTCGAAGGGCTCCGGCGACATGCTGTAGTTAATGAGCTCCTCCACAGGCCGGTTAATGCATGCCTTGGTATAAACGGCAGGGTCGGCCACAGTAGCCATCAGATGTCTTCGACCGAGAGGTAAGCTACGTACGTAGCATTGGCGGCCTACGCCTCCCCTGGGAGGCCTCCTAGCCACGATGCTATTGACTCCGTGGGAATCGCCGCCACCCACTCCGTGCCCTGCGTCTGCCATTCGTTCGGCGTCGCGTGGGCGTTGGAGGACGCGACGGCGGCGGCTTGGGTGAGGGAGGAGGAGGTGGTGGCGGAGACATTGGCGGATTCCATACCTGTAGAATCTGTTAGCCGCTTGTCCGTACAATACGGGGTTTGAGTATGGGCATACTCTTAGCGATGTTCAGATGATGTTTGAAAATAAACCAGAAGTTCGTTGCAGCATTGAAGAGGGACAGCGTGGGCACGCTGTAAGGGGAACCGGGTAGGACGAGCCACAGCTGCGGTCAACTGGCCCAGTGCCGATCAGAGGGCAGGGTAAGGCAGGGCAGTTTACGAAGGCATATTGAACGAGTGGAAAGCCGTAGTTGTGATGTCCACAGGTCTAAGTCTGATCGATGAAAACCTGGGTGCGAGACCTAGGTGTATAAATACTCACGAAAAGGCCTATGTGGCCTAGTCCCACCGCACCACTGCGGCATGTTCTCTGCTCAACATAGGCAGAGAAAATGCCTACCATCTCGTCCATCGTGTCTGTGTTAACAGTTCCGAATTGCAGTTCCGAATTGCAGTTGCAGCTTCGAGTCGTGTCAAGTACCGGGGCGTGACGTCATTAGTGGATGCCTATATCGACCTAGGTATTGGCGTCGACAACGTAGTGTCTACCTTCCTACATTAAACCCATATGAGTAGGTGAGCTCAGTGGGTTAGATAATAGAGGACAGGTTCGATTCCTGACAGCGCTACTTGGTAGTCTCTATTGTTTAGCCTATCTAGGTGGTAGGACGTGGGGGGAGGGAGTACGGAGAGCAATCGACCCTCACACAATGGTGTGCGTTTACATAGGTACATACCTAGGTACTACCTATTATTAGCTGGGAGGCGACGGTGGGCGCCAGGATCGCGCTTCCGTGCTGGGCGTCCATCTATTGTGGTATGTTCCAGTCATTAAGTACTAGGTATCCCTACGCTACTGCCCGCACGCCTCTCTCTCCAAGTCTCCCTTCCCTCTCTGACCGCATCTGGACAATTTGTAGACTCGGCAGTCCCCCCGCCTCCCTTTCCTCTACTAGCACGGCGAGCTTGCCGGTGACACACTACCCACATCCTACGACGACTGCTACTGCCACTCCTATCGCGACCGCGGAGTACGCGCCTCCAACAGCTGCGTACCTTACCTACTTCCCTAGGTGCGATCCACTGTCCATCCTGCGTCAGGCCGAGCCAGGAGACCGTGTCGTCATCGTGGCACAGAAGAAAAAAGGAAAGGCCGGGGGCGGCGGCGGATAGTAGCGACGCCTGGGGATCTGCAGGCCTTTCTTTTGCCACCTACTGAGTAGCTTCTGCCCCCTCCTGCCGTCGCCAAACTTACCTAGCCAGCCGACAGCTATGCGTAGGAGCAAGGCGGTCACCGACACCGGTCGTCAGTGCGCAACGCGAGGGGAGCGCATCTTCAGGCCGTGGCTTGAGATCCCGTCGCTGCCTGCGTCCCCGCCATCGAGAGGTGTCTCCCAAGACAGCCTTAGCGCAGGTGATCAGATAGTCCCGGTTAGGGACGTGTGGTGATCCATCTAGGTATTATAGTATTCTAGTATTGGTGCAATATCGTTTGGCCGGTCAGATCGCAAATGTAGGTGCTGTGAGAAGTAAGCAATACCTACGGTCTAGAATCCGAGTCACATCAGGATGTGCGTTGTTCAAACCGAACCCCGACACTTTAGCCGCACATTTGAAAATGGGAGAAACGCCGCAATGTGGCATGCTAAGGCAACAAGGCATCAAGAAAGGAGCCCTGTGATTGGTTGGATTGAAGAAAAACGCGCAACAGCCAACTGCACAGCTATTGATCGATCAATAGCAATTGAAGCTATTCCTGACCGTTTTCCGACGAAACAGGCATCCCACGATGTCCTCACCGCAAGTCCCAGCGTCCTCCCCGCCCGGAGAGCCGAGCCCCGAGCCCGCCAGCGACCTGAAAGCCCTCATGGGTGATCGAGTCACCTACGGCAGATCCACAGACGGCACTCATAAGCGAATGGAGCTTTTAGCTCGCAATCTCCGTACAGAAACGGCCTCCCGTATAGAGGAGAGCTGCAAGCCCGCATCGAGCAGGGCCTCGAGCAGCGCTTCGATGAGCGTTTCGAACAACAATGACAAGGCCTACAACAAGTACAAGAACAACTACAACAGTTGACAAGGCTTCTCCTGAAGCGTGAGGATCGTGGGATCAGTCAATCCAACCAATCACAGGGCTCCTTTCTTGACGCCTGGTCGCCTTAGGATGCCACAGTAAGGCTTCCCTCCGCTGCACCCCTCCTTTCTCCGTCTGACGGGGGCAGGGAATTCGCTACTTTTGCTGTGCCGAGGAAAGGCTGCTAGTGTTGGCTCGGGATAGGACAGGATAGACCACCATCATCATCATCATTACACCCAGTTTCGCCAACGTCAGCTGCGCGACGTAGCTCCGTCTCCCTTACGGTATGATGTGCAATAAGTTCGCTGGGCGTGTATCATGGACTGGACGCAATTCGACACCCGCTCCTACGACCCCGGTGGATCAAAGCGCCAGCAATGCGTCTCATTGTGCCGTTTCGCCCTAGCGGCAGCACAAGACCAGCAAGAGACGACGCTGAAAGCCATCTGAGCGATCGTCATGGCCATGGTTGTTGTCGGCGCTGTTGTTATTGTTGGGGTGGTCAATAATTAATTACCTACCTACATAGGTACTGAGCACACACCACACACACACACACACACACACTATGTAGTTAGATATTCGAAAGGATTTTCGCATTGATAGAATGTGCTGGTCCCGTCACCTCCCGAAGATCTCGAGGGTGTCGAATGAAACGCAGCATTCGTCGGCGTCGTCGTACCGGCAACCCACTTAGACCGCTCGCGGCGATGGCAGAGGGCGGGAGAGTTGGCTCGAGTGGCTTCAGTTGCATGGCGTAACAGTTCTCTTGCTTTCTCCTGAACCTCTCTTCTTTTTTTTTTTACGTCGTCGTATTCGTCGGTGGCTGGGCGGGTATGAAGGTGCTTTAGCTCAGATTAGGTACCTACCTCAGATACCTCCACATTCCTACTCATATATGTACACACAATTCCTATCCGGATTCTATACCTATATATGCCCAGGTACAAACCTGCATGCGTCGCCGAACAGGTAGAGGTAATAGATGCCTGGAAATGCAGAATACCTCAGGTACATATAGAGATTTAAGCAAATACCTGTATAGTATACCAAGATACCTACCTAGGGCACATCTCAAGCACAATCAGACTTTATGATCCCTTCGTATCAAAATTTGCGTAGGATACGAGGTCCCTATCTTAGGTACATTAGTACTTGCCTATCCCACAGCTAGATGGCTTATAAAACGTGCTTGATTCCTAAAACCTCCTATCTAAAGCATCCTTATTAAGAAACATACTTTAACTCTTAAGGGCTGCTTATATAATACGTATTACATAATTAGGAGGGCTCCTACTTAGCTAGTGGGGGGAGGCAAAGGTAACCGCCCCTGGTTATAACCTTAAAGGCCTTTAAAAAAGGTTATAGTAACGAATAGTAAAATAAGTTTTAGTAATAACTTATCTCGTCGCCCTTCTTAATCTCCTTTAATAAGGCAATTAAAGGTCCCTTTATAACCTTAAATAACCCTCCCGTGGTTTAAATAGCTTTAATTAATTCGTATAGTAATAATAAGGTCCTAATGGCTTATCATTTAATAATAATAACTAAAATGCCGATCGTCTAACTAGGATCCCTACGATAAAGGGTCCCGTTTATTTCTCGCGTAGCTTAGGTGTTTTTCCGTCCTAATAAAGCATAACGAGGTTCCCTTTTCCGATAGATCTACGGGCTTCTTTAAGAGCTTCCTCTCTCTTTTTCCTAGTTCGTTTAAATAGCTTCTAGACGTTTTCCCTATAGTATTATATCCTAGCCATATAGCTTACGATTAGATCCGCGTATATTTATTCGCTAGGGAGCTTAAAGGAGCCGCTAGCTAGCATAGCTCTTAGTTTAGTTAAATGAAATAAAGGATATTTAGCTTCGAAGGCGTTAATAAGTAGGTTCCCGTATAATATTTTAAATGATAAATAGCCTAAGGACTTAACGTAACGCGCGTTAATTTTAGTTATTATTTCGGGCATAAAGCTAGCCTAGTTTAATGGTTCTTATTAAGATAAGGGGTTTATTATTTTCTTTAAAACCTACTATAGGATCTTATTAAATACCTTAACTAAACCTATTAATCGGTAGGAGCTTAAAGGGGCGTTAACGACTAATATTCCTTTAGATATTAAATACTAAACCATTTTATATAAGGTAAAGGCGGATCCCGGGTCTAGGTAGAAAGCTAGGGGTTTCGTTCCTAAGTTAATAAGCTATATATCGAAACCTACGATTACATTATCTATTAAGGTATTAAGAGTAGGCATTACCTAGCCGTATCTATTAAACTAATAAACGATTATTAAAATATACCTATGCCCCGATTATAAGGATAGAAAGAGGCTAACGAAGTTAAACGAAAGGATTTATAACGGTACGTAAACTATTATAAGGAAAGGGGGACCTAGTAGTTTAGTTAGTTTATAATACGCGTAAGGGAGGTAGTTATTTATATAAGCGGATACGTCGTTAGCTATCTTCGGCTAAAAGACTAAACGGGTAAGTCGTTTTAGGGTAATTAACTTAGAAAAATGCCTAACTTCGTCGTAAACTTTAACGAGGGTATTTAAAACTTCGTCTAATAATAGATACTTATTCTATATCCCGCGATAGTAATGCTATAACTATATTCCTTAAATCTTATATTCCTTAGTTTTATTAAGGAGAAACCGTACCTTAAGCCGACTATAAGTATCTAATTTAGGTCTCCCGGTAATTAAGAGGTTAACCATATTTCCGTACCATTTAGAATTTAGCCATTTATTTTATTCGGCGGACGAGCCTCCTATAAAAAGTTCTAAGGATAAGGTAGCGAGTATCCCCGAGGACTAAGAGCTAGCGTTTAGGTAGGTAGACTTTCGAAACCTAACCTATTAATCGGGTATTTAGGCTTTAAAAGGCGAAGGTAGGGGTAAGTAGTCGTTAGTTTTATCGTTAATATTAACTTTAGTTAGGTGCCGTTTACGGACGTACCTAGGTCCTATTATTCGTAGTTTATGAATATATTCGGGTCCTATTATTCGTAGTTTATGGATATACTCGGGTCCTTTATGGATATATTCGGGTTTTATTATTCGTAGTTTATAGATATATTCGGGTTCTTTTATAACCGTAGGTAACGATAATAACGAAACTAAAGCTATAATTACGTTCGCGTTTACGTTTACCTTAGTAAGGGGAAGCAAAAGATCCCGCCCTCGGGATCTTAATAATAAATTTATTAGATTAAATAATTAAGCTAATAACTACTTATATCCGCTTACGCTATCCTTCTAGATCTATAGCCCGTTATTTTAATCTCGGCTACCTAGGACCTTTAGATATTCGAGTTCGTTATTTTCGTAATAGTTATTCAGGAATATGGTACGAAAGAGGGCATTAGCGGCTTTATTCCTTACCCCTAGGATATATTTAATCTATATATAAAGTAATTTAAGCTCGGAAGCCTAACGAGCGTAGATTTCTTTAACGGTTAATAAAGATAAGAACTAAGTTAAGGGTTTATAATTAATAAAAAGGGTAGATCGCTTTTTTACCCGAAATATATGGCTATATCGCCGGTAGAATTTAACCATTACGTAAAGCTTTCTC